ATTGAGATTGAACTCGAGCCGATTGCCGAGTCGCATCCATTGTGCCAAAAGCACACAACGGCGATTGTCCAAATCGAATTCTGAAAGATTTGGAAAATTTTCATAATTTTTAGAAATCTTTGGCACTTTTCCCCCAAATGGGTCAAATGGTTATATCCTCATCCCAGCCAATTATCCCGCTGTGCATCAATACGGTTATACTCCCCAAAATTTACATTAACACTCAATCACGATGTACAAAGCAAAATACATAATCGAAGGGTAATCATTGAAGGATAAGTGGAAGAGAGATCGATAGAGAAACCACTCGAAGAGAGATCGTTTTGTTCAACATCTGAACGAATCATAAACTCCGCTAGATAGCTTTCTGAATGATGTCGAACCGTTTCGTGGCGCTTTTTATTTCTCCATTTTTATTTCTCCGTTCAATTGATTGTGGATTAAATTGAGTTCAGTTCAAATGAGTTTATGCATTAAAGTGTAAATTTGAGAGTATAACCGTATTGAGTCGTTTGGCTTTTCCGTCTATGGGAGAGATATAACCGTTTAGTACCCTCAAATGCTTACTTTTCTCAAAGTTGAACATGGCAGCTTCAGTGGATTTTCGGGGAAGGGCCACTGATGGGGTGACACGACAAGATTCGACCGGGAAATCGAGGAGACACCTGGATTTGGCAGAATTTATTGGTACTTTTCGGTTATACATCCCCATACTTTAACAACTAACTAGGTTAAATTTATAATATTGTTTTATCGACTTTATGTGTATAACTAAAGTACATTTGTTCTCAAATTGTAACTTCAACAAATCTGATACTTAAACTATCCATACTTTTTCTCAAAAGAACTGAATAGGATACGGAAAAACTGGTGGGGGATGTATAACCGGATAGTACCAATTTCTCTATCGATCTATCTATGATTCATAAATTATCCTATTCAGCTCACCAATCCACATAAACATTGAGTGAATTGAATTCAGGATGGAGGAGAATCGAATCCTCGTGCACATACAGCGCCTCGACGCGAATCTTCAACCAAGCATCGATCACTTCACGCGCTTTCTAAAGATTGAGGCTTTTTGGAGAATGCATAACTTAAGGAATAGATTAGATTTTTATCAGGATTGGAAATAGTTAATACAATACGAACCATTCATTTTAGGCTTGTATACGGTAATGAGTAGGTGGCTAATTTGAGTAAACTACCAAATCTTGTATGATCCAATTCGATGATGAATAAAATTTAAGTAGAAACGGACAAAATCTGATGCAGAGATTACGGTACTTTTCAAATTATCCAGTTTTTAGTGACTCAGATTGAATCTTCCAAGAGTTGGCTCACAATCCGCTCAAGTACCAAATAGCTTTGTCTTATCAATGCACTATCAGCTGTAGTTTTTACAATTTCTATTTTTTTCCTAATCCAAACCGGTTCTCTAATATCCCTATAGGCCAGATTGCTCTTTCCCTCAGCTTCTCTCAACTCGATCGGAGCTTTTCGTGGAGTTGAGCCGAGTTCTGAGGTGTCCGAAGCTGAATTTTATTTATATAATTGATATTAACTGGTAATATATAGTCAAGAAAATCTATTTTTAATTTTTAATTTTCCAAAAAGCGATACGTGGAATCGAATCATGCAGCGGATCGGTGAACTTCAGCTTCGTCTCTCTCTCAGCGTTGGTCGTCTCGTTGAGTTTTGGCTGAATATCTTTATTGTTATCTACGTAGAAAAATTAATTTAGATATAGAATTATATGCAAATTATTTTTTAAATCTTTTTTTATTTTAAAGCCCCACAAACCCTTGTCAGCCTCGGCGCGGCAATCGGCGGCAGTTCGCCCAACAGCTCGTGCTCCTTGACCGGTGTTGGCTCTAAAGAAATTAAAGTTTTTTAAACTTTAAGATTCTAGCTAATTCTTTATTTAGATATATTTTTAAATCTAAAAATTAACCCTTTAAATGGCCACTTGACGAACTCGATGAGCTCTCCTTTTCCTCTTCGGAAACCATTGGGGTATCGGGATCGCGTTTGATAAAGTCCTGAAGTTGTTTTAAATAAACATTTAATATAGGTTCGTCGACCCCGAGAACCGCCGGTACAAATTTCCAGTTGAATATCTTTTTTCGCCATCTACAAAGCAAAAAAAGAAATCCCTATGAAAATGACTGGCGATGTGTTCTCTGTGCGCTCTCCATCTGGCATAGGGCTCTGGTATAAGGTGCTTCCCTTTTGGAATCCGTAAATGGGGAAGGAGCCGCCTCGCTACTCTATTTCGTCACTATGCCCAAACCCCTGGGACCAATCCATACTCCAGCTCCGCCTGCACTCCTCGACGAATTTTACAAATTAGTCTGAGCCCTGTTTTACACTTTCATGTGTCATGCATCCCATTGCATTTCTACAGGGTGCCCAATAAAAAAAAACGCTTTCAAACTGGAATTCCTCAGAATTTCTGGTCACTGTGGTGTCATAGTGAATCATTTGTGCTCTAAAATTTTTCATATTTTTCACAAAACCACCATGTCTCGATAGGAGTATAATGCTACTATGGGTGCCACTATGATCACCACCATGATACCATCATTTCTAAATTTCTAGATTTCTAACCAAACAGTTGATACATCTAAATCATATGCTAACCTCCCGTACATAAGGTTCTCCCAGCTTGCCGCCTTTAGGGATGTGCCCAATTTTTTCAAGGAACTGCTGATCAAAAAAGTATTTGGTTAGAAATCTTAGTTTATATGTTAGCTCTAATATGACACCACGATACCAGTAGAAAGTCTTCACTCTATGGTAAAAATTTTGCTCTGTTGATGGTATCATGGTGGTGACCATAGTGACACCTATCTCTCATGATACTCCTATCGAGACATGGTGATTTTGTGAAAAAATATCAAAAATTTTAGAGCACTTTGACACCACACCGACCACCTCTAACGACCAGAAATTCTGAGGAGTTCCGGTTTGAAAACGTTTTTTTTTTATTAGACCTGTATTTTATCAAGCACTAAAGCCACCGTACCCCTTTCTAATCGTTTTCCTAAAACCATCAACTTTTGCAAACTACCGTACCTTTTCGTCTTCGGATTTTGACGAAGCTGGGGATTTTGGTGGAGTGACGACTGGGAAAGGGTCCTTGATCATATCAGGAGAAGCTAAATGGTAGTTTTTGTCTAATTTTTGTATTTTATGATATCTTTAGACGATATCTATCACTTACAAGCTATAGGTGATGGAATTTTGACGGGTTCGACAGGTGCTTCACTCTTCGTCGATCCACCATTCCCGGAACTTGACCTTCTCGGAACTGGTTGTGGAGGCTCTTTAGGGGGTTGCGGCTCCTAAACTTATCTATTATACTTGGTTGGCTTAATATATTTTATCATTTTTGACGAATTTCAATCTATCAGTCATACCTCAATCTCGTGTAAATGCGTGGATGGACCGTCGAGGATCACCGTTTCTTGAGAGGATCGAGAAGTGGACGGGGTTGAGGCTCTGGAAATGAATTGGATACGATAGTCTACAAATCGTCAATAAGTACAATACTCTAGAATCAGTTCTACAAATCTACATCTAAAAGTCTACTAAGACTAACTGTATTCAACAGTAACCAAATCGCAAAGCACTCACTGATCGGCTAATTGTGGTGGTTGAACCTCCTCGAATATGTGCTCTTTTGCAGAAGTCGATTCGAATGAAGATGATGAGAAAGTTGATGACGAGGAATGGGCGAGATGAGCACGGGGTGGAGAAGTTGGTGGAGGAGAGGAGAGAGGGGGAGGAGGGGACGGATGAGGAGGGAGGTGCTGTAAGCGGTCGATCAAAGGGGGTCTCTGTATTATCACCTTCTTAATCTAATACTTATTCTTTATCTTAAACGGTAAATACTGTAGGAACCAGGGTCACGGGAACAGACTAATGCTATGGATCCTTAGACCGGGTTATGGTAACCGAGGCTCAGTTTTGGGCGGTTACCAGGAATGTTTACGGTAACTGCATGCCTGCTTTAGAGCGGCGATCTGAGTCGGTTTTGGTGGTAAAAAAATGCAAATCTAATCAAATAAATGAATTTGAAGAATATGAGCACGGCAAGCAGACTAATTACCAGCTTGAGCTCACCTCAACTTTTCTCGGTTTTTCGTCTTTTCTCTCCACAATCACCTCTTCTTTTGGGATCGTTGGGGGTTTTGTGAGGAAATCTGAACATTTTCAGAGGGTCGTTTAAATCTAAGAACTCTGATATCACTCACCAGGCGCAAATTTCCAATGCACACTCAAATCAAGCATAACGCCTGTTCGATTGCCGTTTGGCTAAAGTTGCTTGGATAGAATTGGAATTTTCGTGCAAATTAACTTCGTGATGTTCAATTCTCAAAGCGTACTCTCAAATTTGCTGACCTTCATCATCGCAAACGTTCCCCTAATCGATTTCCCATGAACCAATGCCCCCAATGGGATCACCGTCATCGCCAGTACTCCGTCTTCGCCCGCTTTCGGATCGGATTCAACGAGGAAAATTGAGATTTCCTGAAAAAATTGATGTTCAGTTTAAATTTATTCCATTAATAAATTAATTGACGATGTAAACATTTTAAGCCGATCAGCTCGTGATGAAGATTTTGAGATTTCGGATGCTTCCACTGCTTTCTCCGTATTTTAAAAAGTTGCCTGCATGCAATTTTGACAAGATTCTATTTCAATATAACCTATTAATTGTTGAATTTGAAAGTTTATCAATTTTTTCCCAAGCACTAACCCCCTCATCGAGCATTTTCCCCAAATTCTCGCCTCGCATCAGCGCCCAGTCTCTTTTGTTGTTGAATTCGGCCTAAATGTCGATAATTCTCAAACTAGCCAAATATGATTACAATCTAGCTCCAGGACCTATGAAAAAAAACTCATCTATTTTTATTTTTCGAAATTTCAGCTCACCTTTCCCTTCTCGACTCTTACAAAGTCGGTGAAATATGGGGAAAAGGCGAGAAACTCGTAAACCACCGCCAAGTCGACGTTTTCTAAATATTAATCAAGTTAGAATTTTAAAATTTACATTAAATTGATATTTTTCATTAAAATCGATTACCCTTTTTGATGAAATCGATTTGGGAACACCGGTGGATCGTGATGGAAAGGGTATCGATTCGATTCTCTGAAAAATGGATAAAACTTTAATTTCTAAAAAATTATGACTGTCGCAAAGTGCCATTCAGTGAGAGTCAATTCTATGAGTTCCTTGGATAAATAAATAACTAAACTAAATGTAAAATATTTTGTAGAAATTTCTATTTTTGGTTTGTTCAAACCTTTCTCTTCTGTCTTCACGGTGAGCATCTTCTGTGCGGTCTCTTGGCTCTGAAAAGTTAAAATTTTTGAGAAATCAAAAATTTAAAGTCTATGAAAAATTGATTTCTTTAACAAACCGCATATGAATTCAGCGATTTCGTCAAATCTCTCGCAATCGCCAACTCGTAATTGATGGTTGCGATTGGATGACCGTTTTCAAGGGAGAGGATTCTAAAAATGGAAAAAAAAACTGATGAAAATTAAGTAATCAAGTAAACAACAAGCTTACTGTAAGCCAAAACATTTGCCCATACTTTAATTCTCCCGCATATTTCCCAGTCCTGGAATTGATCAACGATTTCAGTGACAGGACGGATGAGCCCAAATGATCGCATTTCACTCCACCATTCGGCCGATACATTTCAACTTGGAGACCGTCCTGAAATTTTTGATTTCATTTTGAATCAGGAATGATTACAAAGTAAACTTAAGCCCAAAATCAAGCCATTGGCTTGGCTTTTAGCTCTTTTGCCAACCCCGGTCTGGTTAGGGCTTCTGACCTCGCCTTGCCTAACCCTGGCTTCTTAAATTTTTGACCGACTCTTATCAAAAGCTTTATTTTTTTTTAGTTACAGTATAATTTTAAACCTCTTTCCACCAACCGTTTGAATATAATGAAGGAACAACTTCGAAACAACGACATTGTAGAGAAAAGTGTAATTGAGGGGAACACGGTCACCAGAAAGGACATTTGTCGTCTGAAAAGGAATAAATGAACGAAAATTTGCCTCGAGACTCCACCTGCAGCTCAAAATCGAAAAATTCGATCGAAAAGAAGAAACTCGGACCAAACGAAGAAAGGTAATCTTTTGAGAGGATCACCTAAATAAAGCACCTTTTATTTAGGGCTATTTTGGAGTATCGTAATTTGACAAGCAAGTCATAACGTATAGATAATAAAAACCGTAATGTAATGTCTTACTATAACCTAATCGGTAAGCTAATTGAGTTACTGTATCTTTCCAAACCTGAGTGAATCTCAGTGTCAACTCGTTGCTTGCATCGGCGTCTGATTGAATTGGATCGGCGCTCAAAATGGGACGGAGCTGGAACGAGAAATTTAGCTAACAAAATGGGTTTTCAGGTTCTTTTAAAAAGTTAATATTAAGTTAATATTTTTAATTTGGTATAGCTGAGGTTTGAGCTCACCCGTTGTTTCCCGTAGGCGATCGCGCGAATTTGTGACTCGAGGAGGACAATTTTTCTGAAAAAAAAACACTATTTCATTGGCACCGATTCTCTCGAATTAGACTAAAAAATCTGAAGAAAACAATAAGAATTCTAATTTTATATGAGAACAAAAAATAACTCATAAAAATAACTTTTCCATAAAAATTCTTACTTATTCCGTTCAGCCAATTGATCTCGTATCTCACAAATTCTCTGCTCAGCCTCATCTCGAAGTCGGTCGTTTTCTCCTTGTAAAAGTGACATCTAAAAGTGTAAAAGTGACATCTTTTGTGAGAATTTTAATAAATTTTAACCTCTTTTCCTTGTTTTTGATTGATTTCGTGTTGAAGAAGCAACAAATTGCGCACCTTTTCCAACTCATCATATAGTTCAGCGTAGAGTTGTTCCCATCTGGAAATTGAATGCAAAAAAGATCAATTTTAAGGGTTTTTGAAAATGTTTTTCAAATGGTTTTAGCTCACTTTTGTGCATTTTGTGCAATTGGTGATTGATTTGATGTGGATGAGGAGTCTTCTTGTGTTGAATGATCACCAATCAATGCAGACACATCTTTCCACAATCTCTCCAACACATCGTCGCCTTGTTTCTCTTTCTGAAATGATTTGATACTTTACTGATTTTTGCGAGATTCAGAAGTCAAATAATAAAATTAGGTATGTAAATTAATCCAAATCTAGCCGGAAATTCCGAGATTTCCCTCAAAAACTCGCTGACTTTTCCTTTGCGTTTTTCCAATTTCGCCAATTTATCCAAACGATCGAGGTAGTCAAGTTGATGATCTGAAAAGATTTTCTGCGGGCTTAGACAGACAGATATGAAGGAGGGAATGGATTGGAAACAAACAAATTGTGGGATACGGTAAGAAATAAGGATCGAAGCACTACAACCGTAATCCTGGGATACGGTAAGAGTCAGGAACGAATGTACAGCTACAGTATGCATTTTCTATTCATTTCTTTACCTCTTTCACTTCTCTCTGAAACGACTCTTTCTTGATTTTCCTTTTGTGATCTCTGTTTATTCATCATTTTCTTCAGATTTTCCGTCTCATTTCGCTCTTTTCGCAGCCGGCGTTCGGTTTCCTAAAAACGAAGCCACCTTTAGAAAAGGCAGGAAACTTTTATTTCGACATTCTGTAGAAAGCAAGCTTGCCTCTATCTTATTAGACCCTGAGAATTACAGTATCTCAGAATCGACAATTTCATCATCTACTTGTAATCCTTTCATTTATCTCCATCAACCTGTAATTGTCTTTTCGTCTCTTTCAATTCCTCTTCATTCGCCACGAGTTTCTTCTCGATTTCGACGATCTCCAATGCGCCGCCGTCGATTTTTTGATCCAACGTCCTAAATAAACTACTAAGTTTTCTAATTGATGCAACTTTAGTCGATTTTTCATTCTCAAATCCTCTCACTGTGCAATGAGTCTCTCGTTCGCCTGTTTCAGCAGCGAATTCTCGGCTCTCAACTCTGCCGAGTCGGCACATTTCAAGCAAATTGACTGAAATTTGAAAATTTTCCATTAAGTTCAAATTTTTTACCTTTTCACCCAAGAAATTCCCATTTTCCTCGAGATTTCTGCCAGTTTCCCGGAAAGATCGACTCTCTGCCTCAATTGATCGGATTTTTCGCTCACGTTCCTCCAGATCCATCGTCAATTGGTGGATTTTCTAGAAAACCTTTTAAAATGTTAAACATAAATCTTACTTTATCTTTATTCTTGATTTGTATCTCTTTCTCAATCAATTGCCCATCTTTTTCACGACAATCCCTATTCAATTTGATGAGTGTCGCCTTTTCGGCGACAATCGTTTCCGTGACACGAAATGATCTGAAAGTTGAGAAAATATTTGATTGAATATTAACTGAATATCTAACGATAAAATATTAATCCAATTTTAACCTTCATTTACCTGATTTGCTCTTGATTGAGCCGTCTGCTTTGCGCCGATGTCGGCCGGAGATTCGTCGCCGGATGGCCGAGATTTGATCGACCCTAGAAAACGTGTTTAATCTGATTCATATATGCAAATCAAGCTTGAACTCAAATCTATGATTGTAACTGATCTTACTGTAACTCTTACCCAATTCACATGCTAAAACTTTACACTTTCAAGTACTTGCCTCCAGGCGGATCTTGAATACAATATGTAATTCAAAGGGTTAAAAATCGTTTTACCCAGGCTTTAACTGCTAACTCTTGCAAGTATTAGCTTTAATATTTAAATTTATCTATTTTACAAGCTTCAATTTACCTACCGTAATCACATTTGCCGTGTGCGGTCTCGCTGTCGGATGGGTGTAGGTGAGAAGTTGATGACGAAGGCTACGAAGCTGGAAAGTGAGCAAGTTTCTTGGCTACTGTAAATTTCCTAGTAAAAACCCCTTGATTATCCTATACCAATTTTCATTTATATCTTCCAAACCTTTATCTGCAAAAGTTGCCGATCTTTCTCCAAATCAGCATATTGTTCGAATGGCACCGTCCGAACTTCCGTTTTCGAGTCGGGTCGACGGAAACGGGCACTTATTCTAGAGAATTTCAATAAACTTACTAAAATTCAGATGTCTATAGTATTTTTAAGTTATATTATAATTCTAATCGAAAATTTTACTGTGAAAGCTGCTTGTTCAAACTGCTCGTCTTCAGCTGTAAATCAATATTCTCCCGGAAAACCTCGTGAAAGCTAAAAATGCGATTTTCGGCATGAATTTTCTGATAGGATTCAAGATTTAGATTGTAAGAATTACAGTTTTTATCTTTTTTTATTCAAAAAAACATCACTCACTGGTCCTCTAATTCGGCCCTTGACCACTCCTCGACCGGTGGCCGTTTCACCATTTTCTTTTCGTTCAAATTTACAGAATGTTTACATTCATTATTGAATATCTGATGGAATTCTGAAATTTAATGGTCAGATTGATAATGTAATGGTCAATTCGGTATTCAAAGGAAACACAGTCGATTAAAAAAGTTCCAACCAGGTTGTCGTCAGACTACGATACCCATCCGATACTCTACTGGGACTTGATTCAATTCGATAAATGTACAATGAACAAGTGCGAAAACAATTAAAATTTCAATTTTCAGAAATAGCATGAATTAGAGTTAAACCTAAAGTAGCTATAATAATAGTGTTGATTTTGGAAAAATTGCTTTTTAAAATAAGAACAGAAAGCAGAAGTTCTCCGTGAATTGTGCGGAATTGCTTTGGTCATCGATGGTCATCGCTGTTTTGAAAGTGGTTGCCATTGGAGACCGTATTGGAGTGGAGAGGGGGAGGGAGAGGAGACCTTTCCTTCCCCCTCACCCCCACACACCAATCTGTGACCTGTCTCTAGGAACCCTTTGGGAAGTTCTATTGGCCTATTGGTAACATTTGAACGAAACACAAATCCCTTGATTGCCGATTCCCATCTCAATCCATGAGAACTTCTGCTGGAGCAAACTTGTACAAACAATCTCAGAAATCCTTTGATTGCCAGCATTTGTGCCTTCTTTTTAACTCTACTGATTGTCAGTAGATGTTTAAACGAACTTAACAATTTATTTACTGAAGAGCCTAGAACAAACACGAAAGAGGGGGAAAAGATGTTTCAAAAAGATGAACATTTCATTTTATTAAGCCTGATAAGAGCCGGACGTTCCACCCAAATACAGGCTAAATGCCATACGAATCAAAATAAACAAGATGCGAGAGTGAAGAGATGACTAATTGTAAGTAGACTTTAGATAGCACTATCTAGCACACTTGATTTTCCCAATAATTTCAACTCACGCTTACTTTTCATCAGATAAAGTGCTTTCCATTTGTCAATAAACATTTATCGATATAAAATAACAAACAGAAACAACAACAACAAAGTCTAATGTAACAAGCGACAACAAGAAAAGGCCATCCAAAAACAAATCTTTTAGTCTGACCATTCCATCTCATTCAAATCGAGGACTTGGTCGGTCAAAGTTGAGTCGGGCTTCTAAAAGGTAAATGTTATCTTCACGACATCCACAATCCCAAGTTCATACCTTAACTCCATTTCTCTTTGATTGTTTCTTTTTCATCACCTTTGATTTATTTGCTGGTTGAGAAGTCTTCATGGATTCCTAAATAAATTTGATTCGTAAGCAATGCTAAACTTGTTTATACCTTCTCCGTCGAAGTTACTTCAATTTCTTTCTCTTCCTTTTTTGGAGTGACTTCCTTCGGCTTCATTTCCTTTTTTGTTTGAAGTGAATCGTTCTAAAAACGGATTGTTTAATAACCAAACGCTAAACTCACTCGTTGGAGTGCTGCTGCTCGCATTTTCCACACGCGAGAAAATTGCGCATGATATTGAGCAACTGGGCTTGATGGATCCGTTAAACGTTCCTGAGCATTCGCCTAAATAATTTATTAAAAAAGTGGCTGCTATTCTATGTATAGCAAAATTTAAAGATAAAACCAACTAAAGTTGTGCTTTCCTGCAAGTCCAATGTTGTTGAACTTAAGCGCGACAATGTCCAGTTTGAATGTTGTGTAAGCTAAAAAATAACGACTACCAAAACTGCCAGAACCATTACCTTGTCAAGAAGAGAACGATAGAGTCGAACAAAATCTGGATTGCGGCATTCTTTACAAAAAGCTCGAAGCTAAAGTAATCCTTATTATAGTTTTGGATCAAACCATAAATATACTTTGTGTGTAATTGGTAAAACGACATCAGGGAAAGATGGATGAGCCGACAAAACATGAGAAGCTTGAAGAAGAATTCGGAAGAGCGTGTCCCCAATTGATTGTCTCCAACCAGCCTCTTCAGTTTGTTGAGCAGAAGCTCTAAATCATTAAAAATAAAATGTGATGTTCGAACTACAAAAAATAAAAATTTGTCAAACCTTAGCTGTGAATCCATGTCAATTTGTTTAACGACACCTTTCCCAAGTCTTGGCTTCTTTTGGGATAAAGTGAGAAGATCAGGGAGCAACTAATAAATTGTTACAAATGCAAAAATTTTTTCAAATTAACCTCACATCCCAAAGCAAGAGTGGGCACATAAATGTCACAATTGACCTAAAGAACTGGCTTAGATAGGTTTTTAGTAAAGATCTAACCTGTAATTGGATCAAAATTGATAAACAATGGAAACGAAGCGGCAGAAAACGAATTGACGGAAAAAGTCTGAATAAACATTATATTTTAGTCAAAAATGACTTACTTCAAAGTGGCAATCACAATTTGCGCAAGTGGATAACTAAGTTCGCGAAGCGCATCAGCACCGATCGTCCCATAGCTCTAAAAATAGTGCATTTGCAAACAAAAACTAATAAAACCTTGCTAACGACTTGTGCCCATAAATACTGACACTGCATTAGTTGCCAATTGTAGACTGTTTGCACAAGATCCTAAAATTTAGTAGACAAAAAGAAAACAATCAAAATAAACCTTTCTTTTCTTTCCAATTTGAGCGTTGCGCAAATGTATAGCAATCTGACGTATATAAGTAAACGCATACCTAAAAAAAATAATGCATTAAACTTGCAAATGTTCTAAACTTACTGGTAAGCAATATCTGGATAAAGGACGCTCATCTCGGCAAATGATCTCTGCATAAATTGTAGAAGAGACCATGTTTCTGATGATACATGACGAGCGTTTGACACAAACCCAAGGTACATCGTCTAAAAATTGAAAGTTGAGTAACGCGTAACAAGCAATTCTGAGAATTTTCGAACCTTATAGACATGCGCAAAGACATCAGCATCTCGTTTGACTATTTTGTTCAAGAGAACAAACGCGATCACTCGACAATCCAGTGTTTTTCTTGTCCAAATTCGGCAAACAGTCTATAATTTGTATATGCAAATATCAGCCATTGAAAAACTAACTTTGATAAGAAGACGATTCAATTTAGCAAATTGACCATATAGATCAACCAATGGAATCATCGTCTTTAAAGTGGCAAGAATGACGGTGTGAGATTGAATTTCATTCAAGAACTAAATTAAGTTATTCACAACTAGTTTGCTATTTCAAAAAGGCTCTTACTCGAAGCAACGATGTTAAGAACTCCTTGGCTAGTTTTGAATAACGACGCCAATGTTTGAAATTAATCTTTCCTCCCCTTTTCGTTTTCGTTTGATCAGCTCCAATATCTTCTTCCTGAACCCGGTGAAAATGTGATTTTTTAATTGAAAGCACCTCTGTTTTGACATCTTTCTCACCCAATAACTTGTAAATGAGTGAGCCGACATCGGAGAAACAAACTCGAACAACAGCATCAAATACCTGAATTAAACTATACATACCGAGAATTAACACATCGCAAAAACTCTTGCAAACGAAACAATAACGAATGTTTGTTGAAAATAGGTGTTCACCTTTTCATCATTGATTATCCATTGTGGCGGAGTAACATCGGCTCCAGTTCGAGCCACACACGCCGCAAAAGCCGCCACAGCCAATTTGACATTATTATGGCGCACATCTTCCTGAATCCATTTTGAAATTTATTTACAAAAGAGTATTACCTGATTTAATCCTTTCTCAAGGTATTCGTACCAGTTTCTATCAAAAACTTGGCGGCCTGTGTTCTTGTCGATTGTTAATTTTGGCTTTCCGGTTTGATCCATTTTCTCTTTTGCTAAAACGTAAATTACTATAAGCTTTCCAAGATCAAAAATTTGTTACATTTAGGTGTTTCTTCGTCTTCTTCGTTTTCGCTTTCTTCATCGCTTTCATTGAATTCGAGAAGATCAGCCTCTTGTTCTTGAAGAAATTTGTAGAACTCGGGGTCAGCTTTGCGGATTTTCTCAAGATCCTTCTTGTGTTGGGCAGAAGTCTCGACCTTATCCCCATTTCCTTCTAGAACCTCCTCTTCATCCGATAGGTCCGACAACGTCTTGTCTAAAAATAATATCATTCATTGAGTTCAAGTTAGCTTAAGGTTCTTAACTTAATCAAACTCGCTTATTCCCCTGTACATTTAGATATCTTGTTTATCTATGCATTCAATAAATTTTTGCTACAGACACTTTAAAAATTGCAAAAATTGTCGCTTGATCTCTCTCTTGTTTGAGTCAAAAATACAACTTATTAAAACAAACCAATTATTGAAGTCTCCTTGTTGTTAGCAATCTTTGAATCGTCCCCTCCTTTTACGAGCTTTTTCTAAACAAATTAATTTCCAGGCCGCCAATAAAAAATGTAACCTTTTTCTTTTTTTCTTTGGTAGCGGCTTTCTTGTTCAAATTCATGGCTGCCAAGACTGGAAAAATAAAATTATTATAAGCCAATAGTAAAATAAAATTTAAAAAACAGGCCGATGTGATTGAAAAATATATTTTATGTCAAGCTATTTTACTAGAGTCTTTGAGTGAAAGTATTCAATTAATAAAGTGAATATTTTCTGACATAGTCAGTATAAAATCCAATGAAGGAAATTTTTTGAATGGTGATGTTTTTTGTAAGTGCATGTACGGATTGGCGCATTTGCTGGAAAAAATAGCAAAGGAAAGTGCGTGAAACTTTTCGTTTGAAAATGTAGAAATCGCCTCTTATTGTTGTTTAAGTGTTGTTTTTATCGAACTTCTTTCATGAATTTACGCGTAGCTACACTTTTATTTTAGATACGAATGGGTAGTGTCCACTCGGCCAGCTCAGTCAATCAAATCAAGGACATTGTGGAACGACTGGAACGGCAAAGGGTTTGTGATCATTTTGAGCTTTAGCCAAAATTTGGCGCTAAAAAGTTTGGGTGAACACTCGGCTAGACCTTATTTTGTGTATTTTTGCCAAGCTTTAGAAACAAAACTAACTAAAAAAGAATAAGGAGAAAATGTGAAAATCGCCTCTTATCGCTTTAAAAAGCGCCTACTATTAGAGTTTTTTCTGGAAGCAAACCCATACAGCAATATATAATTTCTAACCAACGCTAATTTTTTTGAACTGTGTTAGTTATTTAGTTAGATTTGTCATTGACTTTCTATCTGGCATCAAAGTTTTTTAGATTGATCGAGAAATCGCTTTGCGTGATCTTACACAGCGACGACAACGAGCATATGAGGTTTTATTTTTAAAGAAAATTTTAAATGCTTATGTTTAGTTAGCTGTGGAACAAGAGAAGTTGCCATGGATTGCAACGGCGGGAATTGGAGTATCTGGATTTCTTATTGCCAACGCCTACTTGACGAAGAACTACAACTACTTGTCACCGCTTCCAGCGATCATGGCCTACATTGGATATAATACTCATCTATGTTATGGAAACAAATTGCAAATGATTTACAGTAAGCTATCAGTGTCTTATTAGTTACATAATAACGTTAAAAACCTTGCTTTAGACTCTGGAATGGACATATGGAAAAGCAGAGTCGACGATTTGACGTTGTTTGCAATTTCTCCCGATGATGTGAAAGCTCGATCAGCAGAACTGGCCTTATATCGAAAAGAAAACGATGACCTTTTTGCAAATTGAACGTACGTTATTCAGATTGTGATTTTAGTTTAGTGCAATAAAGTATTATAAATGTGAAAAAAATAGAATTTTTGTTCGATTCATGAAAAAATTTTCTATAGATATACACTTATGATAGCATCTTTAATAATTTAGGCATGGGAATTCAAAGTTCGCACCTTTCAACGGCTGACGAGAGAAGACTCCAGAAAATTTTTGATGCTGAAGTATGTTGTGTTATTTTAGAGTTTCAATTGTGATTTTTTTAGTTTGAAAGGCGATTAGTTGTTCAAAATATCACTAGCGCCCAGGAAAGAGCTTTTGAGGTGTGCGTTCATTTAATTTATTTAAATGATTTAGTATTTTAGATAACTAAAACAAAACAACGCGTTAGTTGGGAATTAATGGCTGGTATTACGACAACCACTGTTTTACTCGCGGGTAACTTGATTTAAACTTGATACAATTTTTAATACTATAATTTAGCTGGTTCAATTTACAAACGACGTGAATTCTCACTTCCGATTGTGCCGATCATTTTGGCTATGGGATATCGATTCGATACAACTTTTGGTGACGCGGAAAAATCTATCAGAGGTAAACTTCTATTTATTTTGTTTTTAGCAAGTATACAACGTTTGCTTTCTAGATCAAGCAGATGAAATTTACAAGAACGAATCAACGAGATTACAACTACCCGGTGGTCCAATTACGATACGCGAACTAGATCAATATACGGCTCAAAAAGCTCTTTAGTAGATTTTGTGTACATTTGCAATATTTTATTGTTTTTGATAAATTGAATAGATATTTATTAAAATAAAAGCGGCTTTATATACACGGCGACTTCGAAGAAAGTGCACACATAGAGATCAGCTGTGATAAATAATAACCAAAGCAGCTTGTTCAACAAGAGTCTTGGATGAAGCCCGAATGTGGAAGGAAACTTTTCGTTTGTAACAGGTCTTCGATATGCTCTTTTGCAATTTGCCGGTCTCTTTCTGGTAGAGATCTGAATTAGTTGCAAAATTGGATTGACATTATTCGATTGTGTTGATACCTCAAATCACTGACAACACTTGCTGCAAAAGCGCTGTCACCATCAAGTAGTACATCTCCATTGTGATGAGGTGTCCTTTTATCGATAACCATGTAATGAGTGCTGAAATTGTGTTCATGTTATGAAGATTCTTTAAGAAAGATTTTTGATGTGCAAAACCAAAAACTTACTCGTCTATCCACTCCTCGTCGGAAATTTCGATTTCAGCTTTTCTTTTCTTGCCATTACTAAAAGTAAAATTAGCATAACAATTTGTACTTTGAAAAGGACTGATTGAAATACTTACACTGATCGGTCATCAAGATATGGATCCATCCACTTCATCAAATCATAGAGGTCCCATGAGCTTTCCTGTAAAAGAGGCATTTGTTAGAGTACAACTGAATTCTTTTTTACTTCGTGGACCCCAGGTGGAAGTGATCGCAACCGTTTCTTTTCCCGAACATATCGATCTCTCAACTTTTTCCACTGTTTGTAAATCATTTGCTCATTTCCTGAAACAGGGGTTGACTCTGGTATAAAATGAGATTGAAAACCAGGGAAATCGAGTGCAGTGATGATGTCTTGCCATGACAAATTTCGACAATCATTGTGCCGATATTTTGGATCTCGAATGTCGAACAAGCATGTGTGTTTTTTAACCTGAATTCAAAATCGATAATGTCAAAATACTACGATTTGTCAAACCTCACTAATCAGATCTTGGTTGAATGCCGGATTATTAGCGATGGAACTCTGAAAATGGGAATTTCTCATAATTTCTCATAGCAAACGATTATTTTGATTTCTTCTAAACGCACGAGTTCTTCTAAACGCCCATCATTTGTCACATAGGTTTTTGTTGGTTGTCGATCGCTCATATATGGATCCAAAAAGGTGAGATGCTTGAAATATTGCCATGTTGAAGCGATTCCATTCGTTTTCATTTTCTTCTTTTCTTTTCCATATCTGAAAAGTTTTTAAAGTTTGAAGGCTCATTTGTGATATTGCACTAGTTGCACTCCACTCTTGAAAACGCTCTAGCAAAAGGCACACCCCAGGAAAAGCTACCCTACTAATTCTAAACTGCATAGCATGAGTTGAGCATGTTGAGACGGATACTGTACCAATTTACATTTATAATTGACCATAAATTCTTAAGCTCGGATTTCGATTGGTTGTTGAACTGACTTGTCTCTCAATTGTTTCCATCGACTGTAGAGCCCTTGATGATCACCATCGAATTGTAGAAACTAGAATTGAGCGATTGCATTCAAAACATTCAAAGTGTGTAGCACAATTTTCCGTAATTCTTTACCTGCACAAATCGATTCCAAAGTTTGATTTTGTGTTCATGCGATCGATATTGTCGATCACTTGAATCATACAAACATCGGCTATTCTTTACGGCTTCGATCAATCGCAAATTGAATGATGGTTCTCCTTCATCAATTTGCATTCGCGACATTATCTGGAAATGCTATTTTTTTCAATCGTTTAGCAGTCTTGCAAATAATCCAGTTGTGTGGCCAAGACATGCTATTGATTTTTTTTTACAACTAGACACTTTCAATCTACTCTCATACTCTAAATTATCTTTGAACTTTTAAAAGTTGAAGCTACAGATAGAATCGAGAAATGTTTACTTCATTCTATTATTGTGTATCACTTGTAATCGTCAGTTCTTTTGAATGATTGTCGCTTGTTGGATTGTTGTGGAAAGGAGATCGATCTGGAATCCATCGTTTGTGAACATGAGAATGTGAATGAGAAGTTAAACGAGAGAGAGAGAAAAACGACATGTAAACGTTGCGCGGGCACGCACGCGGTATTGCAGCGGCGCGTTTGCGTCACGGGGTCCGAAAGGGATGAAAGTGACCACAACAGCACACAAAACAACACCACCCATCAAGCCTCCTTCCGCGGCAAACCTATGTCGCTGAGAAAAGGGTATTTTGAAAGAAAAACGTGGGCGTGGGTAGACACGCAGAGGATTGAGTGCAGAGGAGAGAGGACAGATCGAGAGGACGGTTGTGGTTTAGGGAAAATGGAGAAATGCCAAGATGATCAATTTTAAACAGCTGTAATGGTAACTCTGAACTTTGTAAATCAAAAAGCTAAATTCTAAAAATAAACAAAAACTCATTGCAAATGTCAAAGAAATAGAAGTTTTCTTAAATGGTTTCTGCCAGTCAATTATTGGGACTCGAATTGAGTGAGTGACAATTACTCTCAATGGATACCGGTAATTGTGTCATTGATAAGCAGATGTAAAAAGTTTGAAAAACTAATTTCTTTCTGCTTCATTTTTGATAAAACTCCAGGAAATTATTCTAAATATCAAAAAAGAAATTTCCCATAAACTCCTCAAGAATGTTTTTTTAAAATTTTCCGTTTCTGTCTCAAATTTTAAAACCCAAAACAAAGCAAAAAGATTTTAAATAAAAACTATATTTTAAATTCAAAAACGCAAAATATCGTTTTAGAAATATGTGCAAATGAAGTTAACAAGTTTATTCGACTCGAAAAGAAAAAGAACCGCGGTACTTGTGATTCTTACGCCCGCCAATTTACATAGTAAATTTTGAATAGAGTCACAAGAGTCACCAGAACCGCAATGACTGTTTTCATCTAATTGTAAATCATAAAAATTTCCCGTTTCCAATTCTTTTCTATATTTCAACGGGTTTCCATTGATCTTTCTCTAAATTACAATTGATTGTCCGAACAACGAAATTGTATCTGGTTCCCATGAGTTGACCGATTCCATGAAAACGAACAAATGGAGCCTTGTTGTACTCATCCTAAATTCATTTTTGGGCAATTTTAAAACTGTGATTGATTGTGAGTAAGGTAGCAATTGTTGTCGGTTCGCACAAAAATAGCATCGTCAAGCTCGACTAATGTACTTTGTGCTCTCAAAAACGCATGCCTTTTGGCGAACTCATTGTCTCGCGTCTCATGAAGGTGAGAATTCAGTATGCTAGAAAGCGTGTGTTTGGGTAAGCACAAAGTGCGATTGAGATTTTTCAGAGAATTTTGATAGAATCCTTTAAATGTTTACAAGCGACTTGCGAACTCGATCCGTTATCATGATCTTGACCACTTCCGATTTATGAGCCGGCAATTCGAAGGCTCGCTGAAATATTGAAAATGATCACATATCTTATTTGTTGTATTTCCCACTCGATATTCTTTCTTCTCTTGATAATCATTGCTTCCCTTAAATCGAATGATCATCCCAGGTGTCCATTGTTCGAATTTGATCAACATCGGCGTTTCACTTTTGTTTTCGATTCGAAAAGTGATCTCATCTCCATTGGAGTTCAGTCCCCAGATCTGCATTTTACAATAATCAATCAAATACATACAATGCCGAACAAAATTATAGGATCAAGAGTTTTTCGAGGAAAAATGATCGGTCCATTCTTGAAATTAAGCAAAAGTCCAAAGTTAAGTTATAATTTTTTTCACAAATTTAGAGGTGCTAGCAAAAGCGCCAAATTGTTTGCGCCACGTATCATTTGTGCCAAATTTGCGCTTTTCAACACACTTTCCGATCAACTCTGATTGGCCATTTATATATATTTTTTCAATTTTTTCTCGTCGACGATGCTCGCCATTTTGCCGCCTTCACCGGCTCTGAAAATGGCATAAGATCCATACAAAGAGTAAAAAGCCCAATCCGGGACACAAAAAGGACTGTTTTTGGGGGTCTGTATGCCGTATTTTCTCTAATAGTAGTGCACCCTGAATAGTAGTTTCTCTAATAGTAGCGCACCCTGAGCGTCGCCTAAATTTCTCGAAATCTCGAGAACCGCTTATCAGAACCTATCGATGTGGGGTCGGAAAATGTAGCTGACGATGAGATCTAATGGGGGATTAGAGTGTTGAGCTTCTGCAAAAGCTTGGAAACCGTAAAATAGTCACCAACTCGGCTCGCCGGGGTGCACTACTATTAGAGTAAATACGGTAGGTATTTAAACGTGTTTTCTAATAAAACAGTGAGAACTAAAATTGTGAAGCAGAAAACTGAAAAAAGTTGGCTAGAAGTTGGGAAAAAGTGATTTGTTACAGTGATTTTCATAAGCGCAAATTTGGCTCAAATGAAACGTGGCGCAAATGAAATTGGCGTAAAGGATTTTGGCGCAAAAAGCGCAGTGCTTTCGCTAGCACCTCTAACTCTAGTAGGTTGTCCCATAAAAACCCAGAGATTTTGAAATTCATTCATTTTCAATACATAAAAACAACGAAGAACCAGAATGAAATGATATATTTTTAGATGAATTTATAACTTTTCTCCAACGTTTGCGTAGCTTGCCAATTCCTCGTTCGTAAAAGGGCGCGAGCGAAAATAGTTGTTCAATCTGTCCTCGAATTCGTTCTCATCTTTGAACTTTTTACCACGTAAGAAATCCTTTAGTGACAAGAACAAGTGATAGTCAGAAGGGATAATGGCTAGAGAGTATAGTGCATGAGGAAGGATATTCCAGTGTGGGTTGTTCTTCACAAAGTCGATCAATCTTTTCTGATTTGTGGGAGCTTGCACCATCCTGAAGAACGAAAACGGGGCCGTTTCATTTGTTCCCATAGAGCAACCTCTCAACTTTTTGTTCCACTTTTTGCATATAACATAGATAAACATCGGTGTTGAATTTTTGCCTCGGTTTAAGAAGTTCCCCGAAAAGGACGCTGGTCGAACACCAGTCGACACACAACATTCGCTTCTTTTCGTGGATGTTCCGTTTTGGCACCATTTTACATGCTTGCCCTTTCTTCAACTACTGCCGTTGTAACACTCGACCAGCGTAGAAAACCTCCTTTAGTTTTTGTAAATTGTATAAATAATCTTTGAAGTTTTTACTTCTGAAAAACTTGGTTTCAGTAGCACATCTTCTGTTGCACCACTTTTGCATTCAAGTCTTTATAAATTTCCAATGTACTATAATTTTGACCGGGAAAGTTTGTTAAGAACAAAAATTTGTACGAAGAAGTTCGTGCTCTTTGTTTACTTTGAGTGATACTACTTTAGATTTATGAAAAATAATAACTTCACTTTGGACTTTTGCTTAATTTCAAGAATGGACTGGTCATTTTTCCTCTAAAAACTCTTGATCCTATAATTTTGTCCGACATTATATGTTATGAATATTTTTGTGTTTTCTCAACTCAACCTTAATGTGCCATCTTTTTCTGATAGCATTCTCCAATTGATACGCCGCATTTATGTAGTCGTAGTTGATTGGCGGTGCCGCTGTCTGATTGCGAATTGGACAATCAAAAAACGTTTGCTTTTTAAAACTTACATATTGTATCTCATCTGGGCTGAATGATGGATGGGTTTGATCTGAAAAAATATGGGATATTATTGAGATAATCGTTGAACTTGTTGGTGTTTCGGATCCTGATGTGTGTGGAGAGACGAGTTTTTCCCGATTATTACCCACTTTCGACCATTGATCTTCTCTGAAATCAAGAAATCTTAATATATAGATTAGTTTTCTTCAAAAGCTATGATAAAATAATTATTCGTTGACCTAAAACTCGGCAAATCCGATCCGGTAACACTTGAGTGATCGGATGTTGATTGATGGCAAATATCTTGTAAGCGATATGACGGCAAATACCCGGGTGGAGGTCTAGAAATTGGGATTGAAAATGTGAGAATCAAAAGCTATATGAGTACTTGATCTGTGGATGTCTCGATGAATCTTTTGTCAAATGAGTTCCCAAATCCCAGGTGGAATCTCGGTATTTCTCGTGGTTCAAATTCTCCTCCAAACTCGACAATGCCACTTTTTCGACCATTTCTGTCATTTCATCTTTAGGCTTTTGAATGCTCTACAAAGTTTTTTGGAAATCGTTTGACGTTTTATTTCGACTAACAGGCGTTAAACGGTTGAAGAATTCGGGGAATTGCTCGAATTGTTCAAATCGCTGTGTGAACTCCTCGATCTTATTCTCGAGTAGGTTGCACTTTTGATTCATTTCGATCGGATCCGTGATTTGTTCGGCTGATTGAATTTCCATCTCGAGGGTCTTGAATTGTTTTTATGAAAGGGGAAAGTGATTAAAGAGGTTAAGGAGTTGTTTTTGTTTTGATTGATTTAATTGATTTGATTGATTTAATTGCTTAAAGCATTTGCTTATAAATGGACTTGTGCAAATTGTCGTATCCCTTCTTCAATTTTAACCATCAAATCGGTCAATTTTTTCGGCAACATTTTGATGGTCTCGATTCGGTTTTTTGTGTTCGTATGCTAAAAGTTCATATACCAATTTTGTTTTTAATTTATTTATAGAAATGTTTACTTTGAATTTGAGAGCTTTTGTGTGAGTGCAATTCCATGGATGATCTTTCTGACAATTCTCACAAATTGTCGCTTTCGATATCTAAGAAATTGAAACGAGTCTTTGTTTTTGTTTTTTTTTTCCTTTACGAAGCTCAATGCTGTATAAATCTAGTTTTAGAGAATGGATGGCCTGAAAGATTTTTGGTATAAAATGCCTGAAAGATACCTGATTTTTGGTATAAAATGCCTTATTTGTCGGATTTTCCCTTAGCAAATTTGTCTCACAAATCGAGAGATTCGATAATTTCTCCAAATCTCGACACGTCGCACATTTCTCTTCTTCCATTATAAAATCAGACGGGAGAATCTATTTGATTGATCGTATAAAATCTGAAAAGAATCCGTTTGCAATTTGAAGTGTATTCGAGTGACAAAGCGTAACAAAATTTGAGACCAAATCAGCAACAATATCTCATCAAAATTGAGAGCAAAGTTGACATTATTTCAATCGTACTTTGTGTTTTTTCTAAACGGCAACCCTCTGGTGCACTGGATTTCTGGATTTTCTGGATTTTTTAGCATTCCCTCAATGAAGCATGTGCCAGAACGCGTGTGTTTGCTAGAACACAAATTACGATTCGAATAATGACGGGATTAAAATGAGCTCATTTATGATTTACTGAACAAATGCTTTTAAAAGTTTCCGGCCAATACGGCAAATGAGATAAGGTTTACATCATTTTGTTTTTGCAAATCTCATTCACCCCGGAAATTCCTATTTGATACTACTGGCAAGAGGTAGAAAAGGAAGATTTGAAAAAAAAGAGGTAGGAAAATCTATAACGCAATGAAGATTCTGTTATCTACACCTTGCGAGTATTTATTTTCTTGCAAGGGAACCCTCCCTTTTTCATCTTTGTATGCAATAGATAAGAGCTCTTTCCTCTTTTCATACCCCTTTGGATCAACAGAATTAATCGATAAAATAAAGAGAATGAAATCGGTAAACCTTTTCCATCTTTTCTAGAATGATTTCGGGTTTCTTTGTGTAAATTTTTGAATAGCTCAGCACATCTGTAAAGAAAACAATCGAAAACTCAGCAATATTTACTATTGTTCATGTTCCTCAAATCATTTATCATTAATATTTGAAAGAGATTTGAACCTTCTCAAAGAAGAGATACCCCTACTGACAAATATTGAAAAACCGAGGAAAGCTAGAAAAAAAAGATTATTACAACTATGAATAAATTACAGTTATAGTATTTTAGATTGCTCAAGTAGTACTTACTTTGTTTGATACAAAAGTGTTCAAAAAAATCATAATTGCAGTTACTCACCTCAATTGTCTCCAACTTGTTCACCAATCTGCCACAATTATATTATTTCTTCTCCAATTTCTTTGATGTCTGATTTCTTTGACAATTAATGAATTGAGCAAGAATGATCATGTTTTTTTATGAGAAAGAATTGGTTGAAATTGAAGAATTCATCTTTGAGAGGTGATGAAAAAACAGCAAAGAAAAATGAAAGAAGATTAAGTTAAAGACCTCTGCCCAAGTGACATCAAGTTAGGCTAAATTCACCCAGACTGTCATGAATTTAGCCTAGCCTGGTGTCACTTGGGCAGAGGTCTTTAACGTCAAAAACCTCTGCGGAACTGACATCAGGCTAGGCTAAATTCACAAATATACGCATTGATGCAAGGGGGACGCTAACCGCATAGTACCGTTTTTTAAAATTTTAGTGTAGGGGAGGTATAACCGAAATGGGGAGGTGGCGGGGGATATAACCGAAAAGTACCGGTAATAAATTGGTTGAAAAGCACCAAAATCGTTTTACAAATCCACTGTTTTCTCTCTGCAAAGTGTTTGATTTCAAAAATTTTCTAATACAAATACAAGTAGTAACATTTTCACTAACATATCCAGCCGAAAAAATCGAAAAGTGGCACTTAGAACTTAAATTTGATCCGTTTTATTTCTGCTATCTCTTTTTGTTCCATTTAGAACTTGTACTCGTTATTCTGCAAATGTCTTTCTGTGATTGTTCTAATTTGTGTTATTTTGTTTCAAAAAAAAAAATCCAAACAATATATACATTTAATGGGAAATCAAAACGATCAAATGCGAGGTAATCACTTTTTTTTTTGATTATGTCTCAAATTCGAGATTTCTCGCATACAAAGCAGCTTGATTTCTTTTTCGGATGAGTTGTCGATAGACGAAAACGATGAGGAAAGCGATTGGAATTGAAAGGACAATACCGGCTGGAAAAATATTGGATTAAAATTTGAGAACAACAAGTAACTGAATTCAGTTTTGTAAAAAAACTTGGGTAACCGACCGTGTCGTTTTTTTTTCGCTGGTGATTTTTCTACTCAAACATACAAGATCAAAGCCAAAAGCCATGCTGAAAACAAGAACACTTTCGTGCAGGAGTTCGTTCAGTTACCCAAGAGTTTTGTGCCAAATATTGCAAGAAAGGACTGACCAAAGATGGCCAATAAAGGCGAAATGGACACATTGATCTCTTGTCCATTCAATTTTTGTGCATCTTGAGATTGATCGTCTTGTTGTTCCTCCTTTTTTCCTTCATCCGATGTCTCATATTCTGATGATTCTTCTGCATCACCGCCCTTTTCAGCTGATTTTTCAGCATCATCTTTGGATTCTAAAAAAACTACTGAATTTTTAGATGAAAAGTAAAGTATGCAAAATTTGAGACACAATTCTTGCAACATCAAACCATCATATTCCTCTTTGGATTCCTCAGAGCTTTGTGCAGTTATCGTTGTCGTTGTCATTGTTGTATTTGATTTTTCATCTGGGTTAACTGCATCTGAAAAGAAAAATCGGATTTCGTCTATAATTCCATGTTGTTTCAAGTTTCAGTTTAAAGAAAAAGCTACAATAGAATTCTGTACTTGTCTAAAACGTTTTTAAAACTTTCGAAAACTACAATAATCTTGCCTCTAACTTCTATCTAATCATCAATAAATCTTCACTATTTTTCGTATCTTTTCATGAACATTCACACAATTAAAAAAAGACAAATAGTAAATGGAAATATTAAGGAGAATATCTTTTTCGTGATTTACCTGCAATAACACTTGGATCAGGAGTTGAATCTTTTGAGGATTCGTTCGATGATTCAACTTCTTCTTTCGTTTCTCCACTCGAACTTTCCTCTTTAACATCCGCTTGAGAATCGTTGTCCTAAAAAAAATTGAAATTGAAATTACCAAAAGCCAATCAACTCACCACTTGATCGTCAGCTTTTGTGAAAATTAGAAATGTGAAGAAAATTAATAGGAAAACATTGGAAATTCGCATTTCTTGATGAAAATCCTCAAAAAAAGAAATACCTCCCAAATATCAAAGGGAATTTCCGAAAATCAAACGAGATTCCCGAGATTTCTTCATCCTAAATGAAATCTTGTTGTTTGTCTGTGTCAATCATTTGTTCAGCTGGAAATGCTCGTGGAATTTGAGTCACAAATTCTCGTTTTTTTCTTTTTGCTTTGTATTGAACTAAGACCAACAAAAATTTTGACAATTTCCGGGGAAAAGCTTGAAAAATAAAGAAAATCTTGAATTTTTGGTTTTTCTTGAGAAGCAAATACACTTTCAAAGCGACACAACTTTTATTCTGACACAACTACTCTGAACTTTCAACGTGAAAACCCGTTACGAGAAAGATATGTGTTTAAAATTGAGATCAAAAATGATATCTAATCGATGAAAATTATCCAAACGAATTTCGCAAATCGATTTATTCTTTTGCCAATCGATAATAATATCCTTTCTTTGCCATCAATTCATCGTGTTTTCCCGATTCTTTAATCTGAAAATTAAACTTTTTCCAATTGAGGCTTAAGTTTTTTATTATATAAATCCACTAAAATCTTTGTCTTCAACAAACCATTCCATTGGCCATATAAAAAATTCGATCGCAATTCTGAATTGTCGAGAGGCGATGGGTAATTGTGAGACAAGTACGACCCTTGCTTGCTTTATCAAGAGTTTCTTAAACTGCATGCAAAAGGAATATACTATATAATAGATAATATTGACGGACAGTAAATTTTTACTTTACTAAATTGTTTAGCATTCTTGTTATCATCGATTTTACATTGAAGTTTGGAGATTTCGGAGCAGCAAAGCATATAGATGTGACTCAAACCGGAACTTTTGTCGGGACTTGCCGATACATGAGCCCATCACAGAACAACGAAAACGATGCCCCGATTAAAATAAGTTTGCAGGTAGTTTTTGCTTTTTAGTGGCACTATATAAACATTCCTCGACATTCGCATCGCAACGATGTCTACAGTTTGGGGTGGCCTTATGGGAGATCATTAAGGTAAATAACTAATGAAAAATATAGTCATTCGTTTTAGGAGAATATGACGGAGATACCGGATTTTGTCGGGACACTTTGCAATATGAAATTAAAGTTGGTAAATTTAAAAAATTCTGTGCTCCAACTTTCCAAGAAGAGTTACAAGAGATTGTTCCTATTCAACTTGTTTGAAATCCGACGATAAATAACGTTTGAACCTATCGTAAGCCGGCGTTTAGCTGTGCCAATTCGGTAAGAGCGCCAAAAGCTGCTGTAGTCCAAGAAAAGTTGGACTTACTGCTTCGAGTGAGATAAAGAACGGATTGCAAAAGGTTTATTGTTTCTTTAGAATAATTCCTTTATTGCCGATATGAAACTGGAACCCGTAGAAGATGATAAACAACAACAACAACAACAAATTCTTCGAGTCAACTTTGAAAAGACACAATAATTTCAATTTGTTGGCTTTGTTTTCCTGGATAAAGCTTAATCAAGTTTTCAGTAACAAGAAGAAAGACGTGCTACTGTTTTTAAAAAAAAACAAAATTAAGCTAAAAAACTTCTATTATATATATGACATAAGATGTCTAAAAACGGGATCCAAATTCAATAGATTCAAATAAATCCTTTTAGGCTCTGCAAGAGTACAAGCCGACTTAGTCCAAGATGTTGTAAAACATGGAGAGGTTTTCTGAATTTCATCACCCTGCAACAAGAGTTATCGAAGAAAGAGCCGCCGCTTGAAGAGGTTCATTTTAAAGAGCATTTCGAATAATGGGGGTTTTTAGTTTCGTTGATGATCTGTTCTCTCTTCAATCTAATCTTCATGGGTGGTCCCGTCCGCTGCCCCGCCTTGCCTCACTTTTCCCCTTCACCAAAAAGCCGACTTTCCTCTCCTTTGCATTAAAAAATTCCCTTATTTTCAGATTTTTTCATGTAAATTGTTTTCAGAACGAAAAAATGAGCTATTCGGCCTTTTTGCAATATTGTCCCATCTCAGCCACAGTCACTCTATGAATTTGCAGTAGCAAAAGATATCAAAGCTGTTTGGATTTTAAAGCACTTCAAAGCAAGCAAAAAAAAAGGTTAGAAGTCACGATGAAATTGATGAAAAGAAAAGAGAAGTAAGTGATTGTTTCTACAAATGAAAAACAAGATTTGCCAGAAAATTATGATGTATTCAATTCACTCTTTATCAAAGATCACTAACCGCTTTTTTTGATTGATTGTCCATTTTACCGAAAATTCTTTATCGTTCCCGGTCAAAATAAAAGTTTGATTTAATGATAAACTTCTTTGTTTAATTTTACGGTTAGATCAAAACCAAATGGTCTATCCAATTCCCGTTTTCACTTTCTTACAAATAACGTCATCAAAGTTTTGAGCCAAGGAGAAAGCGCTCGCTGTCTCGAAAGAGTTCAAGTTTTCTTTTCTCAAAAGGCTTGCCCTCATCAAAAGCAAAAGAATCTTTTTGCTCTATTTACTACGCACAATTTGCTGACGTTATTTATTCGTTTCTAGTCTTCTCCATTAGAATGAAGTTGTCCATCCTCATGATTTTCTTCTATTCAAAAGCTTTATTTGGGCAAAACCTAGGAAATTTCGATGATGAGCTGATTGAATTGGACAGAAAATCATCCGAAAAGTTTGTAATTAGAATTTTTAGCTGAAAAACTTTTGTAGAAATGTGATAAGAACAGTTGGAGGGAGTGTTCGTCTACTCTGCCCGGGGCCTGCCTATAGCAGAGAGTTGGTTCAAAGACTTTCACTTAAATCTAGACTTATTTAAGTAGCATTCAACGTAATACATGTATTAGCTAAATAGAAAAGTAAAATCATTAGTCTTTCTCGCTAACATATGTACTGGGTGATCAAGAAGTTCTCGCACATTTGTAAATAATTCATTAGGATCAAAAATTTCCAGCCTTTTTAAGAAGTCTTACACTGCATTTAAGGCATAAGACAACACACAGTTTCGCATTTTTTCGAAGACTAGTTTACGTTTTTATTTTTACGAGAGTTTTTATTCTTTTTAAAATAACACTTTGAACTTACTGTTACTTAAAAAAAAAGGTGTAAATTTAAAAGGCTTTTTGAAGGATTTTTCAATTGAAAACAGGTTCAAATAGTTGAGGACCATGACGTTTTTGCCTTCAGCGCACTACAATGCTTCTTTGGTGGCTTTTAAGTGGCTCTGATCACGATGGCTTAGGTGTAGAAATGCTCCGAAGTCCCAATTTGGACACTTTCTTCTATAAAAATCTTTTTTATGCTAAAGTAAAAGAGATAGAGCTTATTTGATTAAATAAATTAAAAAAAATTTGAAAACGATCCGTCAATCCGTTTTCTTTAAAACAGCAATTGAAAATTTTATATGAAAATGCGTTTTTACCAATTGGAGGCGAGCGTTGAGCTTTCTCTCAAAAGCCATTTTGTAGAGAAATTATAGACTTTTTAAAAAATAGTTTTTAATGTGTGGCTTAGTTTGGTTTGGCCAAAAATAGGATTTAGGAACAGGTCTGATAAACCCTATCTTTGTAATTTAGATGGGTTTACCCAACCGCCACCAACGCTCACCTTGTCGGCTACGACTCGGGCGAGGCCCTGAAAAGAATGGATTCGGAAAGGAGCGAAGAAATAGAGGTTAAACCTTCAATTTTTCTAAATCAAAACTCATTCAGGGTGTCATTTTGAACATCTACAATCTCACGTCCACAGACACTGGTTCGTACGGATGCCGAGATCCGACGACCGGCAAAGCGAACACGACATATCTCTATGTTAAAGGTAAAAAAAATAATTTTCCGCAAAGCTTGTAAATTTCCAGCTCGAAATGTTTTTCTGAAAAGAAAAGACGATGTCCTTTTTGAGACCGGAAGAGAAAAGTCCCGTTACGACAATTGGATTCCGTGTCGAACGATAAAACCTGTCAACCGTAAGCCACGGGAAAAAAAATTTGGGAATTACGGGTAAAATCTAGGTGAAAAGCTTTATCTGTTCGTGGATGGAGTGAAGTGGGCAGAGATGTGCTTGTTTGTTATTTACCCCTTATCTTCTTACGGTTACTGTATAATTCAGGAATCAGAAGCTCAATCGATGGAATTACAACGACTCAACTAGCCACATGCAATCGCATCCTTCATATTTCGTCAAGTGTTCGCCGATTTGGCACGACTATAATCCAAGGTTACTCACTTCAACATCTCACATCAAACATATCAAAATTGCAGATCTGGCTTCTACTTTCCATCCACTAAGAATCAACTTCAATGGAGTCAATTCAACAATCGAAACTTTCATTGCGAATACAAGGACGAGAAAACGGATTCGATTTTGGTGAAGGTGAAGGTAAGCCTTCACTGTTTAAGTACTTTCGACTACAGCTCGTCCACATTTTTGTTGCTCCAAAATGGAATACAGGTTTACAAGTTACATAAAAGAAGCGCAATCACACTTCAGATGTCAAATATACTGTGACTTGTGATTTGGATCTCAATCAAACTCTGTCTTTTGACTCTATCGATCGAGAACTCAAACTATCGTGTCCAAAATGTGATCCAGAGCCGAATGGAGTAAGTACAATATTTATAATTATCGCAAATTCAAATTGCTCGGGTGAAAATGGATCGAATAATCGAAAGGCTAAAAGACGATAAAATCCTGGAAAATATTGCTGTTCTTTGGAAAGCTGCCGACAAAGCAGACTCTGAGTTCTGCCGTTGGTAAGCTAATGACTTTAGTCCTTTCAAATACTAGGCTTAGGATTCAAGCTGTAGGAACGAATACAAATGTAACAGTGAAGATTCGGTTTCCTTCTGAACTTTTGCGAGACCTTGTCGATGAACTTCTGGTTTTCGTTTTTCTGTTAATACTTTTCTCAATTTCTACTTTTGCCTATTCGTGGAAAATAGAAAATAAGGAAACACCGGAGAAGACAAAGTTTACAAAATAATTGATCGAACGTAAATTTGTCTTCTAGCAAACAGGTAAGTTTTATCAACTTGCTAGACAAATTGTTAGTTATTCACAAAGCTTTCGAGCAGATACAAAACAAGCCAACGTACAGGAGAAATAGAGTCGGAACCGGAGCACATGGAATGATTTTCGAGTTGGTGGGATACAATCCGTAAGCTCTATTTTTTTATTTTTAAGATTTCCACAATTTGAGACCAGCTGTCGTCAAATGTATGTCGGCAAAGACTCCAAATTCGATTGCCATGCTGCAAAATGAGTTCGAAATTCTTAAAAAACTCGCACATCCAAACGTGGTCAAACTGATTTGTATGGAGACAAACGAGGAGACGAAAGAAATCGAGATGATCATGGAGTATTGTCAAAAGGGAAATCTGAGGGATCGTGAGTTTAGAAAGAAACTTTGATATCAGTTTCAAAAAGATATTAGTTCAAAGTTTAGTTTCACTAAACCCAACAATTATCTACACAATGAACACTGTGATCGATTGGGGAATTCAGCTTTTCGATGCTCTTGATTACATGTTCTCGAAACAGAACATTCTGCATCGAGACATAAAACCAGAGAAGTGAGTCAAATTCTAGGTAAACATTTGTAAAAACTGTGCAAAAATTTCCTTTCTGTTATGTGGTCTTTTCTTGTCATTTTCCAGCCGATATTCGATATTGATTTGAATTTATTTTTCTGTCCATGATATCTTACTCTTTCAGCTAAAAAAAAAGATATTAGTATTTTTGTGACAAAAGAATTCTCATTGAAACTGGGCGACTTTGGGCTGGCAAAGTTTATCGAAGAGACATGCACGGCCACGTGTATGGGTGGGACTCAACGTTATCTGAGCCCTCCAAAAGCCATTGAAGCCGATGAAGATCAGGTAAACGATTCAATTGTTTTAAAAAAAACACTAGATAACAGTAAAATTTCATCAAAATTTGAGCAGAAATAACTCTTACAGATAGCCTATCAGGACTCCCATCGTAACGACGTTTACAGTCTAGGGCTCGTTCTTTGGGAGATTGTCGAGAGAAGGTTTAAAGACCAAAACTATATACAATATTATTTATAGAATTGTTTTTGATGAGTACAGCAATGTGGGCGGCTTTCAACGTGATCACTTCATTCTCGACATCATTAAGGGACAACTTGGTAGATTGGAGCCGCCCAGATGTCAGAAAGAGATCCGTGACGCTATAGAAAAGTTTCTCTGAAAATAAGCTTGAAAAATTCTTATAAATCTTAATTAGATGTACAAAATTCGATTCGCGACATCGGCCAATGGCTACTGAGATTCACAGAGATCTCATTGGTGTTCGAGAAGTTAGTAGTCAAATATTTTCTTTTCTTTTGCTTGTTTAGCGCAAATATTCGTATTAGATATGAAGTTAGCTATTTTCAGAATAATCTCTTCATCGACACGTTGAAATTTGAACCAATTGTAAGGTCAGGACAAAGGAAAATCATCAGACCGATTGGCTTTGATGATAGTGAAAATGAGATACCGATTGAAAAAAGCGAGGAGTCTGATCTGTTGCTGTTACCACATACTTTTTTGTTGTCGTCATTTTAATAAATCAGAATTTTAACGTTCTTCTACTTCTGTACTTCTTAAAAATACAAATGATTTTTGTCTATTTCTTTCAAAGACAAAGACTATAAAAGAATAAACTAGAGAGAGAGAGAGAGATCACTTTTGTTTGAGACTTTAAAACCTCATATACAAGTTGATCTATAATTATTGATGCCGATAAAAGGCCTTACGGGTAGACAAAATTAAACGGAAAGTTACCGAGGTGGCTGACCGCTCTTCAGAGTCGAATTTTTGGAATTTTTGATTTATCTTGAGAAGCAAATACACTTTTATTCTGACTACTTTGAACTTTCAACGTGAAAACCCGTTACAAAAAAGGTATGTGCTTATATTTGAGATCAAAAACGATATCCAATAAAAAGTTATTCAAAGGAAAACGAATTTCACAAATCGATTTGTTCTTTTGCCAATCGATAATAATATCCTTTCTTTGCCATCAATTCATCGTGTTTTCCCGATTCTTTAATCTGAAAATTTCATTTTTCCAATTGAGGCTTAAGTTTTTTTTATTGCAAAAATCCACTAAAATCTTTGTCTTCAACAAACCATTCCATTGGCCACATAAAAAATTCGATCGCAATTCTGAATTGTCGAGAGGCGATGGGCAATTGTGAGACAAGTACGACCCTTGCTTGCTTTATCAAGAGCTTCTTGAACTGCCTGCAAAAAAATCTGTTATATAGCAGATAGTATTGACGAACAGCTACGATAGTGTAAGAACTAGGATAATTTGCGAGCTCTTGAAATTTAGCCTAATCTAGCTGAAGACTGAGGAATAGCCAAGTTCCAATAGGACTGAGGAATAGCTAAGTTTTTCTAATGAAACATGGGATGAATAAGGTTATTTGATCAATGTAATTATTATTTTTTGTTATTACTTTTTCTGATTGTGAATCGAGTGCCGATGTCGCTTCATCAAATAGAAGAATTCTCGGTTTTCTGATGAGCGCCCGAGCGATGGCGATTCGTTGTTTTTGACCGCCCGACAGCTGGGATCCCTTTTCACCGACCTGCCGAAATGAATTTTTCTATATTTTCAAAATGCAACCAACCTGTGTCTCGATTCCCAATGGCAATTGCTCGCAAAACGTCTTTATATTGGCCATTTCAAGCACGTCCATCAATTGTGTCACGCTCTTCCCCTTCACTCCAAGGCAAATATTTTCGCGAATCGTTCCACTAAAAAAAGCGATCGATATTAAATTTAGAGATAGTTTTATTATCGAGTTATCTCTATTTCGATATCTTTTTACCTGAATAAAACTGGCTCCTGTCCAACATGTCCGATTTGTGAGCGAAGATTCATCAAATGAAGCGTTCGAATGTCACGTCCATCGATTCGCTGAGAAATATTGATTTTGGAGGAAATGAATACCTAAATCTAGCTCTAAACTCACAATTTTCCCTCCATTCACATCATAAAATCTTTCCAAAAGAAGAAAACATGTCGATTTCCCACAACCTGATGGACCAACCAATGCCACGTGTTCGCCTGGACTTTGGGATACAAAAATGTTAGGATATGTAAAAATTATAGTGTTTTTAAAATGTTTTTCACCGTCGTTTTTTTTCCAAATTTCCCAATCACTCACCGGGTCGTATGTTGAAATGCAACGATTCAACGATACTCCCTTTTCCCGAATATCCAAAATAGACATTCTCAAAGAGGATTGATCCCTCGGTTTCCTAAAAAGTAATAATTGTGCTAAAAGTACGGTAATCCTTCTTAAGAAAACGCTTTCCAACTTACGAATATCTCTCCCGTTTTTGCACTCCCAGTGCTCGGTTTTTGATCGATGATCGAAAATAGCATTTGTGCCTATTTTTAAAAATATATTCAAAATTCTATAGCTAAACAAACCGCTGTTCTTGCTTTCACAAATTCGGGAAAATATGGATAAGAGTTCATGGCACCGAGGACACCCGAAGACATCGCCATGATTGCACTCAAAATTGAGGAGAGATCTTGGGCAAGTCAATGCTTTTAGATTTTAGATAATATCAGATCAAATAAAATTTGATTTCAATTTTTACCTAAAAACATCGGAAGCCGATCTCCATCCGATGACGATCACTCGAATACCGACCGCATAACAAACAGCCGTCAAAAAATAGGTGTTACTTTGGGAAACGGTGAATGAAATCCCCTCCAACCAACCTAAATGGATCGAATTACGAATTGCATTAGATTTTAATACTTTTTTCTTGACTAATGACAGCTTTTCATAGATTCTTTTTAGTGCTCTAGATCCAGTATGCCCAAAGCTCACTATCAGATATTAATCTATTGGATTGGTGAATTGAAAACTGCGGGACTTTGAACTAAAATTTATTGAACATAAAACCATAAATTGATTCCAAATAATTTCCATTATTATTGACGACTTCTGCCCATTTTACAGGCAATTTGCGGATTCCTCTTTCTTAGTAGGATTTTGGTTTGTGTGTGAGACAAGTGTGAGACTCAAAAATCGAGGACTGAAGATGTCCCAGTTTGAGCACTTTCTTCAAAAGAAATCCATTTTGGTGTCGATAGAAAAGTTGTAGAGAATCAAAAATTAGGCTTATAGCCAAATTTCCAAAAAGATACACTCAATAGTTTCGCTTAAAATGCAAGTTTTGTGAAAATTCGTAAATTTGGCATTTCTTGAAAACCAGTTTTTGAATCGTTCTGAAAATTTGGATATACGCTTTAATTTTTGATTCTCCACAACTTTTCCATTGACACCAAAATGGGTTTCTTTTGAAGAAAGTACTCAAACTGTCACATATGACAATAGCCGGCAGTTTTCAATTCACCAACCCAATAGCAATGAATTCTTCTCGAAACTCACATTTCATTATCTCATTTCTATGTTGCTCATTGACTGCATTTACATATTTTTGCACAAAATAATCTTCTTTGGTGAGTAATTGAATCGTTTTCACATTTTCGATCATTTCAATTGATAACTAAATTTTCTTCTTTTTCTTTTTTTTTCGCGAATGCGAATGAAGGGGTTCAAAATTCCTCCTCTCAAACCTTGGCCGATTCATCGTTTTTCACCAATTTCACATTCAGTCGCATCACAAAAATTCCCATAAAAATCATGAACAACCAAAGCAATATGATCATTCCTTTAAAGCAAATTATATTAAAGATTATATTTTCATATAATTTCAAAATTTTATAATAATCTACCAGCTCCAATGACTGTCACTTCCCATGAATAGACAAATCCAACGGCAAAACACCCGAAAATCCCGCAAATTCCCACGATCACTTGCATCATTCGACCATCGAGAACCTGCAATTCATTGTGTTTTATTTGAAAAAAATATTTCTTTTACTTTGAAATATGATCTTTTTTAGTTAAAAATAATATTGTACCGCTTTAATATTGGGCGAATCAGCGGCCAATCTTGAAATGAGACGGCCTGGAGCATGTTGAGCGCAATCAAAATAGAGACCATCCTCAAAATCATATTCAATCTTAGGAAATTAAAAGATTCAGTTAAAAGAATGAGTAAACAAAAATATGTAATGCAATATTGGTAAAAGAAAAGTGATACCTGTGCAAGAATGGTCTCAAAAGCGGAGACACGAAATTGACGAGACGCCTTTTCGGAGACTGATGAAAAGAAAACACTCTAGAAAAAGAGAAAATCATTGGGGAATTATTTTTTGAGCAAGCTACCGTAATCATTCTAATAGTTGGCTATTTATCTGGACTCTTCTTCCGCACCTTTACCTACAATAACTCAAACTTACTCGATAACTTGCTGTAAACTACTTTCTTTAAAATTTTCTCGGTTTTTCTTTTTATCATTAAACTTTCTATATATAGAAATAATGATTTTTTAAAAAACAAACAGCTAAAGTTTGAAAGAGAAAACATCCAAGTCCGATGGAGACAAAAATGGCGACGCCGAGGAAAAGCCGATGCATCATTTCACCGTTTGAATAGGGAACCATTTGAAAACCCTGAAAATGTTTGCGAAAATTGAAATTATCCATACATAAAGTATTATTTTGTTATCAAGATTGTCTCAAAATCCCCTAAAAATACCTCAAAAACATAGGCAAAGGCTAGTGTCATTGCCGGTAATTCTCCTCCTCGAATCAATGCACAAATCAATCCGAAAAACATTTGTGCGCGAAGGTTTTTGATTCTTCGAAATATCGCCCAAAATCCGTCTTTCGCTTTTCGTTCTTCGTTTAACAACTGAGATTTTGATAGCTTTAGCTATTCGGTTTCTGTTTGGTTTCTATTTGGTTTCTATCTGGTTTCTATTTGGTTTCTATTTCATTCGATTTGGTTCGATCGAATGAAACAGGAACCAAATAGATAGCTTTTTCTAATGCCATTCACAAACTTGTCTATCATTTTCATCAAGATCAATCTCCTCTAATCTCAATCGGAGACTCTCTCGTGGACTTAATCCAAAAGATTCCGTCAGACTTGAGCCCCTGCAAATGGTTTCGGTTATGGTAATTACGTGGTCCAGTATTATGGCGACAACTTTTTAGGAGAATAGTTTTTCCAAAAAAAAACTTCAATCACAAGTACCACGCATTATATTCGTATTCAAAAGCGGAAAATCTCAGCTAGATTACTTTTGTAATTGTTTTTTTTGTGTGAAAACACAGTTCTAAATCCTAAAAGACGTTGGAATGCACCCAAGTCGGCAGCCTGCTGTTTTTCTTGATTTTCTAGTTAAAAAGATTTAGAGAAAAATCTGAAGCATGCATATCTACAGTTCTCTTATCATAATAAATCTATACGAATATTTTGAAACACAAATAACAGCACAAACGTCCTTCTATCGCAAGTTCCAGACACCCTAAAACGCGCAAATTTTTCATTTTTCCAAAATGAGATTTTATTGCCGACTGTAGCCTTTTTTGGTAAGAAATTGGTTCCCTATCTGACTAAATTTGGTTCTCTATCTCTCTAAATTTGGTTCCCTATCTGACTAAATTTGTTTCCCTTTCTCTCTAAATTTGATTCCCTATCGCTCTAAATTTGGTTCTCTATCTCTCTAAATTTGTTTTTTTTTCACTTTCTGCCTCTGCACAAGCATGCTTACATTAAAATTAAAAAAACCTTTGAAAAAGTTTTCATGAAAAATAGCCTCCAAGGCACTTCTCACGTGGAAAATCAAGAAAAACAGGAGGTGGCCACGGCTTGGGTGCATTCTAAACCCCCTTTTATAACTTAAAACTGTGTTTTCACAAAAAAAAAACAATCACAAAGGTTTTCACAATCTAGCTGAGATTTTCCGCTTTCGAATACGAATATAATACGTGGTACTTGTGATGGAAAGTCTTTTGAAAAAATTGTTCTCCTAAAAAGTTGTCGCCATAATTCTGGACCACCCTGTAATTCATGTTAAAGGATTCGATAAACGATAAACGATAAACGATAAACGATAAACGATAAACGGATTCGATAAACGAAATCGATCGAAAATACCGTATAAAAGCTTCTCGTCCGGATGTTGTGCTCTCAACGGTTGATTGGCTCTTCAACGTTGCACGTTTCCCGCTGAAATTGATATTTTGTAGTTCCCATTTCTATTTTATAACATAATCTTTGCAATTCTCACTTTTCCCTATGCAAATCAGCTTCAGCCAGCGAGAATCGATCGTTTTTTTCTTCTTCTTCTTCTTCTCGATTTTCTTCATCTTGCTCGAAACAATGATTTTCTTCTCTTAATTGTTGTGCTTTCACGAGATTATGATAGATTCCCCGAATTTCCATCAATTCATCGTGATTTCCCTAAAAAGTATCCTTCACCTCTTTGTCTGCACTCAATCTCGTCAACCTGTTCCACCACTTTCCCCTCATCGATGACCAATATTTTCCCGGCTCTTTTCACAGTCGATAATCGATGTGCAATGATCATCGTTGTGATTCCTTTCAATCGATTTATTGACCACTAAATATTTGATTATATATTCGATTTCCAGGAAATTCAAAGTTATCATCAATCCTCTAATAGAACGCTATTCCCATAACGGGCGTACAGTCGCGTAGTCTAACTTTAAACGTCCATTTCTCCGCACTGCTTTAAGCTACAGTGTGCGCTTGGGTGTCAAATGATAGCCCTTAAAATCTAGTATTTTTGGTACCAAAAGTGTAGTTGGGAAAAGTCTAGGAGCTGAGAAAAATATGTTTTTCTAAAAAGAAGTTAGACAACGCGACTGTACGAGGTGTTCTATTGGAGTATTCTCAAACAATTTTCCCCTCACTTGTACTTTGCTCTCACTTTTCGCGTCGAGAGCCGAGGTTGCCTCGTCAAGAAGAAGAATCTATTTATTATACTTTTAAAGAATCAATAATTAATAATCACTAATAATCTTATTAATTGGAATTGAATACTTTTGGACTTTTCGCAAGCGTTCTCGCAATGGAAAGTCGTTGTTTTTGGCCGCCCGAAAGCTGTATTCCACCAGCACCCAAAATCGTTTTGTAGCCCTGAAATTTTCAAGTTTTTTTAAAAAAATGAGATTATTTTATAGACTTGTGGCAATTTCATGATAAAATGATGAGCATTCGCTTGTTTGCACACTTGTTTCACTTGTTGATCACTCAATTCCACATCACCCATCCGCACATTTTCTTCGACGGTTCCATTGAAAAGAATCGGTTCCTAAATGTGCACTTTTATAGAATAACCGTTAAGGAAAACGTTTTCCTTTTAAACCCTTTGCAATTGTTCCCCTTCTTAAAAAAACCTGTTGCACAACTCCAATTGATTGTCTCAATTGTTGTATATTGATATCTCTTATATCTGAATGATCAATGATAATTCTTCCATTTTCCACATCATATAAACGAGTCAACAACGAGAAAATCGACGTCTTTCCGCATCCACTGCAATTAAAAAGCTCTCCATTTTATTCTCCTCTCCTTTCATCCACCTTTTCCCTACAAGAGCCACCGTTTCTCCCGGTTCGACAGTTATCGAGAAATCGTTGAGAATCATTTTCTCACGCCGATTTGGATATCTTAAATTGTTTATTAGTTTTGATACGATTTTTAGATATCGAAATTTAATCTAATAACAGTTTTCTAGGGGGTGGGACAAATGCGACCTTCTTTTTGCGCACCTGGACATTTGCGCACCTTTTTTTTGCTGGAAAAGGCCTTAGGCAAGGCCGTAGAGCTTCGAAAATATTTCCATATAAGGGAATCGTATGCGTAGATTCCGAATTTCGACAAATCAGACCTCGCTGACACGTCAAATTTGGGCTAAAAGGCAAAAACTACGCAGCCTAACGCTTTTCCGCAGTTTTTGCCTTTTAGCCCAAATTTGACGTGTCAGCGAGGTCTGATTTGTCGAAATTCGGAATCTACGCATGCGATTCCCTTATATGGAAATATTTTCGAAGCTCTACGGCCTTGCCTAAGGCCTTTTCCAGCAAAAAAAAAGGTGCGCAAATGTCCAGGTGCGCAAAAAGAAGGTCGCATTTGTCCCACCCCCATTTTCTAACCTGAACGAAACTCCTTCAAAAACGACTCTCCCAGTCATTTTCTCGAATCTTCGTCCATCTCTCGAAGCCGGATCGATTGGTGGAATCTAGAAATGTTTTTTTTAAAAATTTTTTAAAAATTTCGATTTTCCTTTCTTTTTCTCAACTACCCGATCAATTATATTGTAGATTTTCGCGGCGGCAACTCGGGCATTGAGCAGAACCATCAAATGAGGAGAAATCACTCCGAGAAAATAAGCACCTAGAAGCATTTAAGAGGCTAATTTTAGTAAACAAGTAGAAAGAGATTAATATGTAAAAGATTATTAATAAAAATGATTAATGATAGTCAAAATATGTTAAAAAGAAACCCATCAACATGGACATTGTGACAATGAAGACAACACCAGGATTCGGAATGATTCCGATCTTTAAAAGATATCCACCATAGCTAAATAAAAGGCTTGAAAAATTGTATTCTAAATCTTATTCTTACACAAATCCAGCAGCCATAAACGAGAAAAGAATAAAAAAGAAAAGACCCGAGAAAAAGCCGCCAAAAATCCCCTTCCGAATTGCATGAGATTCGCCACGAAGAAGACATTTCTCATATCTAAAATATTCGACTAAAATCCTGTATTAAAATACAATATTCTTTTTTCTTATTAAAAGAATGAAAAGTTCTCCCTAAAGCGCACTTCTCAATCATATCTCGTTGTCCATTGCATGCTTGCACCGTTCTCACTCCCATTATCGTTTCTTCAGCTATTGCTCCCGCTTGTCCCACACCCGCCAATTCTTTCATTGTCGCTCCATTTATCTTCTACAAACATATCTTTTACCCAATAATGATAAATTAACGATAAATTTCTTTTTTTATCTAATTTTCTCAATGTAATGATTAAAGCTAACAGTACAGAGTAGTCAGTATTTATAGAGACCAATAGATTACTAGATTACTAGATTTAAAGTTCGTTTTGTACAAATCTAATGTTAAAAAAGAAACAAACATATTCAACACATATACTTTAACAAGTTTAAGTCACTGTTTTTTTCAAAATTATTTCCTTTTGCGTTGATGTTTATCTAGAAACTCTTGTGGAAAGCGCTCACTGTGGTACATCGAGTTTTTCACAAACTTATGCTGTTTTCTTGAAAGAACCAGAACTGAAATATGATTCCAACATTTTTAATGTTCCATAAATATGAAAGCTGGTGAAGATAGTGAAGATTTTCTTATTATTAAATAGGAATAATTAGGTCTGACCCCTTCAGGTGTAACTTGGTAAACGAGTTTCAATGAATCAGCTCTTCTCATAACAAATTGCGTAAACAGTAAAAGTAAGTGAGCATATCATGTTTGCCTCAACTATGTAATCTGTAATTAAGTGCTTTCTTAATGACTTTTTTTTTTCATAAACCGATTTTGAAAGCGCAAAACAACCTTTAAACTCAAAAGTCCCTGTATAACGAACTCTAGCCATGAATGCTGTGCAAATGCACATAGCTGGCGCCACTCCAGTCACAACAAGCGCCAATCTCCATTCGTACACAAAAGCGATGATCAATCCCGTCAAAAACATGGCTAAGGGATTTTAAAGCTCGATGTTTTTTTTTGATATTTACCGGCTCCTCTCAATAAAAGTCCCAATTTGTCACCGATTCCCTCACGAATTCGCTCGAGATCGCTGAAAATCAATTGATTTGCATAGAAAACAGCTTTTCATAATTTTATTTAAAGTTATGAAAAGCTGTTTTCTATGCAAATTCTATGCAAATTCAATTTCTATGCAAAAAACCTAATCATAACCTAATCAAAAACTTAACAACAACTCACTCAGACAATTTTGTGCTCAACGTTCCCGAATGATTGGCATCAAGCCAGGCCGCATTTTGTCTTAACACCGAATTGATATATTCAATTCGTATCGTCGAGATAACCCTCGTGCAAACCAATGCAAAACTCATATACTAAAAAGATTGGCAAAAAGATTGGCAAAAAGAAAGTGACAAGTACTTGTCCAAAATTGGAGAATATCCCGAGAATTCCCAAGCCGATCATCACATAGACATTCTCGTAGGCATCACCGAGAAATTCGGTGGAATTCGATGGGGAAATGAGGAAGACATTTGTGATTCGACCGGTGAATAAAGCAAGGATTGGTTGCGAGGCGCCTGTCATCTTTTCTTTTGAATTCATTCATCATAGATGAATGAATTCAATTTATAAGATTTAAATGCATTATTGCCAAATTTAAGCATGGTTTTTTTTGTTTCTTTCAAAACTCACCATTAACAATAGCACAAATCAATCCGATCAACAACAAGAAATGATCTTTTCGGTTCGTGTATCGAAACTAAAATTCATTTTTCTTCATTTCTCAATCTCTTCAATCTGTCTGTCAAATTCCATCGTCACATTAGGACTTCTAATATAGTTGACAAAACTTTTATGTTTAAAAACATTGTACAAAATGATCAATTACCCATTTCTACAATTGAAAAATGCCTCAATATTTAGAAAAAGAAAAAAGCAAATAAACAATCCCTAATCGAGTTACATTTTGTGTTTTTTTTCGAGGGTTGAAATGATTGAGTAAATATATAGAGTAAATGGAGGGATCGGAGTGTAACTTGTGATCATTACAAGGAAAAAAAAAACAATTGTCACGTAAGGAAATGAAAACTTCATTTGCCCTTAGGAGTTGTAATTAAAGTATGTTCTCCAAAATGAGTTCTCTAAAAGATGGCCAATTTTCTCGCCTACCGAGTCTCACTCCAAGTCTCGTCAAATCTATCCACTTTTGGTGTCTTTTAGGTTCACTCGGGAACCTCAAAAAGCACATAAATTAAACAAAAACTAGAGGATAATTTTTTTCTCTAGTTTTTGCTATTAAATACCGATAAGATTACGGTATTTTATGGACACTTTTTAGAAAAGACAAATCTCCTGAGAGTCCACACCAATTCATTCAATGTCACTGGTCGGATATCCAATCTCTGTTTGGCCAAATCGCTTCTGAAAAGCTTTTTTTTAAAACTCAAATATTATAATATAATAATTATCAAAATGATTTCTCTATCTTAATATATTTTCTTTGCTAACCTGCACAACAAAATGCTGATGGTTTTCTCGAAAATTCCGGGTTGATAGATGGGATTCCCTTCATTTTCATCCAATCCATCAATTGTCGATTCGTGTTTTGTTGACATTTTTATTTAAGAACTATTCAACGACATTCAACGAAACATCTAAATTTGAATGAAAATAAAGATCAATTGACGAAGATGCCTTCAAGAAGGAAATTCTTGAAAAACTGAAAAACTGAAAAAGTGTTCACGAATGTTTGAGAGAAATTTTTGGAGAATTCGATAAAAAAAGGTCCTTTTTTGATTACAGTATTCGTTGAATGAAAGAAATTGGAAAAAAAAGAAAATGAAACGAATATTTGTCGAAAGAAATCAAAGGCTGAAAAGGGTAAAAATGAGAAGTGAATTGAAAAGAGAAACGATTTTTTTCAGAATTTTTTTTAAGAATTTTTTTTTTAGGCTAGATTTGTTTGTGAAAGGATTAGTGCCTTTAAATTTTTGGATGAACGATCGATGAACTTCGATGAATATCTTGGCATAAAGCTAATATTGTCAATGAAGAATCTTTTGCGATTTGAATTATACAAATTGAATTTTGCGATTATATAAAGAGGATATATTATGTGTTTTTTTTAATTTAGGAATTTGAGCTCTTGCCTGTTATCTGGGGTTTTTGGAAGATGATATGAAATAGAGTTTGATTGGAGCAGAAAATCCAGAGAAGATTCAATAAAATGAAGATCTCCAATCGATTCCCCGACCCCGAAAACCCTCGGGTACAAATTTACAGTTGAATATCTTCTCTTGTACCAAAAGAAAAGTCAAAAGGAAAAGAAGGAGATCCCAATGAAAATGACTGGCGACGTGTTCTCTGTGCGCGCTCGTAATCGCTTTCCATCTGGCATGGGGCTCTGGAATAGCGTGTGTCCCTTTTCGAGTCCGTAGATGAAACGGCATTGCCTTTTGCTCTGACACTATGCAAATTTTTGGGATCAATTTGTGCCCCAAATTTGGCTGTGTTTCTCCTGCATACGAAGTCCTGCATCACGTTAAACCATTGCATTACCTAAACAGCAGTAAAACCGAGGAAACAATGCTATGATCTGACTCGAGCGTCTCTCGATTTTCTTTGGATTGTGTGGTCAAATCAAGTTCACAAGATAATAAATTATTATAGTATTTTTGAGTAAATGATTTCTTTTCAGTAATGAATCCATTTCTGAAAAGAATATTTCTGTCTATGAATTTCGACGAGAATTCGAGGGATTTCCTCTCGTTCCTCCCTTTTCTTTTCCTCTTTTTAACCGATTCGTCCTCATAGCAACCATCTTTGTTTTTCCCATCAAAAAGTTGCATCCCAAAGAAGATAAGAGATAAAAATAAAAGTATTAATACAATGTTTACACATTTTATTTTATTCGATTGATTGTGGGTGATGGGGGAGGGGCTGTTGTTGCCATTTTTGAGGTACAATTTGTGTGATGACTCGTTTTTCTCGTTTTTCTGTTCTTATTCAAGAAATCATTTTTTATTTAAATTTCTAGTACTTTTCTTTATTGGAAGAGCTATACGATTCATAAATTGTCACCTAATCACAAAAATATTGCATCTAGATTAGAGAAAATGAAATCACAAAGGAGAACACGTGTACAATCATCACAGAAATCTCGACTAAAGGAGGAGAAGGTGTACAAACGAAATTTCCTCGCTATTAACACAAATTTACATATTTTCTTCCGTAATTAGATCAATTTGCATATGTTTGATCGCCTCCACTTCAACATTGACTCGACCGATAAAACTGAACAAAAGAAATAAAGAAAATCATGGAAAATAGTCAATTTCGATACTTTACATATAACAAATGAGAGAATTGAAAAAATGTAAAAAGATGGTGATATCAAAGTTCAGCTTCATATTCCTCGAATAATCTCTTCCCTATCCTATAAAAACAAACTTATCCTACCCTTATATCTTTAGACAGTAGACCTATTCATTTTTCAGTGTGACTGTCAATAGGTGTACAACGGAAAAACGAGATTTAGCCGCTTCAACGACTACTTTTTCAGAGGTTTTTAACCAAAAGAGCTTCGAACTTTTGTGTAGCAAGAAATTCTGAAAAAGTTGCCGTTAAAGTGGTCAAATCTCGTTTTTCCGTTGTACACTTATTGAAAATCACACCGAAAAATGAACAGCTCCTACCAGACAGATTACTGTACTCATTTCTATCTTATTTCATAATCTATTGCAATCCATTAACCCTTACCCATTATCGGGAATTGCTTCCAATTTCTTCAAATAATCCTCCGGCAATTCATGCTCACGCGCACCCGTAATGATCACCATTTTGTAATGAGGAGATGGAGCCTGTAATCGAAATGAAATCAATGAAAAGTAAAGAAGTTAACTTATTGCATTTCAAGCAGTCTAAACATACATGAAATTTATGATGATTTCCGTTGTATTGATATGTTCGACAAATGATCGTTTCTCCGTTTGATTCGATCGCGACTGGAAAAAAAGGAGATTTTACTGATATAGATCTCGGATATAAGCGTTTAATCTCATAATTTAATGAATTCCTTCACTAATGTACCCTCTAATCGATGATATCCGGCCTCTTGTCGATCCAATTCATCCGAGAATTCAAACGGAACTTTCCACACACAACCCCATACCTGTAAATAAGAGTGAATTCATGAAGAATGTAAAATATTCAGTTGAAATTGTATTTATTCGATCAATGCATATGAAATGCATGTAAATCTCTCCACCAGAGCAGCTATCCAATTTCTGTTTGATAAGAATTAAAAGTTGTAATCTTAAGCTAATAACAACGAGTGATGCAATCAAAATGAACTTGAAAGGGAAAAAGACTTTCAAGGTGAGTACAAATGCTGAAAGTATCTATCAAAGGTTGGATAAAATTCAATTCATTGCAGATATTGACATACAAAGTTGATAGAATCAAGAGCTAAAGTTTTTGTGTGAGTGGTTTTGTTGATTGGGATTAGTTTTGAAATATGGATATATAAATTTGTGCTTAGAAAATCACCCGAATGAAACTATGATTTGACTGTGTTTTGTGAAGGGAGAATGGGAGGCGGGGAATGAGATGGAAAAGAGAAAGTGGATTCACAAAGCCCGGGACCACCCACAACCTTTTAGACCACCCATCAAATTTCCTTTTCTCAATTTTGCCCGAAAGCCTAAAGGATTTTTCTATTAAAATGGATAAAAAGTAGAAAAACTTCAAAAATTGCACAAATTTCTTTTAGCTTACACGAATTTTTTTAGCTAAAGCTTACACGATTGTTCTAGATTTTACAAAAACCAGCAAGTCAGCTGAAAAATCGACCATTAAAGGAGAGGATTTGATTGAAAAGTGGGAATGAGTTAAATTTTGATAAGTACAAGGGTATACAAAAGTGGTGAGGAATGAAACAACCTGAACAATCTTTTTAGGTTGATTTCGACACATTAGCTATTAGATTGTAAACGAAATCTTGACCTATTCTTAAATTGCTAATATCTCAGCGTAGAATCAATATATTTGAATGAGATTTTCAACGGATTATTCTCAAAAACCTAACAAGCTTAATGTCAAAATTATAAAGTTATTCGGCGATTAGCGACAAAATTATAGAAAAAAGACTACGTGAGAGTAATTTTTTTTACCTTCAGTGCTAAATTCAAAAATACAAACACATGAGAAAACAAAACAAACAACAAAACAACAAATTTTGTTCTACTACCTTTAAAACTAGAATAATTGTAGATACTTTCTGAAAAAAAGTTTCAAAACTCTTAGCAAAGTTTATTTTATTTTTGAATCGGGCTAAACTTTATCTAGCTGTTCCCTTGAAATCGCTGAAAATTTGATATTACTATTTTGATATTGATATAATTTGATATTTAACCAAAACTACAACGTTCTTCTGCCTAAATTTTTACCAATTGAATTACACGACAGCTCTGGAAACATTTATTCATTAAAAAAATTGACCTAAATTTCTAGCTAAATATTTTTGAGTTAACCTATTTTGTGTGGACAAAAAGGCCAAAAAGGAGTACTACAGTGCGGAGCAAAACCATACGCCACCCCCTAAATTTCAATTTTCTGCGGCTTCCGTGCCAGTAACAGAAAAACTGAAAACGTAGTTAGATTCAGGACCAAAAATAACCCTTAAACCCCAAAAATCTTCGACATAGCATGAATAGGGAAAATGTAACAGCCAAAAAACGAAAATTCACCCGGTGCAAAACCATACGCCACCCCCCCCAAATTTTGGTGTCGTTGTAGCACCGTGTTTTTTTGTTATAACTTTGTCGCTAATCGCCGAGTAACTTTATAATTTTGGCATTAAGCTTGTTAGATTTGGAGAATAATCCGTTTAAAATCGCATTCAAATATATTGATTCTACGCTGAGATATTGGCAATTTAAGAAAGGGTCAATTCTTAGTTTACAACCTAATAGCTAATGTGTCAAAATCAACCTGATTATTTAGAAAGATTATTTAGATTGATTCATTCCTTATCATTTTTGTATACCCTTGTACTTATCAAAATTTAAACTCATTATCACTTTTCAATCAAATCCTCAAATCTCCTCAATCAAATCAATTTAAGAAAGAGTCAATTCTTAGTTTACAACCGAATACCTATTGGGCCAATCCATATAAAGCTTTCTCCACCAGAGCAGCTATGTGATTTCTGTTTGCTTAGAATGAAAAGTTAAAACATGAACTTTTTTTTTGACATAAAATGATAGAGAAACTTTTCGATCATTCGAGTCAACTCAACTTTTATCTTCCTTTAAGCCAAAGTTCTATTAGCTCGATATTTTTTAATCAACATGATTCTATTCAAAGATTTTTCAGTAAATTTTTATGGTTTTTGATTACAGATCTTTCAATTCAATATGTTTTTTGAGTTTTAAAAATAATTTGAAACGATAAAGCCTGGGATTTCCTAATGAATTAGCTTTTTATTGAAAGCGGCCATGAAAATGATGATTGCTTGGAATAGTTTCTTCCACAGTTGAAATCTTTAGTCAAAAAGCTGATTATTACATAACTTCTCACTAGCAACAAATCATAAAAGAACTTTTTGAAAGTTGGTTGGGGAAATCTGGAAAAATTTTAAACATTTCATATGCATTGACCCATGATCTTTCCCTTCTCTGAACTGACATGTCCATCGGGTGCTTCAATGATCGATGCCACTCCACCTCTCCACCTCTCCCCATATTCGACAAAAGTCAATCGAAATCCATTCAATAAACCGATATTGTGAAAAATTGCGCCTTTATTCTGAAGAATAACATATTTTTATCAAAATTCACTCACAAACCTGAATTCGAATTCTTTCCTGCAAAAGATTACTCCCAAAAGCGAAATAATAGAAGAAATTTTTGTTGACCACCATTTTATGATTATTTCTGAGAATGAATAAATTTCAGTAGATGAAAATGTATTCAATTTAAATGTTTCAAATTGAGATCAGAAGAGAAAAAAAAGGCGGAAGTGGATGGGGGAGATGGACGAGACAATCCTATAGACATGGAGGGGAAAGAAAGAGAAGAAAGGTGAAGGAAAGAGGAGAAAGAGGCGAACGCTTCAATTATAGAGTACAAAAGAGAAAAGAAGTAGACAAATACTGTACATAAAACACGTGTTCTGAAATGGAAATTGGTTTGCCAAATTTTTGCAAACCTATCAAAAGTTGAGTCAAAGAAAACTCTTTCTCTGTTAGCTTCCTATCAAAGGGCTTTCATTTTTGGCTTGGTATCTTATCCAAAACCAATGTCTGCTTTTCTCGGACTTTTTTCTCAGAGTCATCTGCCAAATCTTATATTAGGTTGAGTACCAATCCTTGATAACACTTTTAGTTTTTGTTTCGTCAAAGAGCAAAGAGATTTTTATAAATTTTTACTATGATAAGCAGACACGCATTGCCTAGCTTTGGGCAAAGTTTTATCCTTATCTAATGGCTGGGCTTCAAGCAGGAAGCTTTTCTTTGCAAACAGTTGATTTCGACTCTTTGATCTTCTGTAAACCTGATTTTTCTCCTGCTCCTAAACATTTTCAGCCAAAAGTTGGCAATTTGAAGTAGATACTTTGAAGAAGATAATTTCAATAATCAAGTAGCTTTTCGAGCAACTTTGATAGCATTTCAAATTATGAAAAAGCTGTTCGAAACTGGAAAAAAGTGAATTTTGAAATATCTAAAGGTCGTGTGATAATGTTGGCGATTTTACGCCGAATATCTTATTTAGGTGTTGGTAAAGTGTACTGGTAAAAAAGTTTCTGGATTGGATTTTTTTCTATAAAAAATTTTCTAGAGAGTCTTTTTTTTTGCGAGTCAATTTTTTCGCTCTTTTGTTCATAGCTCAACTTTCATTCATCAAAACAGGATAAAAACTTGCTGCCTAATAGACAATTGAATACTAACAATTTTTCAAAAGTTTCAGAAAAACACACAGTTCAGTCTTTGAGAAATCTCAAAAACTCTTGTTGAGCGATGTGGCCTAGATCAGAATCGACTGGTTTCAAAGAAAAGCTTCCCGCTTGGAGCCCAGCCATTAGATCGAGATGAAACTTTGTTTTGTTTATGTTTTTATTCAAATTATTTTCTTCAAAGTCTCTACTTCACATTGCCAACTTTTGGCTGCAAATTTTTCGGGATAGCAGGAGAATCAGGTTTACAGAAGATCAAAGAGTCGAAATCAACTGTTTGCAAAGAAAAGCTTCCTGCTTGAAGCCCAGCCATTAGATAAGGATAAAACTTTGCCCAAAGCTAGACAACGCGTGTCTAATTATCACATCAAAAATTTATAAAAACCCCTTTACTCTTTGATGAAACAAAAAGTGTTATCAAGAATACTCAACCTTTCGTTTAGCTAGCCTTTCAACAACCGCAAGTTCGATTTAAACATTGTCATAACTTTTCCTGGTTTCTTGAATGTACAGGAAACATTTCGTCACTACAGAAAAAAGGCAATTGGATGGGTATGCCCGTGGATTCCTCAGGGAGGTGAGAGGGATGGGGGCACAATGGATGTGCTCCCTTTCTCCCATCCCTATCACCCCTCCCCTCCCCTTCCCCGTCCCATTCTTGGCTTTTCTCCTTTTCCCATCCTTTTTTGGTTGGGATCCCTTTGAGATTCGCCTTCTCTCCTCTCCCCTTCCCCTTCTCCTTATCCTCTCCCATCCTCCATTGCCATTCTCAGTTGGTCCTCCTCTCCTCTGTCAATTCTCGTCCCTTTTTTATTCTCTTTGCATGCAATGGCTCACCATGCTTTATTTCTATCACAGATCACTGAATATTAACCCCTTCACTCCAACAATCCTTTCATTTTTTGTCTTCAATTCTTTATTGCAAATCGGCGATGGTGAGTTCATTCTCATTTTTACCGATGACAGAAATCAATTCTTTATATTTTTCTTTTAATTTTTAAAATTTCCTCTATCACATCTCGACTTTTCAATCAATAAGCACAATTCTGATCGTAAAAAGAGTTCCATTTTTGGCCGGAAATGTCCTTGAGAGAAAAATGAGAGAGAAAAGATAACAAAAAGAAAATATCTAGTCAAATAACTCAATCACCAAAACTATAATTAAATACTTTGAAAGAAAAGATTAAACTAAATATCCAATTGTATATCTCTTCAGTATTTTTGCTTTTTTCTTCTGGGCTTAATAATTTATTCATGCTCTTTTTATGGGGCTCATTTTGGTGAATGAAAGGAGAACAAAAATGGGGGAATGAGAGGGGTAAAAAAAGAGGAAAAGGAAAAAGATTGGATAATGTTTTGCTTGAAATATATTTTAAAAGTCTTATTTAGGTCTTTGCTCGATCCCGTGGACAAGTCATTGGTGGCACGGAGAAAGACAGGTTAGCAATTCACAAAGCAATTCTCAAAGCAATTCTCAAAGCAATTCTCAAAGCAATTCTCAAATTTTGCAAGAATTTATGAATAGATTGTAAGCTACTTATTCTAATAGAATACTTTATTTTAATAAGAAAACACAAATGATTTATTTTAGATTTTGATCTCCGATAATCACTGGTCCCATTTTGGAGAATGTGTTCAAAAAAACGATGATCACTTTTTCTTATTCAAAAGTAATATGTAAGTCGCTTTTGGGTATTCAATTAAACAAACATTTAAATGCAAATTTTACCAAATTTTCGTGTAATTTTCAGCCCATTTTTCAGCTCTCGTCTCACATGTTTTCGATGCGTTTTCCCATCACTTGTCCACGAGAATGTTCTACAATATAAAACAAGTAAAAATTCGGAGAAAAACATCATCAAATCATGCTAATTCCATGAAATTTTTACATTTTCTAGTTTATCACGAAAAATCTCTCGATTTTGAGCTAATCCTTGAAATCTTTCATCTGAAACTCCTCCTGGAACTCTCTTCTCCATCAAATCTCCAACAAAAAAATCTTTCTTTATTTCTCTTTAAAAAAAGAACAAAGTCTTTTTTTTCTTCTTTTAAGCTTTCTCCCAAAAAGATCCCTTTATTTTCCGGCCGTTTTAGTGTCGTTATCCAACTTTGGACCAACAAAAAAAGAGCTGAGCTCTACGGCTCCAATTTCCTTTCTTTCCCCATTTTTTTCTCAATTTTCTTTCAACAAAAAATTCTCCACACAAAAATCCGGGCCACAATTTCAGTTTTATTCTATTTTACTCCACAGAGAAAAGACACGAGAATTTGTGAAAAATAAAGAATAAAAAAGGAAAAATAAACATTATAAAGAAAAAGATTAACTTCATTCATTCATTCATTCATTTAGACTCTAAATTTCACTATAGGTTAAAGGAAATAAATCCAATTTTTAAATCAACAAAAAAAACTTTGCAAAAATTTCAGCGAAATGCATTTCGGATCGAGAAATGTCACTGGAGAAATGCCGAGAAAAATTGAGTGGAGATGCGCCGATGGAGACCTTGTTTAGAGGTCAAGTTCCAATGGGGGAAACATTCATTTGACGGGAAAAGGCACAAGAATTCCACTTCTGATTTCCTTTTCAACTCGAATCTCAAAAATTTTAGTTGACGGGAAAGCGGAGAAATGTCCCCTTTCAACTCCACTCAATTTCACATATCAGAATGCACAAGGGATTTGTGCATCGAGGACATCCAGTAAAAATTATTGCTTTTTTTAAAAAAGAATTTATTTGAAACTCTCTGTTAATTATCTAGTTTTACAATATTTCTTTTAGATATTCAAAAATGTGTGAACGAGAAACGATTGAAAATCCAATACGAGGCTTGTCCTGAACTGCCAAATACGGAAGCGGCAGGTGAGAAGAGGAAATTTTAATTGACTTCTGAATGATATTCAAATCAAATATTTAATACTATGGTGCTATTTTAAGAAATAAAAGCTAAAGATTGACGTCATTTCTTTTGAAAAGAAGTCTTTTGGTTGTTTGGAGGGAATGTAATCGTAAAAAAGGATGTAATCACATTTGGGGATTTCTTTCTAGTAGCTTTCAAATGATTGAGGATTTCAAAAAAAACTAAGAATGAAATAGGTCTTTATTTAAAAGATTACGATCGTTTTCTTAAAGGATACTCATTTCAGTTTATTTATTTATTGCTTTACAAATCCTTTTACATTATCCAATACTTATTTCAGCATCAATTATCCAAAGCCAACCTTTCACAAAATCGGCGACATCTTTTTGAAAAGAAGTCTTTTGGTTGTTTGAAGGGAATGTAATCGTAAAAAAGGATGTAATCACATTTGGGGATTTCTTTCTAGTAGCTTTCAAATGATTGAGAATTTCAAAAAAGACTAAGAATGAAATAGGTCTTTATTTTCTTATAGCTTACAACAGCTTACAACAGCTTACATTTTTTAAGGAATTGAGATCGAATGTATCGGTTGGTGGGAAAGTTTGGGATGGAAATTCCTGGCCTCTCGTCTCATACAATCAGCCAAAAAGAAAGCTTCTCATCGATGCATTGTAAGTGATTGATAGACGATAACGTTGGTTAGAATCTATTTTATTGATTTAATCTTTAGATTCTTGACGGTGACAACTCAAAAGGTCGTTTGGGAATCTCGGCTGATTCGAGCTGTCACGAATTGACTCATCTAAGTGCCGCATCAACACTTATCTCATATCGAATTGGTAAAAAAAACGCTAATAAATGATATTTTTAAGAAATTCAGATACGGAACTTGTCTCGAATTGTGATTTCCCGGAACAATTTGATAAAATGGATTGGATTGCAGCAAGTACAACACATAAACATCAATTTAGAGGAGGTTTGCTTGAGAAAACAAATGCTCATTCTGAAAAGCTTTTTTCTTTTGCAGGTGAATGGACATCATCTCATTCATCGAAAAGACATTCACAAAGATTGTGTCTCACCGAAACAGCACAAAGCTCTCGATCAATGGAAATGTTGGGAAATGACAATGAGCCGATCAATCAAATCATTCGTTTCTTTCGTGTTCATGTCACTGATGGATGCACTGTCGGGTATCAATGTGTTAAAGTAATTTGGAAAAATGGTAAATCAAATCTCACATTGATTTGTGCAGATGACTGAAATCCTTTCAACGGTGATTCAAATCGAATTCGGAATCGTTTCACCGAATGAGTTTGAATCGTGCGGAGAAGAAATGATTGTGATACAAAGAGAGACAATTGTACACCACAAAGCACAGGTAGGCAGCGAGAGAAAAACAGGAAGAAAGAGCACGTCATTCAGACAAATTGTCCATCTCGTGGTCTTCATTTTATTCCATCTTGTTCATTTCCCGTTTTCGAATCAGGTTGCACGAATCGACAACACTTTCATCTGCGAAAGACATGTCAACAAGAAAGTGGTTGGTGAAATTGAATGAATGAAGGTATTTCTCTGCTCAGTTTTTCTCATACGTGTTTTCTAAAACGTGTTCATCTTCAGAAACTACCGTAATTTTGATTCAAGCTTGTCGGGAACAAGAAACCCATCAAGAAAAACTATTCCATATATCCAAACATTCCATTAAAAGCCGAAGATGGCTCCAGATCAAGGCTAACTGAAAGCGGTACTAAGGGGGCACTTTTTTTTCCTCAAAACCACTTTCTCTGGGGTAGTTTTATGCGTAGATTTCAAAAAACAAAACTAGAGCTTGGAAAAAGGCACTTTAACCCGAGTTTCGGGGCTTCAAAGTACCCCCTATCTTAGTACCCTGAAAGCCATTGCCTTTAACTTGACCTTGGTTTTTGGCCTTTTTTGCCAACCCTGGTCTTGTACTCTTTTAAATTACAAATTTCATTTCAGAAAAGATCACTTGTTTGGCCACATGGATGGAGGGAAATCAAGTGTTCCTTCTCGCAAAACAAAATCATCATTCAATACAATGCTTGGTAAGAGAAATTCTTTAAAGCAATCTCTTCCTCCATTTCAGTTATTGACGGGTACTCGTGTCCGCTCATTTCCCCTCACTCCTTGTCATTCTCAATCCATTCAATTCACCCATCCAGCTCTCGATTTCACCACCACTAATGCGGGTATGATTTTAGATATTTTTAGCAGATTTGATCCCTTTTTGTTTCAGAAACTTGTACGACCGGTCTCTTTGCCGGTTTCCTCTCCTCATCATTCACCGCCATTCCTTTCAAAACTTTCACATTTTTGATTTTCTTCATGTTTTTGTTGTAAAGATTTTTGCTTTCTGTCATAAACACGGGTTTTCTTTGATCTCAACTCTCGGTGTCATTTAATAAATTGACTTAAGATAAAGTTTTATTAGCCCAGCTCTATCCTCTATCCATTCCCAACACTAATCATTGAAAAAGATTCATTAAATGTATCATTTTTGTTATTCTATAAAATCGCGAAGAGCTTTTCTATATTTTCGAAGTGAATTTTCTATATTTTCGACTTGTTTGCAGCTCGATCCCTGAGGAAACGACGAAGAATTTTGCCTGCAGCCGATTTTGGGATTTCATCGATGAATTCAACTCCGCCTTTCAATTGTTTATAAGAAGAAACACGATCTGAAAATGAGAACGGAAATTAAATTCGAAAAATGCTTAAAATATTAGAGACTTATCCAGTTGATCAGTATTCCAGTATTGATTAATTGATTTCTTTTGCTAAATAAATCAAAAGATTGCGATCGTTTTCTTAAAGCATATTCATTTCAGTTTATTGGTAACTTAATTTAACATCTTTTACAAATCCTTTTACATTATCCAATACTTATTTCAGCATCAATTATCCAAAGCCAACCTTTCACAAAATCGGCGACATCCTGTTGAGTGAGTGTCTCATCATCTCTCACAACATATGCTCTTGGTAGTTCTCCTGATCGCTTATCCGGGATTCCAATCACAGCACAATCACGAATCTTCGGATGAGATAGGAGAAGATCTTCGAGTTCAGCTGGTGGAACCTGTGAAATGCTAAAATGTTAGACCAATTCCTCTCGTTTACCTGTAATCCTTTAACCTTAATAAGCTCTTTCAAACGATCAACAATATAGAGATTTCCCTCTTCATCCACATAACCGATATCCCCTAAAGTACTTTTTCGATACTTTTTCCATACTCAAATCTCTCGCTTAAACACTTCATTTCCACAAAGAAACCTGTATGCAGCCATCCATTTTGAATGGTTTCTTTCGTTGCCTGTTCCCTTCCGAGATATCCCATCATCACTGTGGGTCCCTAGATATCAAATTTGATATTTCAGATTGACATAAAGCTTTAAAATCTTTAAAATTATCTTAAAATCCTTGATCAAAAATCCCATCCAAAAATCCATTCCCTTAAAACCCTTAATCATAATACCTTGATCAAAAGTTCGCCTCGTTCACCGGTGTTGCAAATCTTGCCCGTTACTGGATCAACAATCTGAAAAGAGATAATTGAATTTTTAAATTGATCTAGATTTTCTCGAAATGAATCTCCAGCTTTGACCTTCATTTCATTATTTGCAGTGAGATGTCCAGTTGCGCCGAATTTCTGCTTTTTCGTCAAATCGGGAAAATGAGAAGCGAGCGAGATTTCCGTCATACCGTAACCTGAAATATCAAGATATTAGATCTATCAAACTTTTATCCAAACTTCTACCTTGAACAATATATTTGACATGGGGAAATCGTCTTTGCACCTCTTCACAAATATCTTTTCCCGCCGGAGCAGCGCCTGAACGATTCGAGAAATCAAAATTAAATTGAGTTATGGATTCCATATTGATATGGATTCCATATCAATATTAAAATGAGATAATATTGTTTGCCTGATAGAATCATTTTCAAAGACGAAAGATCGTATTTCCCAGCAGTCGGATGCTTTCCCATGAAAACCAAAATTGGAGGAACAAGAGAAATTGAACGAATCTAAAGGATCATTGTTTTAGATTGAAATTTGAAATTTGAAATATTTTGAGAGCTTTCAAACCTTAAAATCTTGAATAGCTTTACAGAAAACGTCGGGATCAAAATGTGAATGAATGATACCGGTCGCTTTATAATAAAGAGTCGACACCTGCAATCATTCAATAAAAATTTCATTTCATTAAATTTTAAATAAGCTTTTGGTTTAATTTCCAAAACAAACCATGATTGCAAAACCAAAAATGTGATAAAATGGGAGAAAAAGATTGTAATTCTCTTTCTCATCGTCCCATTTTGGATCGAGAACCGTCATGAGACGAGTACGGTTGTGACTAAAACATTCGTTTTTATCGTTTAAAGCCTTCAAGACACGAACATTGCATAGATTTGAAGCATTGTGCCAAAATTTCGATGTGAAATCATGACTCCTTTCGGTGATCCCGTTGTTCCACTAAATTTTCCCCAAGAAATTCATTCGAAATTTTCACCGAGAAAACCTCGAATACGGTAATAGCATGATGTCTTTATCCAAATCGACAACAACATCTTTGAGACAGCTTTGTGCAGGAGTGTTCACCACAAAATCCCATGTAAATATATTTGCTGGAAGGGCTTTTGTGGATCCTTTCTTTCGAACAACAATTATTGTCTAAAAACCTTTCAAATCAGTCTTTTTTTCCATTCAAAACCTTAATGAGAGGACATTTCGCAGCGGCAATCATCACTTTGTCGAGAGTTTCTTCTTGTGTGATCACAAGTGAAGCACGAGAATCCATGAATTGTCTCTCCAATTCATCTACAATCAACACTTTTTATAGAGATACAGAGAGATTACATACAGGAAGTAGTACCGTATTCCTTGAAACCTTATAACAACTCTATAGTACTGTAGTACTTGTCTCTATAGTACTGTAGTATCTACGTACTTGAGCCAATTTCTCGAATGAGGCGCTCTCCTGGTCGATGATGGTGACCCGACTGTTCGACTGATTGGGCAAAATTGCCCGAATAACTTTGTAGGAAACTAGTTGTCGCACGCTTCATTTATTTCAAGTGTTATATAGAGAATTGTAGCCCTTAGTCTTGACTACATTTATCTACTAAAAACTACTTCCCAATCGGATTTATACAACTCATTTAACAAACCCTTCAATGAGCACTGATCCCTGTCCAGTGTGTTGCCATTTTTGACGATTTAGTTTTACATAAAATATTATTCGAAAAAGCTTTTGTCAATATTTATTTTATGGAGAAATATCATTTAACACCATTAATAATATTAAAGATAACTTTCAACTGTTTTAGCTAATCTGCTATAACCAAAATCAATTTGGTGACTAGCTTCTTTGAAGACGCAGGGAAAAAGGTGAAATTTGATCATTTTTCGAAATTTAACTCACATGAGTATCTCGTTATATTAGCTGTTATAGCGCTATGAAATTTTTGGAAATTATTCCTTAAACAAAATGCACACAAAGTTTACTCGATAAAGTCCTTTTTAGATCAAATTTTTATATAGAAAATTGTCAATAGGGATCGCTCCGGATAGGGATCGACTTGTGCTCATTGAAGGACTTTTTAAATGAGTTGCATAAATCCGATTGAGAAGTTTTTAGTAGACAAATGTAGTCAAGATTAAGGGCTACAAATCTCTATATAACACTTGACACTTTGAAATAATTGAAGCGTGCGACAACTACTTTTTCAAAATGTTGTCCGGATAATTTTGCCCAATCCTGTAGATAGTATAAAAGTCGATTTCTCAACTTACAATCCGTGAAAAGTGCGCTCGCTCCCGATGCAGCTCCACCTCTTTTCATTACAGCCAAATAAAAAGCCGCCCATTGCCAACAATTCGACATCACAACGGCTGCCTGAATATTTTTTCGATTCGAAAATTTCTTTATCTTTTATGGATAACACTTTTTTAAATTTTTAAGTTTACCGTTTGTTTGGTGAAATCCCTTTGATGCAAAAAAGTTACAATCGAGTCGATAACGGTGAGAAGTTGAGAATATGAAATGGATTCGGATCGATCAAAAGCATTGATCTGCAAATTGATTTTCGTGATTTTCTTTACAATTCACTTCATTATTACTTACAAATGCTGGCTTATTTGGTTGCCTTTTGGCGACATCACGAACACTCGTGAGAATTGTTTCGTGAACAGGTTCGACACTTAATGGAACATCGGGATATGAGGATTTGTAGATCATTCTTGAATCCCTACAAGAAATGGGTACTTATATCCACGCACAGAGCTATATCGAATGTGAACTTGAAAAATGAAAACTTCGAAATGTTTTCTCTTTTAACTGAGATTCGTTAAACTTTCCCGAAATTGATAAGAGCGGTCAAATATGGATTTTATCAGATAGGGAAAGAGAAAAAAAGTGGAGAATGAAGGAGGAAAGTTTTGGAAATGTGGAGATGATTTAGAGGAATCAGGAATAAGGCAAACCTAAGGAATCTAGTGTATTGAAGAAATGCATCACATACTGGCCAGGGCTATTTAGTCAAAAAGATCAGAAAGATCAGAAAGATCAGAAAGGGTAATACCATTTGATGGCTGATTACGGCTTAAGATTATCATTTAATCACTTTCTTAGAGCATACTTTTTAATAGAAAATGCTAATAATAGAAATTTATAATAGAAACAGTAAAGATTAAAATGATTAAACGATTTTCGAAAGTTGAATGATGCATGCATCTCAATTGAAGGCAACGAGAGTAAAACGCAAAACTCGTAGTAAGCTAAAGTCGCTGAATGTAATCGCATTGATTTGAAATAATTGAATTGAATGAATGACTGAGTGATGAACGAACAGAGTACAGGCTACATCACCAATCTTTCCCCCAATCATTTCCCCTTTTTTCGCCCATTCCAAATTGATAATCTCTCCTTGAAGGTCACTAACAAAAAAAATCCTTAAAAAGATCAAAATTCTTGCGATTTCCCACTCATAAATGACTTGTAATTGATAGGAAATGGTTCAATGTTTGTAAAAAAAATTTATAAATCAAAAAAGTTTCATCATTCAATCGCTTCTTCCACTTGTCGATGCTCGCCGATGAGGCGAAAGACTCTGAAATTGAGAAGAAAAATCGATTGAACCGTTTCACTTCAGAAATGTAACATGAAAGTTTGCTAAAAAATGTTTTTGAAGATCTCTCACCTGTATTGGAGAGTGACCGAGAAAAACCAGGCTCTCTCGTTGCCGAAACACAAATAGTAATAGCCTGGAAATGGAGGGGATTCGAAAGGGTTATTGCTCTTATAGAAAACATGAACTTTACAATATCCCTTATCCTTTATCTCCTTTGATTCCCCTCAAAACTGACCGCTTTTCGGTGTTTCCCATTTCCAATCATCACACAATCTCAACGGTGGCCTTTCACTTCCCGCATAAATCTCTTGCCATAAATCCTCGTTTTCCTAAAAATCAACTTTTCGATATCTCTCACCTTCACTTACAATATCGTCTTTTGAATAGTAAATGAAAAAATGAAATCCCTCGGAATGTTTCATGTAAAAGTGAAGCTTTGTGCCAGCTTCCCAGTGATACCTGCAAAGATAGAAATATGAGAAAATTTGAGTGCACTAGCACTGGCAAAACCCTAAGTTTTTTTGTTTTTGCAAAATCACTTTTTGATGAGTTTATCACCAGCTGAGACGGAGATCGTGTCAAGATCAACCGGTGAATCGATGCATGGGGGGAATGGTGAGAGTGGAATCTGAAAGCAATCTCATTTCAACTAAAGAAAGAAAATTGAATTTTTATACAAATTCTCATCTCTAATTTCCGTCAAAGAGAGCCCACTGGAATTGTGATCATCTCAAAATTGTCCTCATCGTCAGCATTTCCTCCTTGACAATATTCTTTTGGTAGCAATGAAGCAGAGATATGTTTTAGGAGAGTATTTGAAGGATCCGATGATGAACAAATCTCCAGTCGAGACTGAAATTATTTGAGATTTGATCTAGAGTGTGTACATCTCGAGTAAAGCCTTTTCGAACGTGCGGACCAAGACGAAAGCTATCGTAATTTTGTGAATGAATGGGTTACGCGTTTGTTTCTAAAACGAGCGACTGTTAGGTCGCAGGTTCGAATCCGGTCAGAATTTAAGAAAGAATTCCCGTTTTGATCGATTGTGGCCCAGTGTGCTGTTTTGTATCATCAACTTACCCTATAATCATTCGGAATGAACGGGATACACGTCGAGTAGAGAAGATTCACGAATTTTGGGGCTCTCACGATGAGAATGTGGCGAATGAGTTGAGGATATTGCTCGAATAAAGTACCCCACATAATACGATATGGACCTGAAAAGAAAAGAGAGAAAATTCGGCGAGTAACCATGTAAAAAAGAAGGGTAATTTTGATGGAAGATATCAAATACCAGCTAGTAATGAAAGCAATGCCGGCCGAAACTCTAATCCATCCAAATCCATCACCAAAAGGCCGCCTGATTGGCGTCCCGTCTTTTTCTGTAAATATTTTCATCTTCTTGTTTTCTTCTCTTCTACATTCTTTCGATTACCTCCAATTCGATAACTTTTCGATGAATTCGTTCCATTAAGCGAAATTTCGCTCTCATAAATGAGGTAACCTGGACTCACCGGTTGAAAATGATTTCTTGAAAACAATCCCACCTTTGCATTGTCAATCAAACCATGAATATCGATTTTCCCACTTTGCTCAAAAAGAACCACCTAGAATTTTTAGTTATGAGTGTTTAAAAACGTCTTTTCACCTTATTATCGTCATCTTTATTTTGCCCGAGAATCGATAATGGAGCGAATTGATCAACTCTTTCATCAAACCCCTCACTCTCTTCTGGCCAATCATCCCAGCCCATCACTTTGCGCAAGTTTAGATGCCTTTTCAAGATCTAAACACTTTTTTAGGAAAAATTAGAAAAAAAGCAAAAACGTATTCCGTTGCCGGGAATCGAACCCGGGCCTTATGGGTGAGAGCCATAAATCCTAACCACTAGACCACAACGGAAGTGGTTGGGGTTGCCGGGAAAGAGCCTTTCTCTCGTTTGCCTTCATTTCGATTACCTTAGCCGCTTCTTCTTCATTTCCTTCGTATGCTTGTATCCATCGATTTACATTAAAAATATGTTCAATATAAGGATTTCCTTCAGCTTCGGCCAACTTGATCACTCTTTTACATGCTTCAAACTCATCGAAAGTCAATGTCATCTGAAATACGTAAAAATTTTGCTTTAAGCGATCCTTGTTTTACGATTATCGAAATCCAAATTTTCAGAGTTAAGTTTTAAACTTTAATTTCGAATTTAGGTATTCAAGTAGGTGAAGGAAATTAGTCCCTTAATATCTACAGTATCCATTTTACAGTAAGCCACAAACAAATCAAAACTATCGATTGAGGAAAAAAAATAATGCCAAAAAGGATGAAAAAAAAGTCGGAAATGCTCCATTTACGTGTCCTTTTTTATCTAGCGATTTCATCTGAATTCCATCGAAGATCTACAAAATGAGAGCTGGTTTTTCGCCTTTTTGTCTCTGTTTTCACTCTCAACGAAGGGTCGATTTTTTTGAAGAGAAAGCTGTTTTTTTTTTTCTTGGTAAAGAGATATACCGAAACGAAAATCGGGCATGTATTATTGTAACAATGCGTGAATTGTGAGTAATGATCATAATGATGTTTTCCAAAGCTTGTTTAAACTCTTTCAAATATCTAAATTGAATGAAACTTTAAAATTTAACTTTTTTCAACTTTCAAACTGCTTAAAATTTAATTTTGAATGCGAACCAAGTTCAAAAAAAAGTGATAACACCTGTCAAAACAACTCTGAATTGAATAATTGGATTGATTATCGAAAGAAAAACAAGACAATTTGTCGAGAAAAGATCAACTACTCTAATTTCCTGCGCTGAAAAAGACTCTATAAATAGGCAAATCTAGCACAAATCCCTTTGATCATTCCAAACATTTCCAAAATGGAATCCCTTTTCTCACCTTTTCACTGCTCTGAATGTCGACAAGAATGTGAGGGATTTTTTTTATTATTTTTAACTCGATAAAACTTTACAAATATCTCTTTTATTTGCCACTTTAGTTTCCTCGAACCTTTCACTCGATTCTTCCCCAATTCTCCTCAATTGTTCTCGTTTGGTGTGCCGGAAATGTTGTAAGAGAAGACTTCGTAAACAGATCAATTTGAAAGATCGAACATCCTGTTATCGAACTACCATTGCACCATATTTATTGATTGGTAGGTGGTAAAATTAAAAAATTTGCTTTAAAACTTAACATCTCAATAAATATTTCTCAATCATTCAGGTACAATCTCCGAGCTTGCATATCATCGAAATCAGGCCGAGAAACAAAAACGCATGACATTCTCTCGATGGGTTCCGGTGGGTTGTTTAAAGAATCCGGTGGGATTAGAAGATACTATTTTAAATATGAGAAACAGTGTGCCGTAAAAGGCTCTTTAATAACAATTTAATCACACGTGATGGATATCTTATTCTCAAAACATTTTCAGCCTCCTCCTACCGAAATCACTTCTTTACACTGTTCACTGTGCAATACTATGTGTAAGTTATTTTGAAAGCTAACAACAAATCTAAAGATGCAATCCAAATGTTGTACCATTTCCTTTTTAGACTCCACCAATCCAAACTCTCCAAATAGTGCCGTCATTCTTAAATGTGGTCACGATTTGTGTCAAAATTGCTTTGTCACCGAAAGAGCTCCCGGAAAATTCAAAGTAGTTTCAGTAAATACATTCTAAAACTCTTTATCCAGTTTATTCACTCGACTTCATCTCTTTTCGAACAAAGAAAAGTTCACTGTGTGGTGCAAGAGTTGTCGAAATGATACTATGGGTAATTCGGGTGAGCCAATGGCACAATTAGCCACAGGTTTTTCATGAATATAAACTCTTTTACAAAAGATCTTTCAGAAGTGATCGATTATCTCGTGAGATCTCGAAAAATGATTAGAAACTCAATTCATGTAAGAAACTGTACCTTTCAAATAATTTAAATGCAAATTCAGCCACTTCATTTTGAGGAACTTTGCCCTCAGATCGAACGCAACCCAATGGTAAATACCACTGAAATTTGTCAATCTGAAGCTTTAAATTTAGGATCCTTTCTCAAAATATTGTTCAATTTCCTGTGTCGAGAGGGTTAAAGGCCAAAAAGTGGCTCAAATGGTCGCCATCAATTCACCGAAAGCTCCCAAGTTTATCAAAAGAGCTGCCAAACGACAATAAATGTTAATCTGTTTTATCACAAAGTTTTTTTTAAATTTCTTATAAAAAACATACAGAAATAATGAACAAAGTGTTTTAAACAGAAAAAAATTTCCACTCAAAACAACAATAAATACTCGTATTGAAAGTAAATAACTCATGGAAAAGAATATTTTACAATAGACCAGATAATTCTTTCATGAATTCATTGTAGGCTTCATCGGTAGATTTCGCCGCGTTTGTTTCGGCTGGTCTAGGTGCTCGAGCAAGCTAAATATAGATATGAACATTCAATTAGGCAATTCAAGATAAATAACAAATAGCTGACTTTCGGTGGGAGATGAGTGGTTGTGTTTGGTTTCTTCTTGAGGACGGTGGGCACTAATTTGGCGGCTTCTCGACGAAGGTCTCTGAGCTGAGGGGCTCCAACAAGAGTCGTCGGTTGAATGGGACCAATAGATGATGAGCTTGCAGCCGTATTACGAGATCGAATCTAAACAGAACAATAATTGGTCGAATACAATAATATTAAATTTAAGTTGTCAAAAGTTACCTGAGGTGCTCCGGAAATAATAGCCACATCAGGAATCACCGGCATTTGCACAGGAATCTGTGGCGGCTGGGCAAAAATGGCTAAGGGTAGTGGCGGCTTCATAGGTAGGGTTGGAGCTAAATATTTTTGATTATTTTCAAATGATCGAATTATTATTGAACTTTTAGTCAATGAATTTAAATAAACGAACGTCTAAGCAATGGATGCGTATTGAATGTTGGTTGCGGAAGGCTGCCAAACCCGGGCACATGACCCAATTCTTCGGGAACTAAACGACCATGGAATAAAAATTCTTGCTTAAAAACGCACTTGGTACTGGGTCAAGATTATTGTCATCAAATTCTCCATAGTTGTCCATTTCATCTTCACTTGCACTCAAATCAGGTGGTGGACCGCATGGAGGCCCTGGAGGTTTTCTTCGATCACGCGGAAGTTTGAAGCTTCTAAAACATGAAAGATTTTGGAGACAACTAACGATAAATGAGCCCGAAGCTGTTCAAATTAAATAACCACTTACACGCTACGTCCCTCCTTTTTCTTTGGTTGTTCATAAGTGCGCGGCCCCATCAGTTGCAGGGTTCTATCATCACCTAGACAAATCTTTATAAAATTCAATTAGGAAATTCGTCTTACCTTCTTTCATTTCACCATCAGGCAACGGGATAATAGTTGGATCAATCGATCGTGCAATACGTTCTTGTTCTAAGACATAAAATGTAATAAGTTTCCCAGTCAAACCATACTAAAATTTTACCTGCCAATCGCTTTAAGCTTGCAACTTGGGCGTAATAGTTTTTCATTGCCTCATTTAATTTTTGAGTTTCATCATCGTCCTAAATAACTGTAATGATTAGAAATTTCTTTGACAACCTTGACAGAAATCAGGATAGCTTTTCTTTTCTCAATCACATCAAGAATCGTCTTTTGTTTCTTTCTTAGTACATCAACCGCAAACGTTCTTTCATCAAGACCGAGTACTAAATTGAAACTTTTATGCAAGCAATCTCTAATCTGAAACATCTCTAAAACATACTCTGTCTTTCAAGCATCAGCATTTTGCGTAGATTTCCAGCGACTTCAGTGTGCTTAGCAATGGCGACGCGAACCTAAATGACATGGATATTATTTATTGAAGATTGAAAATCTTTAGAAATATCATAAATTCATAAAACTACCTGGTGTCGCTCTTTTTTATTTTTCTTGATTACGCGTTGACGCTCGGCTTTTCTTGCCTAAAATAAAAAATATATCAACAAGGAGAGTATTACAAACCTGATCTACGGGTGCTCGATACTGTTTCCCATGTTTTGTTTTAGAAGTCGAACCCATCTTTCTGTAAAAATACAAGTAGATTGTCGACTATAGTTAATAGCAATAGCGAAATAGCAACAGGTTCAACAAGAAGCCACAAAAAGCAAATGTCACAGGTGCCTTTCGTACATCTGCGTTTGGTCAACCCGCAAATTAAATTCTGGAAATTGAAATAAAAACTAGAGACAAGTGTTTGGCTGTCAATTAACATTTCAAAGTACAAAAACAAATAGAATAAAACTTTATTTATAAAAGCCAAGAAAACAAAAAAAACCCAACAATCTTTATCCAAATCCATTATTTCCTATTCGTCCTCATTCATCATCATCATCTTCTTCCTCACTTTCTTCTTTTAACCAATCAATGATTCGCTTCATTAAAGTCCTTAACGTAAAAATAATGGCCTCAGTATAAAGAAATAATAAAAACAGACGATATTACCTGATTGGGGAGCTCGCATCAAGACTTTCGTGCCACTCCAATATAGCTGGCGCTTCAAGGATCCCCAATCCGGTCTCGGTATAGAGAAAATGAACCATGTTTGGTAGCGCTTTGTTGAAATCTTCATTTTGGGCACCGAAACGTTCCTAAATACTTAATGAAGTTTAAAATTGCTCTAAAGCTTACTTCTATAGCCATGAGCATTTGTACTTGACTCTTTTGAGGCTTGTAGTAATTCGTGAAAAGGCCTTTCCATTTTAAAGCCAACTAAATAGAATCAATTTATCAATAAATTTTGAAAAGATGTACCTCTTTAAAACCAATAAAGGTTTTGCATGCGTTTAGAAGAATAAATGTCTTGAAGGCGTATTTTGCCACATCCTCCATCGAAATGTTATTTGCGAGTTTGGAAGAATTGATTTCAAGAATTAGATTGTTCATCTGAAAAATGGTTAGGTAACACTTTTAAAAGCAACAACCAATTGCGGCGTAAATGATAACTCCAGTATTCGAGTCATGCTGTCGAAAATCTAAACTTTATTTAATAAAGGATTGATAGCTCTAAAAAACCTCTTCTTGAAAAACGGCGACCGGCTCAGCTTCAGCTGTTTCTGGACTACTTTCTTCATCCGTTAGCACATTTTCATCAACAGAACTAAAGTTTTTTATAAAATCATTATTTTTTTGTAAGCTTTACTCGGCGTGTGAAAATACATCTTCAGCCCCATTACCAAGCTTCACTTCTTTCGACCACATTGAATATCCCGATGAAAGCTTCCATAAATAAAATCCTCCTAAAAGCAAAAAAAATAAAATTAGCTTTGTAGAATGCCTACCATCAACTCTATCAAAATCGAGACCTTCGTCGTCTTCATCTGGAGCAAACGTGCATAGAGCATATCCAGCAACACTTCTGTTCAGCGGATCAGCGGGCATTCGAAGCTAAAACAAACTTACAATTGATAAAACATTGAATAACGATTACATTTGATGAAAGAATAGCATATTTCTCCAGTTGATATCCATTTGGAATCGTAACTGAGTCGCCGATGATAGCATTTTCTAGCAAACATCCCCTTCCGATTCGACAGTTACGCCCAATTATGCAATTTCGTATTCGTGTGCCAAGCCCTGAAGAATTATTTGAAAAACTCTTTTCGAATAAGTCAAGTTAAATCTCACAAACATTACAAAGTGGGCGACAGGACAATATTCAAGTAAACGAGTGGGTGGGCAAATGCAAAAATCTTGACAAAAAAGAAAACCATTCTCCGAGTCGGCCCCACCAATCGTCGTGCCGTCGCCCACGACCGAACCAACAACTTTAACGGCTTGCTCAATTTTACAACTAGCTCCAACCATTGAACATGAACCAAGAATTGCTTTGCTAAACAGAAAAAATATATGAAACATTAAAATATGCTCACCTTTGAGTTCCAGCAAGCGATCCAATCTTTTCCTTCTCAACGCCATAATACATATTTTGTCCATTTGAAACAAACACGTACTCATCAGGCTAAGATTCTGTAATCTAAAACAATTTTTTAATTAAACCTGAAACATATTATCGGGGCAAAGTGGATAAAGCCATCGGTCCATTAAAAGAGCCGAGGCGGTCAAGTACGACTTGTAATCACTAAAAACGAGCAGTTATTCCAAAATTCCCTACAAGTTTACTTGATTTGGGTAGCACATTCTGATTCATTTAGCACATCAACATGAATGTTAAGCAGTAGGATTTCCTCGTTAGCAAGGATTTCTCTAAAAGACAATTTAAGAAAAGTTGCGATTAGATGAAATTAACCTAATCGCATCATCTCTTCCTCTGAAATCGAAGTTTGTGCTGAATTGAACAAGAACGTTTACAGAACAGATGGCAATTCCTGTATCGGTAACATTGTTGCGAATAACCACGTCATCCAAGAAGTAATTCTGAATTCTTTTCAGTTGTTTTGCTACTTAAAAAACAACCTTGTCGACATCAAACCTAGAAGGATTATCGGCTCGATGGTAGAGAACCAGCTTTCCATCAGCCTTTTTCACTCCAATTGTTGCTTTCTCTGGATGACTTGATCTTGAGTAAATTAGAGTCATCACATTGTTGCGATTAGCTTTTCGTCTGGCTCTAAAGACTTAGATTTAAACGTACTTGCTTAGCGCCTACTACCGGAAATTTTCCACTTGCCGCCTTAATGTTGCATTAGTAAATGTTGCCGGGTTTGTGATAAGCAGGAAATCAGACTGAAACAAAGCTTTTAATTCAATAGGACAGTAAATTTTTACAGAAATGATCGCCCGTAAGTCCAATTCTCTCAAAGCATCCCCAATCGATGCCGGATCTCTGCAACTGATCAGAAGAAATTGTTCGAAGAATGTTCTCCATCTTCTACAACAAAAGCATATACATAAGTAGTCAAAAAAAAATGCTACTTACACTTCTGTTGGCTTCAGATAATCCAAATTCTTTTCCGATACCAGCAGAATTATTTTATTGATCTATAATTGATGGGATAAAATAACCACTGTGAAACATTACCTCAGTTCTGAGAATCCAATCAATGGTGAAATCAATGATTGGAACATTGCACACACGATGTAAGCACTGAAAAACAAACCGATATTTTTTTTATACTGAGGCAAATACCCACCCAAGGACCCTGATTGCTCAAAAACGGCGCAAAGCGCGTTTCGTAATGGTCGGCAACGATGACAGCAGTTAACGTGTTCTGAAACACTTTTTTTAAATGTTAACCACAAAACAAACATCATCTTCTTTCTTTTGGATCGAATCTCTAGCTATCGTCCCTTTCGGAGGCATCTGTTTAAATAACTTTGTAGAGTAGACGACTTTTAATCAAGAATAGGTATACCGGTACTGTTTGTGCAAAATAAACACTTTTGACACTAAAAAGTATGAGCTTGACACGTTTATTTGCGTAATAATGTAAAAATAACACAAAACAGAATTCAAATTTTGAGATGTTGTCGAAGTATGTTGATAAACTGCACATGTGAAGCGTATAGAGGCTCGGTCGTCGTGATATCAACCCATTTCACTGCCTTTGCATCATCAGCCGCCTAAAAAAACAAGCTCAAGATAAAATCACCATTGTCAACCTCAAGTTCCACGTCATTTAACAACCCGGTTTCGTCATGAAAGTTAACGCAAACCGTCTCCATCCAAGCATTGTCGGTGTTTCGCGGATCATCAACATAGCCCTGCAAAGAAACATTTAATGCAAATACGCAACTAAACATACCCTATATAATTCTTTTTTGTTCTTCCATAGAGCATCTAATTGTCGAAGATCTTTCCCTCCTAGCGCTTCTTCGCTAAACTCTCTCTTAAGTGTCGCAGAGATTTCCTCACCAGCATCCACCATCCCTCCTGGTATTGCCCATTCGCCTTAACTTTTGAAAATAAAATGCTCGCATTTAATGGTTTACCGGTATCATGTCTTTGTATAGCAACAAATTGTACCCTGCCATTTTTGCACCTTGTGACCAATGGATCTGCAGCATGATTTGGACCCCATCTAAAAATATGTAGGCTATCAGTCGTCAAAAGAAAACTTTACCTGCCTAAGATGCCTCTTCCTTGCAATCCTGTGCGTCCCATTGGATTTAAAGGACGACCCTTTGAGTCAAATGAATAATTTCTAAAAGAAATCTGTACATTTCAATCGTAGAATTACAACCACTAACACAATGTGTGATATCCGATTTACTTTGCCATCAATGTTGTTCCACTTGATGCCCTCTAATTTGTCATCAGAGTATGGCTTTCCAATGGCACTTGAAGCCGTGTAATCGGGAGGACTAAAATAAAACTAATTAACTAATAGATAAATACCCGTAAGTTTTTAGAAAAGAGTAAAACATACTTGTACTCTGGGTATTCTGTCGACCACTTTATCTTATCCTCAGGAACTACAAAACGATGGACATTGCTGTGAAGATAAGGAATATCTAAAAACATTTCGGTAAAACAAAGAACAAGTATAAAGTGTGACACATTTGTACCTGTGTTGCGACACTTTTTATGGATAAATGCCATTGTTTGTTTGCACAACAGATGATTCCAAATCGGCATACACAAAGTACTGAAAAATTAAAAATTTTGGAGAATATAAAACGGAAACGACGATACAAAGGAGGATGCCAAGAAAAAAATAGAAAAAGTTTAAAAAAATCGAAGTCGAAATGCTAAAATCTTCATGGGCAGAAAAAGAGAAATTTATTAGTTTTGTTTTATACCAGCTTACTTCAGCATATTGGAAATTTAACTCGTAAACTGAATATTTTCCCATTTATGATTGGTATTTTTCCACGATTATTTGCTAGGCTGATCATTTTTTCAGCACAAGACCCCGTTGTGGTGGAGCATATTTTGAAGATTCTATACACGATACTAGTAGGTACGTGGGTTGTTGATGAGCGGAGGAGATTCAGTCCCCCCCCCGTCTACAACATCAGGTCACATTGTATTGTTACTGTTGAAACGTGCGGAGATCGTGGAGTGATATTTAACTTCCTCGTCTATATATCCCTACATTTGCCTCTTCTGCAACGGTTACTCATTGCATGCGCGTATCTAATAAGAAATGGTTTGGAGTTACAACAAATTGCAATAATAGGTCAAATACCCGATCACCAAAAAAAACAGGATGTAGACAGTTTTATACATCTCATGTCATTTTCAATCAACGTCAATGATATGATCAAAATAGTTGGGCCTGAGATCGTAACTTTCATCAGTTGAAAATTTTTCAAGTACTGCAAGCACGTCTGGATGATGCCAATACAGATACCCATACAATTTCCATCGTTCAGGTGAAGGCCCCATTTTCTATAAATTATTCAACCGAGTTAGATATAGCGTTCAGAAAAACAAACTTCCAATTCATGGCTTGACCCATCAAGCCATTGAAAACTCCTCTCAAGAGCATGTAGAAATTTATTAAAACACTGTTGCCCATTTCGATGTATAGATCTAAACTGGTCATTGTGGCATAAAGATAGTAAGACTGACCGCGTCAAAGCTCTACGTAAATCTTGCATGTTTGCTGCAAGTTCCACCTTGTAACCGTACCTTTGCGAGTCACTAAAACAATATCGTTTAGTGGAGAGACATACGATCTAGTTTACCAAAATCGCTTCATCAACTCCTCCACAACCGATTCCATAATAAATTTGAAAGCTGCGACTCGATTTGAATATTCATCCGTTGGATTTGGTCTCATTGGAGCAGGTGCTTGTCCTTTTGATGTAGAATCAAAAGCTGACGGCCAATTGCTTATTGAAGCTTTCAATTTGGCTTGAATCTTTTCAAGAAGATCCTTGTTTATGGATGGATTTAGATTTGATCTAGAGCCGCTTCGAGTTGCTTTATCCATCAACGTTTGCTTCAGAAACTGAGAGAAAATGTTCTGCTGAATAGAGTCTTACCCACCTCAACCCCAGTACTTGACACCCCAGAATCCGAGTACGAGTTAGTACGGACAGCTAATATATTGTCTTCAGTAAGTAAAGCAACATTGAACTCGTCATGCTCCTTGCCTGTAATTTTTCTACTGCACACTTACATCAATTGAGATTACCGCACCAATTTGAGCCAACTCAAGAGCACTTGCAAGAATTTTACTGTCATTATCTGGAAGATTGAGTTTATCTCGTCGTCTCAAAGCCTAAAAATTTGCTAGAATTTTACTTTGAATAAACTTCAAACGTGTTCCAAGATGAGCAAAGGAGAATATAAAGTGGAAGTAATTGTGGTAACAGATCGAAGATAACGGTTGAGAGCGGAAACTACTTTCTGGAAACACAATGAATTTAGCTTGCGAAGAAGACAAAACTCTGAACTGGGGATCATTCTTTCGATAGTCGAGTTCACCTTGCACTTCAATTGGAATAAAAGTGACAACTTGATCTGAAAATAGGTAAATTTGAAGCAGCTCAACAAAACAACAGACGTTCAATCAAAAATTGAATTATATCTGGCTCTTTCAATAAAGAACATGTATCGCATACAACCAAGAAATCTTGTTCATAAAACTAAATGGATTCATTGGATTGAGATTATCGAATATTGATCTTACCAAATCTGCATTTTTAGAAGTACTAGGAATTGAAGTGACCTCCATCACAAGATCGTCAAAAGTGCGTTTAGCTCCGTTAAGCAATTCTCTCCTTTTCACAGTTTTCTTTCTCACTTTTGAGGTTGATTCAAGAATTGGAGTTTTTCTAAAATAATTGCTTTGAATATTTCTCAATTTACATACCTTTTAGAAGAGGTTTTTCCTTTTTCCTTTTTCGAAAGCGGTGGTTGGGGTATCTGTAAGAATATTCTTTTGCTTTTGCTACAATTAGAATTGTCTACTTGCAATGCATCCTCATCAGTTGGACGTTTCCAAATCGACTTTTCAAGTTTCGGTTGCACATAATAAAGTTTCCCTCTTGTCTTTGATTCAAAACAAATCCATGGATACGAAAGATTCGTCTCCGTGTAAACTCGTTGCATTCTCTGAAATAGAATCACTGTAATCGCAAAATTTCATTTAAAATATATACCTCAGTTTTTGTTGATGGGAATTCCCACTGAGTTGTGTCATTTGTTGGATTGACATAATAGAGTAATGGAGTTGAATCCTTTTCAAGCGCATATGCAATCCATGGATAAGACAATCCGACTATTTCAACACGTTTTGGGATTGTCATTTTTAACCGGATAAACTGAAAGTTCTCCTTTGAAATCAAATAAATTTCTATTAATTGCTAAACGACACAAGATCACATTGATAAGCTTTAGGTAGTCAAATTGCAAACACAACACAATAGACGATGAAATGAGAGTCGTTTTTTTCATTCTTTATTTCATTTTTACATTTTGTACAATGAAAGCCATTCATATTTGTCGATTTGATTCAAAGTTTTTCAGAAATTCGCTTTCCTTTTCCGTGATTGTCTCGTTGAGTGCTTTCAATGCAAGGATTATTTCACCCTAAACTTTTTTATTAATCAAATCACTAAATATTCTTGATTAGGCGAGTTATTCGAGTCTCTTTCGTTTCTTTTTTTTCAAATTTATCTCTTATATTCCTGTTTATTCTTTATTGCTATTATTGAATGTTACCCACTTTTTGTCGTTGAATCGTCGTGTCCTCTTGGCGTCTCTTTTGGTCATTTTCTAGCTGAGCTATTGTTATTTCAAAATATTTCCAAATCTCTGTTTACCTGAGTCAATTTTTGTCGTAAACTTGTTGGATCTCTTTTTGCAAATAGGGAAATGATTTCGGGCGTTTGGAATGCTTGACTTATCGCTGATCGAATCGCCTGTAAAATCATCAATTTCTTTTTTTTTCTGCATCATTACCCACCAATTTTGTTGCTGCAATTTGATCGAGTGAAGTGTTATCTCCACTCTTGAACTTTTCCAGTGATTGGCCAAGTTCCTGAAAAATCTTACTTAATTTTCTCACCAAATTCGTCTCTTATATTCCTGTTTTATCTTTATTGAATGAACCTTTAATTGTTCAAAGGTGTCTGCCTTCATAGCTTCATATTCTTCAATAGCCATCACCGATCTGCCAAAAAAAACGATGGGAATACGATATTTTGGGGTGCATCAAAATCTGACCTTGATTCCTCCAAATCGCCAAGTTGGTCGAATAATCGTTGCAGTTGTTGTTGCAGATTTTTAATTAAAGTTTCGTCACTCATTTTAAATTTTGAAGAAAATAGCTGCACTTTTTGTTGCTTTTGATAAAGAATGGATTGTTAAAGAGTGGATAAAAACGCGTCGCGGTCGACTATATTTTAAAAAAAAGCGGCCTGTACTTTGTATGTTCACATTAATGTGCATTTTCTATCACACTCAAATTAAGCGTTTCGATTTTTCCTTTTAAATAGCACCAAACAAAAAGAAAGAAAGAAAGAACGACTAAAATTGGTGCGTCAGAAAGTGTGCTTTTGACTTCGCACGAAGTACGGTAAGTGTACAATGTGTTTCTCTCGTTATCTAAACGATATTTGCTCACAAATTAACGAGATAAATAGATTTATACCTTATAAACACAAAAAGAATATTCTGATATGAAATCTCAAAAATGTAACAAACGTTCAAAGACTGAACACACGAGAAAAAATAAACAACAGACATAAATAGAAGCAAGTCAAATGAAATGGAAAGGAAATACGAATCAAATAAACACAAAGTTTTATAGAAGATTCTATGTGAGAGAGAGAGAGCCGCTCTTCTATTGTACTCAACGATCAACGTGTGGGCAAAAAAAAATTTTAAAAAAAGCTCAATAACAAATTCTTTAATTTACCGTAAAGAGTACCCACAAAAAAAAGGATAAAAATGAAATAAACCAGGTAGTTTTCTATATTTCCTATCAGATTTCCTCATTTTTTTTTAAAGATATTTGTCTACCCGCTGCTAATTGGTGTTTAGGAAAAAAAAGAGGGATAGTGCCATGATAAGAGATCAAAAATAATAACAAATAATTGATATAAAATTTTCGAATTTTAGAAAAGAAATAAAATTGATATAAAACGAAATTATTGTAATGGAGTTGAGCTTGAGGAATTGAATAGATCACCGAGAGTTATCAAGGAAAATGAATAACAAAAATTGGGAAGAATTATTTGGGAAGTAAAAAGAAATGCACGATTATCAAAGAAAGAAATGATCACAGAATAGGTAATGGATATCTTTGGAGATCGATGAGGGGTTGAGGGGAAAGGAGACGAGGAGACGGAGCAGATATCTATAGAATGAAACGAGCAACAGAATGGTAAAGTCTGAGAAGAGATTGCATGTGAACGGGAAGACAAGAACGACGTTCACCAGAGAGAGAATCGATGGAAAGCCACGACAAAGCGTTGTACGTCTCGAGGACATGTCTGCAAATTGATCAATTGCATTTGGTTCTATGTCTTCTGTTTAAGATACTTTTGCTGAAACCCTTTTAGAATACTATCGGAAAACTTGAAGTCATTTATTTGTAATTTCTTTTAGTCTTTGTTCATTTAACTCTAGCCTCGAATCTCCCGCGACTCACCTCAAAACTTCATCAGTTCGATTGCTATCAAGTGGATGAACGGCATCCGATTCCCCTTGAGAATTTTTGTCTTTTTGCACATTTCCGAATGAATCATCTTGTTGAACTTGAGTGACATTGATGTGAAGAGAAGACTGGAAATCGGAATAATTGATGAGAATTTACATATCAAAATGTTAAAGATATCAGAAAGGATTTGTTTAGTGGTAAGATCTAATTTTTGTTTTATTACTAAATCTACGCGAAATAGTCATTAAGATTAAAGATGTGTAATGAAAAAAGGCTACGATTTACACTTGTTATTTTATCGGAATCTTTCTGCTTAAAATAATCAAAATATTTGTTTACAATTGATTGCTTACCTTGAGATGAACGGGTGTTTGTCCTCTCGCATTTGGGCAACTCGCCCAAAACCATTCGGGAAGATCGGGTGCTGGCGCTGTCGATATATAGAAACCGATGGCGAGTGGTTGATTCTCGATTTGAGTTTCTGAAATTCAGTTATTCATTTATTCCTTTATTCCTTTATTCCTTTATTCAGCTAATTATTCAGGAATATTCAGCCAATATATTATTCTATTTTATAACAATTTTATCGCTTGTACCAAAGTTATCGAAGAATCCCCCATGTGGATTCCTGATGCCGGCTGTTTGTGGAGGTCCATTTTCCGATCCGATCACTTCATTGATTAAATCTTTCATTTCGCCCATTTCACCCTGAAATTAATGAAATGAAAAAAAAATAAATGAATCAATCAATGAATCAATGAATCAATCAAAGCAGAATATTAAAATGCATTAAAATCATTATCTTATCTTTAAATCATTATCATTATCCACTGACCAAGTCATCAAATCCAATCTCAAAATCGAGATTCAAATTGTCATCATCTTCATGTGCTTGCCCAAGATTGTCTGTTGCTCCAAACTGAAATCGATTGCGATCATTAAAATATTTCAATTTTCAATTTTCAACCCTCTTTTTACCTGAACATCGACTGAAGTTGGAAAAACGAGAATATGAGTGACGGTTCCATCTTCGGGTCCAACAGCCGATCCTCTTGTTCGATTCTTTGCATCAGAATGAGAAAGCGATGTGGGCAGAACTCTGAAAAAATGAATAACGGTTTGAATAGACTCATTGAATATATTCAAAGATTGTTTTTGTTTTTACTTCAAATTCGGCTCGGGTTCAATGCTGACGAGACAAGCCGAGAGAATAATTGGAGTGCTTTGTTGCAGGATTGGGCATGATGCGGCAACGAATTGACAACTCTGACAGTTTTCCTGAAAAATTTGAGTAGTTTGAGAGATTCTCTGCTACAATCAAATGGTAAATTCATTTTTCTCACCTTTAGTTTTTGATTTTGTTTCTTGAGATTCGTCTTCGAGAGCAGCGTTGACCAGGCTGAAAATTCGCGAGTTTATGTATTGTACATCTAATTTATATGTTCAAAAACAAGTACATGTATATCAATTTGAACTGGGATCAACCTCTAAATTCGGCGTGTCCAATCCGTCCCAACTTTCCCACAACCAAACGCCAACATTTTGTGCCGACAACGAGATTTCCTTGAATGTATGTCCATAAACGATCCATTGCGTCCAAGATTTGCGTTCGTTTTCGATATTTGATCACCCTGAAATGGTTAAGGATATCGTATTATGATTCTAATAGATTCACTGGGTTCTTCTGCATTTCTAAAATGTAAAAAAAAGGCTACCATACACTAGACATGGGAAAATTTCAGCCCGAACCTAATTCCATCTTCATTTTCTCGCCCGTTTCTTGGCCAGTTGCTCTGAAACTTTGTCTACAAGCTGAAAATGTCGATTTCTATCTGTAGAGAAAATTTCAGAGCAATCGGCTAAGAGTCGGCCAAGAAAACGAGGGTGGAATTAGGTTCGGGTTGGAATTTTCCCATGTCTACCGTGGCATTAAATAAGTATCAGAGACAAGTTTAATATTGAATATACCTAAAAATACCAAAGAAATCGACTATAAGTTGACGTTAAAACAGCTTGATTCAATTCAATTTGTTGAATGTTCAATGATTTCAAGAAAGCCCCACATTTTCTCCGGATTATTCGGCTTCATATTGATCAAACAATTGTCTTGAATTTTTCCGAGAGAATCCGTGATTGAGGCACACAACCATTCACCGCCAAGAAGACAATATGTGACGTAGAGAGACTGAAATTGTTAAATATTAAGTTATTCAATTGTTAGGAGTTGAATCTAGTTCTTTAAACCCCGACAAACCTGTTCTTCGTGTTCAATTGTCACCATTTGTCCATCAGCTTTTTTATGCAACAAAGCCGATGGGGCCAAATGCCAAGGATTTGAGGAAATCTGAAATTTTTTTTTGATTAGTTAAAGAAGATATATTTATCTATAAGGTTTGAAAGAAAGTTCTCGGAAAAAGTTTGGCTGGAATTTCTTAAAAACGAATCCATTTTGTTCTACAATTCGAAGAACATTTTGTTCTACTATTTACAAAGCGACTCCAAGAAATTACTCGGAAAAAATGAGTGCAGCTTTCCCTTAAAATTTAGAGATTTTCCAGCTTAAATTCAGTTCACTTTTTGCACGAGAAAAACGATTCCTTATGAGGTAAAGCTAGCATAAATGAGCAACACGCTCTATCATCTCTATTTTTTACAGAGAAGCTGTATTCCAAAAAAGAATTTTTTGATGTCATCTTCTTGACACTGAGTGTTTTGCTAAAATAGGTGATTCTAAAAAGTTAAAGCATTAAATAAAATTTGCCTTAATCACAAATTTTCCCTATTTTAAGTACTTGATTTTAGGTTTTGAATGGGAACCCATTGCCTATTCATTAATCCAATAAAAACTTGTCTAAAGGCTGGGCACTCAAAAAGTGACCAAGTCACTTCAGCTGAAGAAATCTCTTATTTTTTACCTGAAGCCCACTGTGATTTTTTTTTTGATCAGAAACTTTTTGCATAGTCAAGTTTATCAAAAAATCTAGGAAGAATTGATGGCTTGATTTTTGAGAAATCACCGTGCAAACTTTTTCCGAGAACTTTCTTTTGAAACTAATAACTTAAATCTATATAAAGATCATCTTCTTGGCACTGAGTGTTTTGCTAAAATAGGTGATTCTAAAAAGTTAAAGCATTAAATAAAATTTGCCTTAATCACAAATTTTCCCTATTTTAAGTACTTGATTTTAGGTTTTGAATGGGACCCATTGTCTATTCATTAATCCAATAAAAACTTGTCTAAAGGTTGGCCACTCAAAAAGTGACCAAGTCACTTCAGCTGAAGAAATCTCTTATTTTTTTACCTGAAGCCCACTCTGATTTCTTTTGGTCAAAAACTTTTTGAAATATAGTCAAGTTTATCAAAAAATCTAGGAAGAATTGATGGCTTGGTTTTTGAGAAATCACCGTGCAAACTTTTTTTACAAACTTTCTTTCCAACCTAATATAAATTACCTTATATTTTATTTTCTTTTACCTGAAATAGTTGTAATTCTCGATGATTTCCATTATATCCTTCAATCGCTTCACTCAATTGAGAAGCCGGTCCGAATTTTGTCATACTTTTCGGGAGAATTGCTGAAATAAACAAGTTTTTTTTGTTGATTGAATATTTTAGTTAGTTTCTAAATGGTTTCTAAATGATTTCTAATAAAAAAACAAACTTTTGACACATTCGGGTAGAACAACTCTTGATTGGGAATAAACAGAAAGACACAAATCACGGAGACAATCTTGAGCCGAGTATTTCTCGACATGATCAAATTCTAAAGAATATTTCATTTTTAAAAAAGTTTAAATGTTTTAAATTTGATATTTTTTAATCTTTTATTGTTGAATGATGAAATAGCTTACGTGAGCGTCCAACTTGTGCATAGCTTGCGTAATGATCCATTAGCCGTGCTGATGGGACAATCTCCAATTGCACTTGACACCTCCATTTCGTTGGCAATTTTTGGCAAACATTATTGAATGTTCGAATATAGGCTTGGGCAATTAAACGGGAAATATGAGGATTCGTTGAACGTTCGCCCGTTGAGAAAGGATCGATCTGAAAAAGAGGTTCAACGTCAATTCTATTTTGCACTTGTTTTGTCTGTGTTTGTCTGTGTAAACGGTGCTTCCTTGTGGCAAAAGTTTTTCCAGAGAAAAAGGATCGTTTGCGCTTTTCTGAAGATTCCTTTCCCACTTTTAATTTACGGCCTTGTGGATTCTTACCACAATTTACTGCTTCTAATTCTTTGTTTCTTTATGCTCTTGCATATATCTCGTTATCTTGCCACGTCTTGCGCGTAATTTCTTACTCTTTGGTACCTTTGGGATTTGGAATTGGGAAAAAATGTGTTGCGAACGTATTGTGCATGAAAGAATCGTATTTAAAGGTTTCTAAGAGGCTTGATAAATTGAATAGTTCATCGAATACGGTCGACTCTCGATTGAACTAGTTGCTCGCGACTTTCTAAGAGGTTTCTTGATTCGTGCATAGTTTTTCTGAATTGATTTGAGCTATGAGCTTTGTTGTGTCGGAAAATGCTTGAGGTTGGGCTGCCTACGTCGCCAAGATTGTTATTCAATCGTAGTTTACCCTAGACATCGGGTAGGGAGCAACCTCAACTAAGAGAAAAGAATCAGATCACCTCATTTAGCTTTGACACTTTGCACGATAAACTACAGTCGACTCTCGATAAAACGATTTTGAAATTCTAAGACACGCCCTTGGTTTCTGCGTAAGCCAAACGCAATCTTCGGCCGTTCAGGGCAGCTATGTAAGAAATTTGGGGCATTTTTAGGATTGTTAAATCGAAATTTTTGGTCCCGAGTAAATCGTTCAATCGAGAGTCGACTGTATTCGATGAACTATTCAATTTATCAAGTAAGTAAGAGTAGTAAGTACTGTAGTAAGAAAAAAAAATACAGGATCTTTGCAATCGTGCAAATCTTCAACTCACCAAATACACGACAATGACGTGTGGCAGAAGGCCGGGTTCATCATCGGGAATATCCTCTGGTGGTAATGCGGGCACTTCAGGGATTGGACCGGGAATTCCCCCAGGATATGATGATAGATAAGTTGTCCGTGTCGAATGCGCATTGTGGGGATTTTGTTGCGATGAGCCCGGTTGATTGCCTGCAATGATGTCTCTCAAACTTGAATTCCTCAATTTTCCTTTACCTGTTTGATATCCTCCATCTTGTCCCATTCCATTCTTTTGTGGAGTCATCGGTGGTTGGGGTTGGCCCTAAAAAGAATTTCATTTCAATAATCTAATAGTGATTTTTGTTTTTCAAATCCTCACCAATTGAACCATTCCCTGGTTGATTTGTCCATCGATTTGCTCATTTTTCGGATCTTCTTGTCTCATATCAGGCATGTCCATCAATTCCTGAATACTTCCTTCAAATATCCAACTCAATTTCCCAACCTGCATCGCATCCAACGCTGTCTCCGGATCTTTATCAGTTTCCCCTCCACTTTTTCTCGTTTCTCTTCCATCGTCAGCTTGTTGATCAATCTAAAAAATGACTTTATATTCAAATTCTTATCCATATGTATCTATTTGCTGATTTCAAATGCCCACCTGATCCATATCGACAACCAATTTCTCCAATTGACTTTTCCGGAATATTTCATTTCTTTCCAATTGTGCTTCTCTTTCTTTCACTCTCAGCCGGTCTTCAGTGCTTTTCGCGAAATAACTCATCAGATAGCATCTTGATCGATATTGTTCAGTGGCTGCTCGTCTAAAATTTGAATTTGAAATATGATTTTACCTCGTCTATACTTTGTGCTCTCACAAATGCCCACTCTCTTGCACATTCAAAATTGAATTCCTATGCCTTAGAAAAGGTGTTTGTTGTAACACAAAGGATAATCGATCCAGAACTATTATTATTATTTTTACCTGAAAGTTTCTCGATCAAAAATAGCACAATTGTCTTTTGTGAGAATATTGATCAACGATTGCTCGAGTTGGGCACAGTAATACTGAAATTTCGAAATTATTTTAAGAATCCTTTAGATCCTTTATACCTGTAATCTCTGCAATAGAAGCGGATCATAATATCCTCCTTTTTGTTGATTATAAAGTGAGATATTCCTCAGCAATGATGATTGTGCTGCGTAAATATTGTTCGTATTATTCGCCGATCTTTCAATTCTCATCACTCCTCCTTTCACGATTTGTTCATTCGCCGGCAATTGCAGATGTTTACCCAGACGCATTTGTTCGTATTTTCTGAAAATGGTTTGCGGTTTTCAATTTACAATTTAGCTTTACAATTTAGCTATGATATTTATTGAAAAGAGATTTACCTGCTCATCTCTTCAAAATAGTTTGCAGTCTTTTCCGATAAGTCGGGATCATCATAAGTGATTGCCAAATAGAAAACATCTTTTGGTTGATCGATCGGCCCCAATGAAACAGCTTCCCAGAAACGGACAATTGACGGAGATGCCCGAATTGGGGCATTCTCTCTTTCACCGGCAACCATTAGACATGGAATTGGTTCTGCTGTTGAAAGGCACTCTTTCTCGTCATCCTAAAATAAAAATATACTATTACAGTGATTAGTTGAAATGAATTGATTGAAATTAGAGGCTTTGATTGAAGTTAAAAGCAGAGGCTTTTATCTAAAAAGTCTAGGGAAAAGCTACTCTATCTTAGCTCCTTTTTGAAATCTTCAGTAGCTTTTTCTTGAGCGCAACTTTTAGAAAACAGTTTAATCAAATGAAAATTACAAAAGATAATTTTCAATATTCTCATTTCCCTTCTGTTTCTGACCTGTGATGATTTGACACATTTCTGTGAAAGAGTCCTCCACGTTAACGGTCCTTCAACAATCGATTGTGTCGGTTGTCCATTTCTGAAAAAGAATCTCATTATTTCAACTCGAATCTCGATTTCTTTTACCTAATATATCTCATCGATTCATCCAAAGATGTCTTCAATTCATTCAACAGCGATCGACATTCAGCATCGCCAACATCAAACATTTCTTTTGCTGTTTGAAGTCCCCAAGGATGGAAATATGTGGAAACGTCATCATTTGACGGCTGAAAGATTATAGTAATATAAAAAGTTATTCAATGAACGAACGATTTTCCCCGATGGCATCAATGAGCCCACAGCCGCACTCCAAATCAGCAATAGTTCTGTTTGATCCATCATTGAGATCACATACTCGTTCGATTCTTTTTCACTTCGACTCTGAAAATTTAGGATTTTGATGGATCTTTTGAAGCACTAACCTTGACTGATTTGTTGAGTGAATCATGAAGTGATCCCGATCGGGAAATGAATGTCGAGATATCACGATGAAGTGACATTCTTCTCACCAAATCTAACATATTCATTGCTTCTTTTCCTTCTTGTCGTTGCGGAGTTTGGATGTTGAACCTGAAAAGTGTTTGGGGTTTCTTTGTTTTCTATGCTACTTATGTACTATTATAAATTTGCTTACCATATTGGATCAGCGTCTCCCAATCCGCTCTCAATCTCAGCCACACTTGTGACATCTCCCGTTGCTTCTCGGGCATCTTCTGGGAAAAGTCCTGATCTCATCGATAAAAGACGATAACGAATTGCACTAAATATTCATTGAATCATTTTTTAAAGACTTTTTCTTTTTACCTGAATCCGCATGTGCATGGATTCAATTGTCCATTCTGAATGTAGAAACCACTCCATGGGGTGATCAAACTTTGTTGTGTTTGAGAGTCGTTTCGGAGAATTTCATCGGAAGCAATGTAAAGACCGAGTTCTCTGAAAGAAGATTATGATTCGAAGAAGCCAAGAAAGTCTCACCTTGCTCTGATTGATGAATTACAAGAACAGATTGGACAAGAATCAAATGTACTGTCATAGTGAAGATTGAGAATCGTATCTGATAACAATAAAGACAATGGTAATGATGGTAGAAGAGACGAGGATTGATTTTCTTGATCTTGCTCTGGATCGGGTAACTCTTGTTTAACGATAAGTGGAGTGGATGGGTGTTGGGATGAGACGTTCGATGATGGAGTTGGCACAGAAGAATGAGTTTGAGGCGAATTCATAAAAACCGACGATTGACGCTGAAGCATGTGAGGCTGGAAAAAAAATGCGATTAGATTGAGAAAAAAGTTTGATGATTGAATGTACCGGCATTGGTGGAGCTCCGTAGGTGGGATGACCGTGACTGGGTGCTGGTTGATATGGTGCACCGTACAAATTGCCCATCGGATTGTAGCCACTTCCATTGATCGGATCTCCACCCATTCCACCACCGTATCCTCCTTGGTGCGGATTTCCACGATAGTACATCTAAATATGAAATGAAATGAGGTTTTAACTTGGCCAACTCTTACGGCTATGACGACTAGTTCATGCATTTTGTGTCGATAACTCAGTTAAAACCATCAGAATAGCCTTCTTGAAGCTTGAAGAAACATAGCCTCAAGAAGGCTAGGTTTCTTCTAATTTTGCATAAGGAAGAGCTGATTTTGGTGGATGTTTTATCCCGTGTTTTAAAACGAGTAAAACTTCTTGAGTGTTGCATTAGCATTTTTCAATAGATTTGTACAGTGATATTACCGTAAAAACTGTAATTGAAGCACCGGGGCTTCTATTTTCCCCTTCCCCTCGAGAGGAGGGCTTCAATTACAGTATTTACGATAGTTTTATAGTTTAAGAACCGAAAATTGAGTCTCGTGCACAATAGAAAACCCGAGTTGGCTTGCTTGTTGTATGGTACTTTAGATTTCAACTACTAAACAAACATTTTGCATTCCTATCGATCCAGATGCTCCCATTTGTCCATTTCCGCCCATCATCTGTCCACCAGGGCCCATTCCTGAATGTTATTTATTATATAAATATCTTTGCGTACAATAATTTTCAATTGTCAAGATAAATCTCCTTTACTCTTTTCCATTTTCCCTTACCCGGTCCCATATGTGGTGGATGGGTGATTCCCATTTGTGGAGGATGCATTGGCCCGGCGATTCCCATTCCTCCACCCATATGTGGTTGCATTCCACCTGTACAATTAGCTTTAGAATATTTATCGAATCCAATTCTATGTTTCATTTTCTATTAATGTTCATGTATTCTATGTTATGTTTCCTACCGTGAGCCATTCCTTGATATCCGCCTATTCCACCGTACACCAATGTGTTGAGTTGTTGAACCGGATGTCCCATTCCACCGTAACTCATTCTTACTGAAATATCAAATCAAAAGTTAAAGATACTTTAGAGTGTTCCTTTCGTTTCCTTACATTATTCCTCTAACAGTTAAACTCACGTTGTCCCGGCGGTGCGGGTCCCATCGCTCCTCCTCTCATTGCATTCATTTGATGTGCTCCACTCATTCTGCCGATTCCCATGATTCCATTTTGACCCTAAATATATCGATATCCATTTCATTCTTATTTCTTTTCTCACTTGTTGTCCCATTTGCCTATTATTCAATGCTGCCGCCAACTTCTCCATCGCCGTTTCCTCTTTCTTCCCAATCGATCCACCCCGATTTATCCGTGATTTAGTCTAAAGCCATCTCTTCGTGAATTCCTTTTTATTTCCGTTATCTCTTTTATACTCACTACTCACTTTTTCATAATCCGGCAATCGATTAATCTTTGCTCTCAATTTTATCTGTCCAAATGCTGCATATCTCATCGCTTTCGGTAATTCATTCCATCGACTTTTTGCGTGTATTGAATGCTCTTTCACAAAATTCACCACTTCTCCCTGAAATTTGAATATTTTTGTTTTAATTTTCTATGATTTCTTTACTATATCTTGTCCCAAATCATTTGGATATATCTCATCATCGATTTGTTCATCTTTCCATGGCTTTTCCGATTTTGAAGTCGATGCTTTTTGTTTGGGAAGATTTGAGAGAATCGGGGGAAGTAACTGGAAGAGATTTGTATAAATGAAAGTTTGACAATGAATACCTCAATCATTTGCACATCGATCGGATCAACCGATAGAGAAGATTGGATTTGAGTGCTTGTTGAAGGGATGGATAACTGAAAATATAGATAAAATACGAATAACATTGTAAAATATGTACTTGTTGTGGAGATGGTTGTTGGGTGTCGACAAGGACGGATGGAGGAGTCGGATAGATGTTATTCATTTGAGCATCGGTCAGAGGGACAGATGGAGGGCCACGGGGAAATGGGGCAACACTGCCTGGCTGAAATTAATCAAATGTGAAACAAATTGAGATTGAAAAGGTTGATTTGATGAAACATACCGCAAGATGATCATCTCCTTCATTGCTGGCGGGAGGGGAAAGGAAGTCCGATGGAGCTGAAGGGGGACCGGCCCCGACTTGAATCGCCATCATGCACTCATCCGCACTCATTGCCTCGTCTAAATTTTGTCGTTTGAAAGAACTGATAGATTTCAAAGTTATCTGGTATTAATTGACCAAAAACATCCACCATTAGGCGGGTTTTGGTGCTTTTTTGGCTGACAAGGCCCCGGTCAGCGTGGCACGGTCGGGAGCAAGCTAGTTTACAGCCCGCACAACCGAAATTCGACTCCCGTAGTGCCCTTCAGTTTTTAGTTTTTTTATTTTTTATTTTAAATGACACAACTACAATATATTCTAAGGTTTTCTAAAGAAGTTTTAGCTTTATTGGTCAAAACACGGCCGAGAGAATGCCGGTACAGACAAACGGACACTGCTCTTTTATATATAGTAGATAAGTGAGTAGACTCTTCAGGTCATGAAAATCAGGTGTACAGAAAACAACAGAAAACGGTTTACGGTTTACCCAAGTGCTCACCTTGTGGATATCCAGATACAGATGCATTATATTGAAATGTTGGGTGTTGATTTTGATCTTTCGTCCCATCAAATATCGATAACAAGAATCTTGTCTCTTTCCCATCAGCATTTCCTTCATCACCACTTTCTCTTTCCGAATCCAAATCGTTAAATGACTGAGGCACATCGAATAATTCACTCATTTCCATTGAATAATCTTCCTGTAAATGATTTCCTTTGCATGTTTTCCTTCTTTCTTTATTCCTTTACCTTTGTTTTCCTTGCCATATTCGATACATCAAATATTTCGCAACTTGGCCAATCTTGTTTTGAACCTTTTGAATGTCTTCTTAGCCTATTTGATCCACCTCGAATTCGACCTCGAACAGTGACATCCTAAAGGGAAAAATTTACAAAAATAGTACTTCATTTAACAAAATACCTTTCTTTTTGACAATATTTGATTTCTTTTCGGTCTCGTTGTCCTTGATGTTTCTTTTCTCAACGGGATTTGATCTTCCGGTGATGAAGAACGGGTTTCCTAAAGAATTTTGGTGATCAATGAGTGTTTATTCATTTTCCAACTCACCACAATTTGTTGATTAAGATATGGCCATTTATCAGCCAATTGTGCTGTCCTTGTCTTGTGAAGTGAGATCAAATCGGCCGTTTGTTTGGCGGTGATTTTATCGAGATCCGATCCGATCACCGGTAAACGTTTCCGACGATCTTTTCCACTCTAGAAAAATCCACAAATAAGCATTCTTTCAAAAGAAATTCCTCTACTTTTCTTGAGTGCATTTTTCTCGAATGATAGCTGGTTGTGGGTGGATGAGAATCTGATGAAAGATGATCGTTCAGAGATTTGATCGGAGAATTTCGACCACAATATTTCCCTTTTGGATAGCAAGGAGAAACAACCTGAAAGCCAGATATAAGAATTGTTATTTAAAATCAGATTTCACTTACCCTAACAGGAGTGAAAGGGATCGTTTCATAGGAATCATCGTCACTCGAATTGCCGGGAGAATTGAGGGGATCGGGGAAATGATAGCTGAAGGGAGAAAGATGGATTTTCATTTATCAAATAGCATTTATGAAATATTAAAGAATTTTCTTTGTTTTCTTCGATTTCTTATCGAAAAACCCTTACACAGCTCCATCGGCATTACAGTAGATTCCTGTGTGAATTCCATCGGCACATTTTGTATTTGACCATGATGGATTTGATCTTTCTGAAATCAATGAAAGAGTTATCGATTTTCGAATAAGCTATAGCAATTATACATACAAAATTCTTTTATGAAAACTTTGGGAAATTGGATTTGCATTTTTGAGTGCTTCAAAGTGATTTGTTCAAAATAAATCTAGAGATTTTGCAAATAATTTTCGATTTCCCTAAATTCTCACAAAGGTGCATATAATTGACAACTTGTTATTGAGATTGCTTCTTAATGATATACTCTGTGCTCATCAATACCCACTAACTAGTGCACGAAGTTCTCAAATGCACTAGAAATTTTTGGGTTTTCATTTTTGAGCACAAAGAACTTTCAGAAAGCAATTCTCTTTTTATTTCGACGCATGAAATCATTGCTTGAATCACTTTTGCTCAAATACAAATCACTCTCAATCAACAAAATCAAATGAAATCAAATGAAAGCCACAACACTGAACACTCACTTTTCACTTTTTGACTTGTAGATGCTATAGAATAAAAAAAAATAATAGTATTATAAATGAGTAGAGGAGATTTAAACTTATTAAATCTCTTTCTGTTAAGTGTTTTCTTTTTCTTTTTCTTCTTCTTCACATGCTCACACCATTCAAAATCTTTCTTTTTCTTTTTTTCTCATTTTTACCTGGTTCTTCTTTGGAAAATTCAGCTAAAAATGACTTTATTTTTTAAAGATTTACTGTAATAAGACTTTTAAATTCAATATTTACCAAATATTCTTTTAATTTTCTTAAATATTCTCTTAATTTTCTTAAAATAATCACCGTTTTCCTCTTCGCTATCTTCATCGCTCGATGATGAGGGAAATGGGGCAAAATGAGGCAAAAGTGACGAAGATTCGGCATTCAAACGACTGTAGCGTTTTCTAGGAAAAAAAAATGAAAATACTATAATTTTTAGTAGATTTAAAAAAATATCCTAAATATAGAATCTAAAAAGTAAGCAAATTTCCTCTAAAACTCACTGTTTTCTTTTCTTTTCCCGATACTCTTTTTCTTTTGTGGGTGTCGTTTGAAGCATCAGATCTCGTTCCTGCGAAAATTTCAAATATTATACAATCAATTTTCAATATCTAATCATTAGGTTCATGCAAAAAGTGATCCGCGGTTTTTGTACTGAAATACTTATCGAAGTGCTCTTCGGCAACGAATTATTTGGTAGATATGGTAGATAGGAATAATAAAGTAAAGAACTGAAGGGAAAAGAATTTGGAACCGAGGGGAAATTGAATCCTCGGTGTCTGCTGTGGCAGAGTGTCTGCTCCTTACCGGGCAGACACTCTGCCACTGAACTATTGGAGCCTCAATCAATGTGATAATTTGAAGGGGTTAAGTCAGGACTTTATGGGGCAAGAGATGGTAGCTTGTAGCTTATCTCTTCGATTCTATCGATGATTTTCTTAGCCGTATGCTGCTTTTTCACTATTATGTAGAAATGGGGGCCTACAGAGCTTTTGTTTAGAGATAAGCACCATCACTAATGAGTGAGTGTTCATCCTGGTTATTGCAAAAGAATCAATTAAGAGAGTTTTGTTCTTGTATTTTCAGCAGACAAATGAAGGGATCTTACAAATAGTAATACAAATAGTGAACGCGCATTACTTTCATTACTTTCGCATTACTTTCGCATCTCTTTCTATTATATTTATTTTATCAAACCTTTTCCGAAAGTTGTTCAAGAACGGCTTTCAGCACTGTTATATCATAAGGACATTTCTCGGCTTCCGACGGATTATTGTAGATGTCTGGAAAGTTTTTCTTTGAACTGAGGAGCTATTTAAACTTAAAAAATTGATTCTAATAACTGTATTTTATATTATATTTATTAGATTCAATCTATTTACTTTCAATTTCTCGTATTTTCCTTCTCCCTTCTTGATATTGAGCACTCCTTTCGGCTTTCCTCTGCAATTTCTTCCGGAATCGATCATCGGGAAGCTGAAAATTTTTGCATTAAATTGATTTCTTGTATTGAATATTTCTTTTACTCACCAAAATATCTTCGGGATTTTCGACATCCGATTTCCCCAAACGGGTATTGCACTCATTGCAGTCACAATGAGCCGATCGATGGCCATCCGAATAGGCAAATCTGAAATTGATATTGCAAAATTTACGTTCAAATTCTCATCAGCTTTTCCGACTAAAAGACTTTTCCGAACTCACTTTTCATCATCCTTTTGCACAGCGGGTATCGGCGAAATTTTCCATCCGCTTTCTTGGCTTTTCTTTTTGCCCATCATTGCTTCATCCATTGACAATTGTAAGACAGGCCATGGATCCGCTTGAGATATCAAGGTACGATTTCGTTCACCGATACCTTTTGCTAAAATTCATCAGTTGATAGCTACACTACTGGCCAATGAAATATGATATTTGAAAAACGATCGTCACTTTCGCGCACCTGTAACTCCCTTGTCTTTACCGTATTTCTAAATATTAATATTACCATTGTGTAGCCCTTGAAAAGAGCTTTCAGAAAATGTATAACACTAATAGTTTAAACTCAAAGACAAGGGAGTTACAGACGCGTGAAGGTGACGATCGTTTTTCAAATATGATATTTCATTGTCCAGTACTGTATATATGTTACGTCCGAATCTGAGGAGACGTCCATGTCCGATCCGGACGTCCGAATCTGAGGAGATTCATTCTCCTCTGAAACGGACGTCCGACTCTGAGTCTGAGAATGAATCTCCTCAGATTCGGACGTCCGGATCGGAGATGGACGTCTCCTCAGATTCGGACGTAACACATATATATTCTTTTTTCTCACTTTGAATCTCAATTTGATCGTGGGGATAAGGGAGGAAATGATCCAGTGGATCGGTTGGACCGGCTTGGGTACGCTTTGTCGATGAACGATATCGAAGTGGACATTCATCCCAGGTGACACCAATCTGAAGTGATTAGATATGTAATGTATCAAGAATTTAAATCATTCAAACAAACCATGCACGATGGATAGAGTAAAGGCATTTGATCGGCTTCAACGAGAACCATCAACGGTACGCCCGGTTGTTGAAGCGGTTCATCGCCATCCTCATCCCAATGGGGAAACCTTTAACGGAACAAATTTCATCTCTATTTTAAATATTCTTTTATTTCTTTTTCTTTTACTTGCCATAAATACTGTAATAGTACCGCAGCCCCTCGTATAGTCGTGTAGTTGCAAAACTTTTTATTATTTCATTTTTTCAAAGCACCCGTACTTTCAAAAAATGTGTCTTTGGTATCAAAAAATAGCCCTAAATTTCAGCTATTTTTTGATACATAAACGCGCATTTTAGCATAAAACAGTGTCGAGAAAAACGCCGCTCAAAGTTAGACTACCCAACACTCTACACCATCACTTTAGGGGTGGGATACTATTACAGTATTTACGATAGATATTGTTATTACAGTATTTACGGTACCAATATTGTTTCCATTTTTTGAACTCAGCTTCCACATCGATTTTGTAGGCGGAAATGTCTGTTCCGATGAAAACAGCTCGAATCGACCATGGGGCAAGGATCACTTTGAATTGCTCTCTTAATTCAAATTTTATTTTCTTTAGATCATAAGTGCACTTACTTTAGCTCGATGTGTTGTCTCGTTAAACGAAAAAGAGCCGGTTGCTTTTGACTGATCACTGCACAACAAACAGTGCTGATACCGGCGATGAAAAGACGTAAATTGTAACCGATTGAAAATCTTGAAAAAAAAAGAATTCTTTCTAAAAAAACTTCAATAAAGTGAACCTTGGCAACATGTGCTCTCTTCCGGGTAATGGTTGTTTCAATGGTTTTGTGTGCCATCGACCAAATCTCAAATGTCCACTCTTCACGAAACCATTCGAGAGATATGTGTAAAGAGCATTGAAAAACATGTGGCGCACCTGAATAATGAATATTGTATATAGCATTGTATTGTATGATACAGTAGACTTCTGGCTGAAGACTTTTAGCAGCCTCACCTCGGGACTTATAATCTGTGCATCCATCATTGATGCTTGTTGTTTCTCGATCAATCCATCCACACACGATGCCATTGATGATGGCTCATCTTGGGTAAACCAAAATATCCATAACTCTTTTGCGCATTTATCGAAAACGGGCAATTGTAGCCGCTCGTAACCGCCCATTTGTTGGGGTTGACGACGGAAGGCGCAAAGAAGACGTTTCTGGAAAGAATGAGGCAAGTTTTGATAAGATCTTGCACCTGCCATAATCTGACATACAGGGTTGAGCAAAATTGCCCGGACAACTTTGTAGGAAACTAGTTGTCGCACGCTTCATTTATTTCAAAGTGTCAAGTGTTATATAGAGAATTGTAGCCCTTAATCTTGACTACATTTATCTACTAAAAACTTCCCAATCGGATTTATGCAACTCATTTAACAAGTCCTTCAATGAGCACTGATCCCTGTCCAGTGTGTTGTCATTTTTGACGATTTTCTACATAATGTGCTCATTGAAGGGCTTGTTAAATGAGTTGCATAAAGCCGATTGGGAAGTTTTTAGTAGATAAATGTAGCCAAGATTAAGGGCTACAATTCTCTATATAACACTTGACACTTTGAAATAAATTAAGCGTGCGCCAACTACTTTTCCAAAAAGTTATCCGCATTTTGCCTAATCCTGTATTATTAATTTCTTACTTGTAAACAGCGTCCATATGCTTTCACAATGGGATCATCTTGCATGAGATCTTCGTGAAGTCTTGTTGTTGATGTGCCACCTGTTGTATGCTCGTAGACACGCCATCGAATTTCGCTCAATTCGGTCTGCAATTGAATAACGTTGAATAAGAAAGATTGTTTGTAGGAAATATTTGGTCATTTAAAGCCAGGTCAAAGCTTTTAAGCAACCACTCAGTCAAGGTTTATGTGAAAAGTGAACCTTGAAACTTCGAGACTTTGAGAAAACTAGTTTGAAAAGGTAAATCGTGCTTAAATGTTTCCTTATTGCAAGCTTTACAATCTGGTAAAACAACTCACCAAAGCATAAACATTTGTATGGCAATCATCCAATGATCCACACGGTATTCCTTCTCTTTGTTGATTCTGACGCCATGATTCCGATCCCAATACAGAAGCCATCGGAAATGTGGGAGAAAATGAAGAAAGAGAGAAGATGAAGGAAAAGAAATATCACAAAGGCACCCACTAGCCGGACACCGATTTGGGGAAGAACTGAAATGAAATTGAATAAGCTGCTTCAAAATTTCTATCAAATAATTGTGCTTAACGTTTAGATAACCTTCTAATATCTGCATTCTATTTCAATTAACATATCACTAGTCAATTATTTATTTCCTCACCGTCATGCGGGATCCGATTGCCGTTGGGGGAATCTTTGTCTTCAAATCGAAAATTTCCTCTTTAGGTAAGAAATCGAGAAAAGTTGGGTTACCTAAAAGATTTTTTTAAAAAATTAATTTTAATTAAAAACAAAGAAGAAATGGAAATTTTATTGAAAAGATTTCAATATAGGGTTACAAAAAATGAAACGTAAATAAATAAAGTAAATAAACTATTATTGAACTTCTCTTTATAGATTTCTTTTAATAGAGTTTAATAGAATTTCTTTTAATAAAAAGTTTATTTTTTTTAAATTCTAGACATCGTTCTTTTAATTAATGAAAGAAAAAGCTAAATTTTGAACGAATGAAAATGAAGGAAGCGGGTGGAGAGATCAACGAGATTAGAAAAGATTGAACAAATCAACAAAAGAAGTTAATTGATATGATTGACAAAGATGTGTGAAAAGTGTTTTGTGTTTTAAGTTTTGATTTAGGTAAATGAAAGCAATGGGAGCGACTCGAACCGCCGTCGCCCCATATTAACGAGAATGAGGGGAAAAGGGGGAGAAGCGGGAGAAAGAGTCGGACACGCAGTGCATAACAAGGGGGAATCGGGTGCGTTGCGTTTGTGTAGATGGGAATGGGGGAAAAGAATTGGGGGAAAGGAATCAATGTCTGATGTCTCCACTCATTCACTGTCTCATTCACTCACTCGCTGTCTCTTGCTTCAATTTCCCCCCTACATCACTTCTCCCCAATAGTTCTTCTTCTTTTTCTCTTGGAAAAGATCCGACCATCGCCTGGTTTCCACAGTCACCCTCAAGCCTGAGGGGAAAACTGTGAAGTGGGTGAGGGTTCAAGAAAACTCTCTTTTTAATATAATAGTAGAATATTGACATAAACAAATCACTGAGTGGCTTGGACAGAAGATTGAGGGTGAGCGAATAGATACAGGAATCAAAAGAAGAGTGTTGAGAGGGCAAGAAAGAAAAAGGAATTATTTCTACCAGTGCATCTTGTAGGAAATTCAAGAATCATGATCATAAGCAAATCACACAAAAAAATGAATGGTTACGGTGAAATAAGATTATGGTATCGACTCTTTTTTGGGGACTTTTTGTCGAGACAACGAGCCTTTTTTTTCTTCGACCGGAAGTTGATTTTGAGATGAGGGTGGTTGAGATTAAGATATATTGCAAAAAGGAGTTGTTATTGAAATGGTTTGTGGAGAAGATGTAAACTTGACAACGGTAGAAAGAGGTGGGATATAAAAGGAAATCATTTATTTGTAGAAAGCCTTCAATAATTCAATAATAGCAACATTACTGTCGAAGATTGGAATGAATGCCTCTGGCATTGCTTTCTAAACCTTCGGGAACTTTTAAAAGCTGCTGTAATCTTTCGTTTTATCCATTCTATGGCCGGATTTTTCGTTAAAAATTAAATTGAACTAAAGCTAACAGTAGGGTTATGATAGTTTGCGAGAATTGTCGTCTTTTAGAAAGCACAAGCGATGGATTACTGTTTCCAATTCGGCTTTTCTTTGTCACTTCCCATGATATTTACAGTGGTCAAAAAAAGTCTTGATACCTTTCAAAAAATTAGCAAATTGAATATCCAAAAATATTGGATTCAGCTCGTTTTTGTTTCATTAGATAAAACAAAGTTAGACCTTGGTACATACATCCTTGGTACTCCAGACCCTACCCATTGACGCTTTTTTTGAAAGTTTGCGGTGAGAATCCACTTTTCGTCTCGGTGAGAATCCACATTGACATTGGCCTAGTTTTATTCTAGTCTTTCTTTCATCATACTGTACATATTTCTTTATATTTATTTTTACTTATATACAATTTTGTTAGTGCTTTTGACGGGTGCTTTTCTTTTCTTTTCTTGCTATTATTCATCAAATGTGGTACTATGTTTACTTCAAAGAATGCATAATAAAGTGCTTGTTTTTTTTTGATCAAAAAACCTTGATAATGCATAAAGATTCATTTTTTTGTTTACTTTGAAAAGAATAAAAGAAAGAAAACAGGAAAACTACATACAGTGGTCAAAAAAAGTCTTGATACCTTTCAAAAAAAGCAAATTGAATATCCAAAAATATTGGATTCAGCTCGTTTTTGTTTCATTAGATAAAACAAAGTTAGAAACTTATAATTAACAAAAAATATACTCTTTGCAACAACTATTTACTTACGAAAAATAAAAAAATGCAAAAAACAAAGCAAAAAAGTCTTGATACCTTTTCTCTTTTTTCTCCTGTTTTTGTTAGGTTAGAGCTTTGCTGATTTTTATGATATTGTTTCTTTTTAGAGATACCGTGCAAGCAATACATCGACAGTCCCACAAAGGAGCGAATTGTTGAAGCTCGAAAAGTTGGACTTAAAGTCAGTGTGATTCAAAATCTCTTCTCCGTTTCGAAGATGACAATATGGAGACTCTGCAATCGGATGAAAGAGCGTGGAAATGTGCACCGATTAAAGAAAAAAGGCCGACAACGAAAAACAACGTCTCGACAAGACCGGGCACCTCGGCATTTCTTTGCCTCGGCTCCGGATTTTACAGCCACAGACGGGAAAAGTTACTTAAAAAAGGAATTTGGGAATGATGTAACTTCGCAAACGATTCGAAATCGACTGAAATTTCTCGGGTTGTTTTCATGACGACCTGCTCCAAAACCGTTGATGGTTCTTAGACACAGGAGGCTTCATTTGCAATTCGCCCGCACCTACCAACATTGGACGATCGACGACTGGAAACGTGCCTTGTGAAGTGATGAAACTAAGTTGAAACTGGAACACGATACAACTTGAAATACATTCGACAGACTGTTAAATTCAATGGAGGAGGGATGCTGTGTTGGGGCTGTTATTCTTCAAACTCAATCGGACCTCTACTGTCCATAAATGGAATCATGGACAGCGTGAAATATCGGGGTATGATGCAAAAAGATATGCTTTCTTACGCAAATGTCGCAATGAGTCCAAACTGGCTGTACCAGCAGGATGGGAATCCAAAAAGATACAAATGAATTGATGTTGGGACGAAAACTGAAGATTCCACCTGGAGTTTTCGTGAGATTGTCTGGCTGTTTTCAGCTCAAAAATGTCAATTTGCTGCGAACACCACCGTATTCGCCGGATTGTAACCCTATGGAACACTTATGGGTACATGTCAAACGAAAATTGAGAGGATTCTGCTTTGCGTCAAAAAAAGGAGCTTTGGGACAAGGTTCAGGACATTTGGAGCTCCATTTCGCAACGAACCACGGAAAAATTGATCGCAAGTATGCCAAATCGACTTCAGAAGGTTATAAAAGCTAAAGGAGGCTCAACACGATACTCAATTTTGTTAGAAATTAATAACTTTTGAAAAGGTATCAAGACTTTTTTTGCTTTGTTTTTTGCATTTTTTTATTTTTCCTAAATAAGTATTTTGTGTTAATTAAAAGGCAGAGATCATCAATTTCAGCTGCGCTTCTTTCAAGACATGAACGGAAATCTTTTTTGCCGCGCAGGAGACGAAAAGTGAATTCTCACCGCAAACTTTCAAAAAAAGCGTCAATGGGTAGGGTCTGGAGTACCAAGGATGTATGTACCAAGGTCTAACTTTGTTTTATCTAATGAAACAAAAACGAGCTGAATCGAATATTTTTGGATATTCAATTTGCTGCTTTTTTTGAAAGGTATCAAGACTTTTTTTGACCACTGTATGTAGTTTTCCCTGTTTTCTTTCTTTTATTCTTTTCAAAGTAAACAAAAAAAATGAATCTTTATGCATTATCAAGCTTTTTATCAAAAAAAAACAAGCACTTTATTATGCATTCTTTGAAGTAAACATAGTAGTACCACATTTGATGAATAATAGCAAGAAAAGAAAAGAAAAGCACCCGTCAAAAGCACCAACAAAATTGTATATAAGTAAAAATAAATATAAAGAAATATGTACAGTATGATGAAAGAAAGACTAGAATAAAACTAGGCCAATTTCGATGTTATTCAGCTCTTCAGCTCTTCAGCTCTTCAGGTCTTCAGCACTTCAACTTGATCCTCCTTGGATCCATTCAGTTGCCCAATCCCCATTCTCACAACGAGATTCTGCTTGAAACCATGCATAAATGTCCTCAATCTGAAATACGAATTTACCTATAAAATCCTCATCTCTTATAACCTTTTGCACTTACCGTACTCTCCGGTTGTTCTTCATCCCATAATTTCTCACACAATTTACAGTATCCATTTCGGAAACCCGCCGTATTCCATGGAGCAAGCGTCCAACCTGAACATTATATCTATTAGGTTGGCTCATAAGTCTTGGTAACAGTTTTGTTTAAAAATTTATTAACAACCAAAAAAGCAGTTTACTCGAAATAGTTTCCGTTATTTTGGATAACCTTCGCCCATTTTGTTGAAAGTTGGCCAATTCCTCTCTTGGAAAATTTTTGGTTTCGAATCGAAATAGTTTTGGAGCCACTTTTTGAGATCGTTTCACTTTAAAAATGCTCCCCATCCAGGGAATGTTGCATTGGTCTGAAAAGATGATAGTCCGATAGGACAAGGTCTGGAGAATAAGGAGGATGAGGCTGTGGATTGTGGCACGAGTGAGTTTTGCCGTATGTGAGCGGGTATTGTCGTGAAGAAGGATGACCTTTTTTAAGTCAGGTCGTTTTTTCTTGATTCCATCTTCGAGCTTTTGTAGCTGATTGTTGTATAATAAAGCATTAACAGTCTGCTTATTTTCAAGAATTTCCCAGTAAATGACTCCTTTGAGATTTCACCAAACTGCTAGCATAAACTTCTTTTGGTGGGGGTCATACATCATTGGTACTCCAGACCCTACCCATTGACGCTTTTTTTGAAAGTTTGCGGTGAGAATCCACTTTTCGTCTCCTGCGCGGCAAAAAAGATTTCCGTTCATGTCTTGAAAGAAGCGCAGCTGAAATTGATGATCTCTGCCCTTTCATGGGGTCCGTAAGGATATGAGGTACCCATTGACCAAAAATTGACTTAAACCCCAGCTCATGAAGGTGTCTTTCAATTGTGGAAGGTGAGTGCTCAATTGCATCCGCTATTTAGTAGAGTAGAAATCCGAGGGTTGCTTGAATTTTTTGAAGAATCTCTTCATTTTTCAATTGAGAAGGTCTTCCCGCAAGTTTTTCGTCTCCAAGGGAATTCTCACCCTTTCTGAACTTGGCAAACCAACGTTGAGTTGTTTTGAGAAGGATCTGGGGTTTGAGAAGGATCTGAGAAGGATCATTGCCATACACGCTTTCAATATTATTCTGGGTCACCGACAAAGAAGATCCTTTTTTGAACTTGTACAACTCGTGATGTTACAATCTAACATCACTTTACTCGTAACGTGTCTCAGATGTCCTGGTGGAAGATCTGGGGAGTCTTTGAATAAAAAAATAGAAGAAGCATTGGAGTCTACGTATGAAATGTTTTGAAAATTGATAAGCCGATTGATAAGCCGACTTTTTAGATGTAAACAGAACGGGAAAAGTCGAGCGCATAAACAATTATTTCGAAAGAACAAATTATTACCAAGACTTATGACCCAGTCTAATATAATAGTATTGTTTGTTTGCAGTTATCTATCACATATCTATTTCACCTCCATTTCTCCATTTGAAATACTCGGCATAAGCGGTGAAATTTCTCTCCAAACTCATCAAATGTTCGGCCATCTCTTTCGGTGATCCGAAATCATCAAAGGCGATCACCGATTGACGGGGTAAATTTCTGAAAGTGAAATGAAATTAAAAATTCCCATGCTTTTAAATGTTTTCACAAACACATTACTGTAGGCACTTCTTCGTAAAACGATCGGAATTGATGGGAAAAGATTTCTCTCCCAATATTTCTCCGTCACATAATCTTCGCAAACCTATCAAAGATAAAGTGATTTCTATTTTCTGGATTATTCTACCGTATTTTCTGCTGCCAAAAAGAATGGATATTCAGCAAAGATTGAGTCACACTTTTGCCCTTTTGGACAAATTTCTTTCATTTTCTCATCCCATGCACATTTTCCTCCAATTGTGACATTCATATAGGTGGAAAGTTTCTTCAAAGCCCATTCTCTTTTTGATGAAGTTGCACAATTTGAGACAAGACCAAAGATTCCAGATTTCGATTTTCGAAGAGTTTCTGAAATTCGAATTTCTATTTGATAACTGTAGATGCAAACTTTCAGGTATGAAATAATCTCCAATCTTGAATCCCCTCAATTCGGCTTCTTTTGATGTCAACCAGAAACCGCCATATTTGAATAGAACATCGGATGAATGAAGATGAGACATTGACCAATTGAAATAATGTTCTGAAGTTGAAATTATAACATTGACTCATTCAATTGAATGTACTTGGAATGGAGATTTTGGGGATATTATCGGGCACCTCCATTGTCATGAATACGTAACGTTGAGAGGGTTTTCTGAAAAGATAAATAAAACATTATTGGGATCGTCTACAAATTGCTTACCTCATCTCAGCTGGTGGCAATCCTTCATCTATATTCGGTGCATGAATGATCACCGCATCCACTAAACCCAAACGACTTCGATTTGAGTCGATGATACAGCGATCCTGCAAATATTTCATTGTAAAACATTCGAAAGTAAGACTTTTATAACTCTATAAATCTCAATTCTCAACTCTTTACATCTTTTAAAGTCTAAATTTCATGTACACTTACATTATAAACTTTAGCGAACCAAAAACAAACCGATAATCCGGGACACTCTAACATCACTTTATTGTCGACATGACTTCCGAAAATCGAATTCCAAACAAGAATCCTTTTTGGGGAAAGCTTATCAAAACGATGATCGATTCTGAAAAATTTCTTTAGAAATACTATTTTGAAGTTAGTTACAAGTTACAAATTTGTAGTTACAAGTTTTCGATAAAATTTGATGGATTATGCACCTGTTTTTATCGACCGTAATATAGAGATGTTTTGGGTTTTTCGGATGTGATATATGTTTCCCATCATCGTATCCAATAATTGATTTGCCGAGGTAAAAAATAAAAAAAACTCCAATGACTAGACCAAGATTTCGATAAACAGCAGCCGGTCGAAAACGCATCTGATTGAGGAAAAGTTTGGAGGGGATGTTGGATCAAAGAATGGTAAATAAAGAGCTGTTTTAACAGTGTTTTGATGATTAAAAAAGATTAGCCAGTAAGCTTTATTGAGATCATTTTTGAGACAAATCACAGAAAGGAGAGATCACTAGATATTTGAATGCACAAACAAAATCACAAGGAGATCGAAATGATCAATGTAATACCCGCAAAAAAAAATTGCTGTAGCTCTATTACGGGTATTACGATAGGCTTTACACATACAGTGATGAATACACTATCTAGGAAGTTCATCAGCGAGAAACTCTCCATCAGCCTCTCCTCCTCCATGTCCACCGATTCCCCATTCTTCTTTCATTTCAGCACAAATTGTCGCAAAAAGGTAATCCCAATTCCATGGACTTTCTTCATCATGAACTTCATCTTCAAGACATGTATAACGCATTAGAAGGGAAATGTCTGAAAAACGATTTGAAAATTGAAACAGACGTGTCAGCGAGGTCTAATTTGTCGAAATTCGGAATCTACGCATACGATTCCCTTCTATAAAGACATTTTTGAAGCTCTACGACCTTTCCTAAGACCTTTTCCAGCGAAAACAAGGTGCGCAAGTGTCCAGGTGTGCAAAAAAAGGTCGCATTTGTCCCACCCCTTAAAAAATCACGACCGTTGTGTTATATACAACTCCTTTTAAAGATATTCAGCTGTTTAACTGATTTGATAGCAGATTCAAATGTAAAGATATTCAATTTACTCGCCGTGTAAAGAGGATTACTTGTAGTTAGTCAACCAAAAACGTCGATTAATCAAGTAAAAATTACTCATGTAAATTTTGCTCGCGATGAACACACTCTACTCATGATTCTTGCTGCTTTTTCCCATTCACTCACCGATGTCATCCATTTTCGAGAGATGTGGATGTTTAGCTCCAAGAGCATCAATTTGGAATACCGAATGAAATTGTTGTTTCGGTAAATGCGGTGCTTTTGCTGTGGCCTCCCAATCGCTATTCACTGAAATTTCTTTCGAACATCAATTTTTCATTATTCTTCCTTACCAATTGGTGCTTGACTATGTCTTCGTGAAGTGTTCGTAAATTCGAATCTCTGAAAAAAACAACATTGAAGATGAAAGATTTGTAATTTACTCTAAGCTTCTCTTCAAACTATTGTACAATTTAGGGTTGCATGCTTTATCATCCTTACCTCATTACTATTATTCCCTTGTGTTGCTCCTTTATCTTCAACTTGTGGTATTTGATCTTTATCATCTTTATCTTCGTCTTTTCTTCCACCAGCTCTTGATCCAGGTCTTCTGAACAGACCCGATAATGGTCTTTTGATTGTTTCTTTCAATTCACTCGCTGCTCCAGCTGCGGCTTCTTTGTTGAAAAGACTCTTAATGCCACTGCCCTGTGGTTCCTGAAAACTTCTTGTTTATATTTGTTTCAAATGTTTTCCTTAGAAGTTGTTTTTTCATTGATCTACAGTTAAACTCCCCTTGAAAAGTGCTCCAGTTCGTCCCTTTTTTGGTGCTTCTTCACTGCCGCGATCTTTGACGCGAATGTTCAAATCGTTTGCTTCTGGAATCGTTCAATTAATCACTACCTACTTCAATATTTACTTTCCTTACCCAAATCATTGAGCTCATCTGGAATATCTCCTCCAGGTGCTCTCACTCCTTGTGTTGCTGCCAATTCTTGTGAACTCTCAAGCGCTTTTCTTCGTCCTCTCGCGCTATATCCGCGTATCTTCGGTTTACTGTCGATGCCATTTTCGGTCATCTTTAAAATCAGTTTTAAAAAAATTTTAATTAAGGCAATCAACATCCAAAGCAACATTTAAGGTCTTATTTTCATGGCGTAGACTAAATATCTTTAAAATTTTTCCATAATTTGCAGGCAACTTGGACTGCCACGAAGAAATGTTTACCTTTTAAGGATATTCAGGCTACGTTGACAACGCGGTAAAAAAGCCTTATTCTTTTCCTAACTTGTTTTGTCCTTTGAGGTAAAATATTGTAGTTTCTTTTTTTTTGAAAAAAACGTAATTCCAGTAACTTAAAATATTAAATACCTAGATTTTTAAGCAAAACTTATTTAAAAAAGGTTTTTATTTGTCAAAGATACTTTTATAAGATTTGACATAGACGGATAAGCAAATTCTAGGAAAGAGTTATAGGGCTCTGTATGGCAACATGGGATTTTAAAAAATAAGGATTTTTGACCCGATGAAAAAATGAGGCATCTTAAAAAATGAGGGATTTTAAAATCCATCGTTTTTTTTGTCAGAGTACTGGACTGGCACATGATATTCCTGGCGCATTGGCAGCCGGGGGTGCACTTAGGCACATCCGGGTTAGGAACGGGTGCTGCAAGCTTTCAGGAAGTAGTTGGGGATACATCTGAGCGATCTCTAGAGAGCTTGCAGCACTCGACCCCAACCCGGGCCTACCTAAGTGCACCCCCGTCCGACAATGCGCGGTTATACTGTGAATCTGAACAGCCAGCCTTAAGGTAGCCTGTGCCCGGCCAATGTGCGGAGCCGTAGCCTAGGTAAATAGCGTGTACATAAAGAAGGGAGGAATCAAAATGCGATTTTAAAATCCCTTATTTCCATACAGAAACAGTTATAGAAATCAGAACCTTATTAAAATCAAAAATTAGGTGCCATGTGTGCTTATCTTGTTGCCATGTTTACCAGTTTTCTTCTAATTTCTCTAATTTCTCGTGTCTCTCACGATCACAACACACCCAATTACGTCTTTTTTAGGTGCTCTTTGCGTGAAGAGGCGTTTCTCTCCAATCAACACACAGGGTGATCCCAGTCATCTATAAAAGCGAATCTCAACACACTGGAAGGCTCAGTCTGACGAGTGGCCTCCGTGTCTCGGATCGGGCTGAATGGTCGGTTGCGTAACGTTGACCGCCGTCCCATCACTCGTCTCGCTCTCAGTGGCCCCCATGACAGCCATGACACAAGTCACCGTGAGCTACGTCGATCAGCTCAAGAAACAGCTTCAACAAGCCCTCGAGAATGTAAGCAAGCATATAACCGTTCAAACATTTCACTTGTTTTATAATAAATTGCTTATTTTCGCGTTGGGGCTTTTTGGGTGTAATATACAAGCAACTCTTTCTAAAATGGTATGCCCTGAACCGAAAAGCGTTTTTTTGCTTTTCCCTTGTCGTACAGAGAAATAGATTATACACAATTTTTTTTGTTGAACGGACTTTTTAATGCTTTCTCAGCGATGCATAGCCTCAAAATTTGAAAAACTTTGCGAGATTTAAATACACTACATTAAATATTGTGATGATATCTTTGCAACCAATATGATTTTCTAATTGCAGGATGAAGAAAAGAAAATCGACTCTTTGATTGACGAAATTGAGAAGTTAACATTTACAAAGGACCTTCTACAGGTAGGATAATTTATATAAGGAAGAGTGCTGTTCCGGTTAAACTGGCGCTTTTTCGCTTTGTTCTGAGGGTGTCAAGTCGTCTATCTCTCTTACCACCTTATACTCTAATCTTAACCGATAAACTCAATGTTTATTTATGTTATGTGTTTGTTTGTTAATGCATTTTTATTTAGGTGACTCATTTTGGCGCTGAACTGAACAGTGTTCGAAAAATACTTGGAGAAAAATGGCCGGCGATAGCAAAGAAATGTCGAAATATCATCAAGACTTGGCAACAACTGATTCAAGTAAATACTTTTTTATAAATTAATGTTATTTTAATATCTAGACTAATTCTTCGAGCGCTACTTCATCGACGAATGGAACTCCAAATATTCTGGGAAGACGTCTCACACCCGCTACTCCCGTCGCCAGACCCGTGCCCTTAACTGAAAAAGTAAATGAGCAGTCTTCACCCAAAGGAATTTTGAGAAAAGCTGAAAGTACAAGCCCCACGACGACAGATAGAAAAGGTTTGTGTGTATTAGTTTTTTAGTTGTTTAATGAAAACTGAATTTTTTTCTTTATTTTTATTGCATTAATTTAGCTTCGGAAAAACCAAAATCCTCTACGACATCACCGAGAATCACGATTGCCGAATCAACGTCTACAACTTTGTTACTGTCACATGGCGACTCTATTGGACTGATAAAAGAAACAACAGCAAATGAAATAAGAACAAATGGAAAACGAAAAGGAGAAGAAAGTAGGTGTTTTGCTGTGAAAAGAACAATTTACTTTAGTGACATAGTAAATTTTCTTGTTTTAGTTCCACCGACGGGCCTGAAGCGAGTGAAGACGGTAGCCGGCGATTTGCCGTCAACGAGCACGCCTGCTTTCTCTTCGTCAGCGGGGCAATCAGTTTTGGCGGCTCGAAGGTAAAAGTTTAGTCTGAATGCTTTTTATCATCTCGACAGGGCTTCCAAAAAGTTTTTAGACAAGCTTCTCAATCAACGGCTGATATGATTGCTCAAATGTCATCAAACTTGTCGAGTGCTTCTGATCTAGCCTCGCTCATCAGAAATCATCAAATACAAGTCCAACGAGAAGAAGCTGATGAGCAGGTAATAATATGAGTTTAAACAATAGTCAAGGTGGGCTACGTTTAGTTCGCCCAAAGTCTTGCAGCCGGTGCTGCACAAGTTCAGTCTCCGTATGTGCGAGGAAAGCGAAAATATGAACGTAAGATGGCAAAAGTTTCAGCAACCCAAATCGAACCAAGCAATGAAGAACAAAAAGGTTGCTTTATTTTCTAATCAAATCTCAATTGCGCTTTAGGTATACGACTTCGTATTTCAAAGACGACTTCAAACCTTTTGGATGTTGACAATGGCGATGAACATCCAAATCCACTAGAGTCATGGCCTGCAACTTCTAAAAAGGTTCAACTATTTGATTTATTTATCAATAAAGTGCAACTATTTAGAGTCGCGAAAAATATGAGTCAAAACCATCAGCCTCTTCAGCCATGGATTGGTATGCAAACTTGCAGTCGTTAGAAGAACTGCATCTACGCGCTGAAAAAATACCGCCAGTGAGATCAATAGGAGTAGGGGAAGGACGACAAGCTCACTTTATCAAGGTTTATTTGAAGTGCTTTAAAAGTGACCTTTTTATTCTAGCGTCGGGAGCTTTTGGTAATGCCATTGATTTCTGACACAGTCAAGCCAGACTTCCTTGTTCACAAGTAAGACAGCTTCAAGTTATTTGTATTAAGCTAGAGTAAAATGCTCTTTACTCAATATAAATTACCACGACGTAATAAATTCATTGCCAAAAGTAACTTTGCTTCTTTAGTTATCCGGAAAAACATCGCTTCTATGCGGAGGAGAATTTTCTTTATGGACGAGAAAAACCGACAGAGGAGTGATCGCATCTTTCGACGGAAACGTCTTAATCAAAATGTGCAGTCTAGGATTTTTCAATTTTCGTTATGTATTCAGATAAGGTTATTTTCGATTTCTTGTTTCCCCATTTCTTTCAGCTTGATCACTTTCCAAATACGGGGTTAGATTTATCTATGAAATTTATTATGTTAGTGTTTAAGTGTTAAGTAACATACATTGTTTTTTTGCTATAGTATCGTGATCTCGGTTTGAACTTTTGGCAGTGTTATTCTTCTCGAGTTTATTTTACCGCATTTTTTTTTGCGATCAATTCGTCTTTTTCAAAAATTTTATTTCTTGCCTTTTGGCCTTTTCAAGTTCGCGAAGATTTTTTTGTGTTGATAATCTCAATTTTATCGTCGGGTTAGATTAGAACCACCAATACACGAGATCCTTTCTCTGGGTGTTCTAATCTATCGTTTTCACTTGCTGTGATTTTTCATTTTGGGTATATGTTTTTTACATATGTCAAATAAATTTTTTACAGAAGCAAATTCGCTTAAAGCTCAGAAAGTTTAAATGCATAAATGTTATCGTTTTCGAGAAATGCGTATTCGGTATATCTAGGCTTTATTTTCAGCAGTGATCCAAATATCATATTTTTCTTTTCATCAATGCTCACAGGGTATCAATCTTATTTCTTGCACCTATTCCCTCTGTTTCCTCCTCGTTTTAGCTGTTCTTTTCTGTTCGCCCCAAATTTTTTTAAGCTAATTTTGCTACATTGCTTTGCATATGTAATTTACAGATGCCGTTTCGAAAATATCGAGCGGTGACCGCGTTCAGTAAAAATGACACCCGTATCTTCAAGCAAATTTATCAAGGACGACTCAAATTGAAAGTACCAATGTTTAAAACACCCGAATCTATAAAGGTAAACATTTTCTGTTAAAATAAATTCAATTAGTTTTAGGCTCTTGACGTTCAAATTTTGGATCCAAATGATGCAGATTTTGTGCACAAACTGCGTTCAAGAGGGACCGAACTTTTGGAAGCTCCTAAAACAGTTGCATCGGCTTCTTTCTTCAAAAAATCTTTAGTTCAAGTAGGTACATTTTAGAAAGTATAGAATAACAGAAGTTTAAGAATGAAAGCAAAAAGTTCCTTTTAGGACCATCCACTTTACCAAGCGAAGAAAGCCTACATTTTTGAGGGAATTGAACCGTTTTGCGATGGTATGTCTCAGGTGAGTCAAAATAATAATTTAATTGTTTCTTATATTTAGGCTTCAACATTGACGCATTCAGTGCTTATTGAGGGACTACCTTTGGACATACAAACAAAAGCACAAAAATTTGATATTTCTGAAGAAAAGGTTCGTTTATTAGACCGTACAAGGAAATAAACAAAATGCACAAATTGTTTAACAAATTAGAAGTTCTTATTTTAGGTTCGTGATGCCATTCTGCATGCCGAGAAGTATGATCCGTCACTCGATAAACTCCCTCGGCGACATGATCCCGTCATATTTTGGGTGACTCATCCACGAGTTCATGGAACACCTGTAGTGAAAAGAAAGTAAGCAATACAAACGTTGCTTCAGGATCTTCTTTTTAGCAACATTTTACTTGACAACTTGCATCGGCATCTACTCTATGCAATGATTACAAAAGGAACGGTTAGAGCCGAACAATTCAAGTTGGCTTCGTTTTTGTGTTCATTAACTGTGCTTTTTTTTAGACTTGATCGGGACGAGTTCCTTTCGGCTAAAGTTTCATCAGGACGATTTTCTTCTTCTCCACTTGTTATCCGATCACAACCCCATCTCGCCATTCAAACGACAAATGCTACAGAGGCCTGGGCCAAAGGAGAAAAACTGAAGGAGATTTTGTGGGTTCAAATTTCTACCGTAATAGTAGCGCACCACCTCGTACAGTCGCGTAGTCTAACTTCTTTTAGAAAAACATGTTTTTCTCAGCCCCTAGATTTTTCCGAACTACACTTTTGGTACCAAAAAATAGGGGATTTCAAGGGCTATCATTTGGCACCCAAGCGCACACTGTAGCTTAAAGCAGTGCGGAGAACGGAGCGTGTAAAGTTAGACTACCCCGTCATTATAGAGGTGGTGGGGCGCTACTATGACAGGTATTACGGTAGATGTCTTAGAATTCGCCGATTTATATGTATTTTGATATTGATTATTTTTAGGAAACAACCCGTTCTCTCATGTCATCCAATCGACCCAATCATCGATCTCAAGCTTGACAATATCTACAACAATGAACCGCTATTACCGAGAAAAGAACATAGTTTACATTTAAATACTTTAATGTGGACTCGAGAACAAGATCAGAAGTATCCATGGACTAAGTTTGTCGATTGATGCATTTTTTTTAGAAAAAATAATTTAGAGAACAAAACGCAGCCAACGCCATAATGCAAACTTTTGGTGCAGCAGTGGCCCAGGCAAGAAGAATGAACCTGGAAGAAAAAGATATCGAGAAGGTTTATTCCATGAATTGTTTTTAAACATTTTGATTTAGCCGATTTTGATTAAAGGAGTGCAACTTGTCGATGGGAAATTGGATCTTGTTGCCGTTCAACTAAACACATTAGATCTTCGACCGGAAAATGCGCACAAGAATGTCATCTGGATTGAGAAAGGTGAGTTACAATGGAACCAGTTTTATGGTGAAAATCTTTTTATCAAGAATTCCTTTAGGTGTTCGCTTGTACCGCCCAAAACCTTTCTACGAGCAGCTGAAAACAGTCGATGAGCTTGATTTGGAGACGTTTCGAAAATTCACTGCTTTGCTTGCTTTTTAGGATTTTTAAAAAAATAGTTTAGTTTTGTTATTCATTATATATTTTTATTATTTATTGTGAGTTTCACAAAGAATAAAGAATTTTAAAAAAATGTAAATGTTTGAGAAGGTTGAAACCATCCTTAATTTATCTTCACTTTTGTTACTTACCCATATGTAATAGGTACGTACATATGGCTCGTTACAAGTTTCACTTAAGTTTGTTGGAATTTGCTGTTAATGGCTATCAATTTAGGGAGACAAGTTTGCTGATGTGTGACCAACTGCAGACTCGCAAGCATATTCGGTACTTGGTGCGACATCTCAATATCTTTCCGAATAATTATTCGTCTTTGGATACCACAAAGTAAGCAAATTACACAAAGTGTTAATAAAACATTTTGATCCAGTGGATTTTCTTATTTTAGGATTACGTTGTTCTACTTTGCTATATCAGGACTTGATCTTCTTGGGGAGCTAGATGCGGTGAGTGTTTGCAACTTGTTAAGTCTAATTAAAACTTTATTTAGTCGCTGAAAGAGGGGGGGCGAAAGAGATGCATCGATTGGATTTACTCAATGCAGCTCACTTCTCAGTCAGGTTTGTTAACTTTTTTATTTTCTTTAAAAAAATCATTATTTGCAATTGTGATTTTATTTGTTTATTTAATAAATTTTTGTTTTGTTATGTTTAATTTCAAGTTTTGCTTTTTCATGTACTACCTTTTTTAATTGAAAAATGTAGTGGGGTCTATATTTAAGGTTTCAAATGGTAAAACTCTGGTTTGAGCCACAGGCTAAAGCAAATTACGGCTTGTGTGATTCGGGAGTCAGGGGATTTGGTGCGATCGCTTTCGATGAGAGACGAAGAGAGAATCGGTGGATTGTTCAACACAATCTCTCCACATTTTGGAAGCGCGATGAATTGGTAGATGAAGTTTCATGTATTTATTTTCATTTGATCCAGGTCGGAGAGCGAATCACTTTTCCAACCCCACTCGTTCCACCACGCTCGATATCCGCGAAATGGAGACTGCCTGAGCATTTCTTTTATGATCAAACAGAGGTGAGATGTTGCATGTTGATGTTTTAATTGTTGTCGCAAAAGGTTGATGTTTTAATTATTTTGTCTTTTTAAGGTTCAACTTATTAATCGAAATCTCCTTGCTGCAAGACAAGTCCAGGATGGAACCGCGCAAATGTGGACTGTTAGCGAAAGAAGCAATCAGAAAACATTAGAATTATTCACGTTGAATACAAAAAGAGGTTTACAATTGGCTATTTTTTAAACTTCTATTTTAGATTTTGTCACCTTGGATCCTGAACAAGCATCAACGTCAAGTGTTCTTCCAGCCGCAGCTCGACAGTTGAAAACGGCAACAGATCGTATGAATGGGGATTTGTGGATAAGAACGATGGCATCTTTGTATTTAAAGACGCGGGACGATCAATTCACACAAGTTTTGCTTGAAATTTTTCTATCAACTTACTTTATTTAGATTTTTCGAGGTGCGATCAGTACGTTTCACGAAAATCCCTTTTTCGAAGAAGTCATCATTTGTGACGGACGCGATTTTGTGTGGATTGGACAACCGGGAAACTCTTTTACAAGGGTGAAAAATACATTCGGAACAGCGAGCAAGGTGTTTTTACTTCAAACCTTGAACTAATTTGATCCGTGGTCCGTTTAGAAACTGGCATCTACAAGTCATCCACGAATTCTCTTTTCGGCGGATGAGCATTCATTGAGATTATTGGATGTACGAAATGATAGTCCTCAAACAGCCGTACCTCTATATCAACTCGATGATTGGCAAAAGATAACATCACTTTCTTCGAAAGATGTGGGCAAAGTTTTGTTTTGAATGCTTTGTTTTTAAAATCACATGTTTGCAGCATTTACAAATAGAACCATTATTATTTTGTTTAGTTTCTATCTCAAATTGATACTGCCGAAGAGCCGCAGCTGCTATTTAACAAACCAAGGATTCTTCATGTATTGCCGATGCAGGCATCTGAAAGATTTTGCATGCTTGTCACTACAAAACACCTGATTGTCATTGATTCAAGGATCCCAGGGCAGCCAATATTCACATTTGGACATGGTATCGAGGGCTTAGTAAGTATTTTAATGATTTGAAGAGATTCTTTGCTTTTCTAGATTCATCATATTGAGACGTGCCCTCCTTGGAGGGATCCCGTTGAAGGAGGGTTTGTACACAATTTCTACTTTTTAAGTCATGTTCCTCCGCGGTTTTCTCTCGTCTCTCTTTATCAGCATCACAATGGATTATGGTTTTTACAATGATTTGCAGTTTAACAACTAATTTTAGGTCTACTCTCCAACCTCCAAAAGTGTGTCGTATGCCCGGCGATTTTCTACATCTTGTCAGAGAGGATATTTCTGGAGAATCGTATCAACATTTGTTCTCGCCTACTCGATCAATTGCCATTGTTTCGGAATATGGGTATGAAAAGTTACCAAAATAGACCAAAGTTTTAAATTTAGTGAATCTGATAGTTGTATCATCCTTACGGCTCTTGACGATGGATCTCTTTGGAGTCAACGTCAAACTCATCAGAAAACGAGCACCAAAGAAACGGAAAAACTTTTTTCCGCCTCGGTTAAACTTGTCAAGAAATATGTTCGGTCAAATCGCTACCAACCAGATCCATCTTTTGCCGATCTACCCGATGAACTTTGTCCTAGCCGCAAAGATTTGTAGGTGTTTTGGTTTTATTTTTATTCAATCTTAATTAAAGATTAATGACAGTGCCGGTTGATCAAGTAACTTCGAAGAAAAAGTTTCGAAAGCCTAAACAGCATTACGACTTGGATCAAGTAAATAATTTGCTTTTTCGATAGTTATTGTTATGTTTAGGTTATGCAAACTATGGACAGGACGAATTTGAATTCTAGCGCCGAGAAAGAAGAAGTTAGATAGAATCTTTAAATTAATAGATATTTTTTTAGGTACGATCGACAGAAACAATTGCTTTGATTGATAAAGAAACAAATGAGCAAAGAATCAACACAAGAATGACGCTTGATATTTTGCAGGTAGACTAGGCAGAGCCATTGTACAATTAGTGCAAAATAGTTTGAAAAAAGCATTTTGCACTAACTGGTGAAACACGAGAAACTTATAGAGAGTTGTCCGAAAAAGAATGCAACTTTTATAGGGAGAGCCAATTGCATCGATCAGTCATCTCTTATCATGGGAAGAGTTTGATGCACAAGGACTTCTTCAATCCAACACCACAACTACTCGGCTTGCTCTACTCGACATTCAAGAAGAAAACGAAGACGAAGAAATGATGGATGAATTGCGCCGCTAACTTGATAGCTTTTCTTTCTTCTTGTGATTTAATTTTTACGCTGATATATTTTGTGCTAACGTTTGTCTAATTGCGAAATGTTTTATGATTCAGGTTGCCCACCAGACGCTTGTGGCTTTAAAGGATCTGGTGGAAATACTCAACCAATTAATGGTGAGTTTTTTTGGGTTAATCATACTTTGGTTCGGTTCAGGTTACGATCGTGCGAATCTTGCCCAAACGTATTCTGCTTTGCTGTCGCTGTTGATTCTTGATGATGACATTTCGCGTGTGGATCGAAAAGCCATTCTTGAGGCAATTCGACTTTCACAACGGGAAAATGGCTGGTAACAATCAAAAACAAACGTTTCCGGAAATTAGGGATTTTAGTTTTTGGTCACAAGGAAACGGTAGTGAAAGCGATATGCGATTCGTGTTCTGTGCTGTAGCTGTGTGTCACATCTTCAACGATTTTTCTCCGATCAATTGGAAAACTTTGCGAAGGTTTGATTTAATAAAAACCTTAGTTTAATTTAAATTTTAGTTTTATTCGCTCAAGCATGACATATGATGGAGGAATTGGACAGGGAGAAAATGCCGAAGCACACGGTTCGTGGAGAGAATTTAGTGATTAAATGGTATTACACACTTATTCAGGAGGATCTACGTTTTGTGCGATCGCCGCTTTATCGTTAAGTGGACGCCTCTGGGACGAATCAATTTTAACCCAAGCGGAGCTTACTCGTCTGATCAAATGGGCCATCCTTAAACAAGAGGTTGAAATTTTTTTGCTAAAAGCTTTTGAAACTAAAACTTCAGATTGGATTTCATGGTCGTACCGGAAAACCTGACGATACTTGCTATGCTTTTTGGATTGGTGCTACTCTGAAAGTATGTTTTTCATATATTGTTACTCGTTAGATTTACTGTAATTCTTGTTATCCTTTTTTAACTACACATTTAGATATTGAATGCTTATCATCTTTGCGCATCTTCAAGTGTTCGTCAGTTTCTGCTTTCAACTCAACATAATCACATGGGCGGCTTCTCAAAATTATGTGAAGATGGAGCATATCCTGGTTTGTATTTTAAAATAACATCTTTTACATGTGTTTTGTATACAGCTCATAAAATGTTAACTTCTAGATATGTTGCACACATACTTTTCGTTGGCGGCTCTTTCACTCCAAGGCGAGCCGACTCTTCGATCGCTTCATCCGGCTCTTAATATCAGCGAACGGGTCTATGGAAAGTTAGGCCGAATCAGCCAGGTAATGAATTTAATAATTTTTATGTATCAACGTAAAACTTCTCGATTATTGACGTGGAATAACATTTAAAGATTTAAAAGAGTTGCTTAATCGAATATTTATTTATTCAGCAGTAAATAACGTGATTTAGGTTGACTCGCTGGTGCTATGAAATTGATTGATTCTCCCCTTTGACTACTGCCAAACAAAATTTTGCCAATTTTTTGAGCTTGCTTTGTATATTTTGATTCTTTTTCGAGTTTTTCAAAATTGCATAACTTGTGATTTTCTCACTTTATTCTCCACCAAAATCGGGTCCTATTAAAAGGCTCTTATTAGATTTCTATTTGCAGTAAGAGAAGCTCTTTTAAAAGTTAAAAATCTGGGTTAAATATCTTTTTCATTTGTCTGTTTCTTAAAGATTATTTGTTTTTCGCGTATGGTTTTTCTTGAATAAACGCTTTTAAATAAAAGTTTGATTTGAAAAAATACAAAGTAAACTCGATAAATATATTGAGGTTACGGTAATTAGCAATAATTTTACGTGAAATTCGTGTACTGGCCATAACTACAAAGTTCTTATAGAAATGGCGGTTGATAAATCGACGAGTCTGATATTCAGGTTTTTCTATTTGTTGCCCTATTATTTTCCCACTGTTTGATTGTGTCTGTTGTTTGTAGTCCCAAAAATAATATCCATCCTTTAGTTAAACAATCAGAATTGACCTGCTACACATATTCTTTAAACCATGAAATTTCTTTAATCGATTGAATGTCGGATTTCTGGTCGACTCCGGTGATTCCACCCGATTTGGGACATGAGGAAACTGTGCAATGCATTCTGAAAGCAAGTGAAAACTTTTTAAAGGTATGAAAAGAAAAATGTGGATTGGAAATAAGCACATCATACTATATTATGAATTTTAAATGCAAATGTAAGTGTACCTGCTCGTATTAAATACGAGTGACACTTATATAAAATTAAAGCTTTTACTTTTTGAAAACTGATTCTGCAATATCATTTATTGAATGAAGAATTGCAGGTATCAAACGAAATTTTCAACACATTGGATGAGAGAATACGGGGAATTGAAGAAAGAACGATAAAAGCAAGAGAAAGAACAAAAGAGTTGCGGGGAAAAGTGACTGCAGTAAAAGAGGTTTGTGATGGAGAAATATTGAAAGAAATTCAAATGGTAATGATAAATGATATGAACATTATAGATAAATTTCAGTTGAACAAATCCCTTATAATCGAGGCCCCATCTCGTCTTTCAATCGATGAATGCCCACTTCGAATTGGTGTCAATTTATCATCTGGCACACTTCATCCATCAGATGAACTGATTTTTGGTTTGAGAATTGATACAATGCTCATTTTTTTTGAAGAATTCACAAATCTAACTGACAAAATGCCAACGAAATTTTTTTAGAATCATCACTGCAATTAAGACTACTTCATGGGGAAATCGATTTGAAAAGAATTTTGGATGAAAAGAAACAATTCTTCCTTCCATCACAAATGATCAAAAAGAAACATACAAGACAAAAAGGTTTTGAGAGTAAAAGAAGAAATGAAATTGAGTGGAGACACCTTTCAGCTTCAATCAACGTCCCGTCACAATTGAGTTCGTTGACTGATCTGTTCTATTATGATTCACGAAAAGTCGCCTATGATAATGTGAGTTTTAAAAGAAATTTTGGGAAAAGCTTAATCTCTAGGTAATGTTGTCAGTACAACGACGAAGACAAAATAGTGAAACGACAACGAAAACGGTGAGAAAATGGAATGAAATGGGGAAAGACATCGGAAAAGGATTACAGAGTGACTCGCTTGGGGGATTCTCGAATGGACCAATCACTTCAGCTATTGGATATCGAGTCAAAGAAAATGATCCATTTGCATATCGACCCGATAATGTTATATTGGATGAAATCGATTTACCTAGTATTCTACCTGATCTACCGGGTACGTTAAAACTAAAGAATGTTCCCAGTCTTCCCAGCCGAATACTGTTTATTCATCGGTATACTATAGTGGAACAGAATAATGAGGCTTTGCAGTGACTTCAAAGAATTAAAACTCGACTTAATGCATGATTTAAAAGATTAATGCCTAGAGTACAGTCCAAAATTGTGTTTAGGTGTGGCCGAAGATATCGGTTTCTTTGATGGTGATCTCCTTTCATCATCTTCTCTATTGGAGTTACCCCCATCACTGCCCGATTTCACTCAAACACATGTTTCTCAAGAAAAGACCCAACTGATCACTCCCACTCCACCAGATGTCCAGGTCTTCTAATTGTACCATTGCTTGCTTGCAATATACTATGTCAAGGCTTCATCTGTGCCAATTGTTCCCATCTCTCAGCCACCTCCTCCTCCTTCTGTTCCTCCACCCCCTCCAATATCATCTTCAGCATCAATTTCTGCTTCTCTTCCACCGCCACCGCCCCCACCTCCGCCAATGGTGCTTTTGTGATCAGCTTTACTAACTATAAGCTAAAATTATACCTTGTAAGCTTATTGATACAAGATGTTTACAGCTTTCCCCTTCATCCCCACCCCCTCCTCCTCCTCCACCTCCAATCTTGCCTCCTCCACCCCCACTTCAAAAAAGTCTTACAAGTTCAGCAGATACAGGAAGGTATGAAACAATCGGAAAACATTTGTACAATAAGATCTTTCATCAGAGCCAACTTAATGGAAGCAATACGGGCGGCTGGTGGCACAGGGAAAGCACGGTTGAAAAAAGTTGACAACGATGAAGAGACGCAAAGGTCGAGAAAGGGAAAAAAAGTAAGTAGAGATAGAGATTGGATATAGGCTGTACTACTCATGAAAAAAATACAGGAAGTTGAAACAAAACACAAATCGGCTCTCCCGCCAAGCGGTGGTGATTTGATGTCAGCATTGGCAAAAGCATTGGATGCAAGAAGGAAATGTGAGTGTGCAAAAATGATAGTAGAGATCGTCAAATATTTGATAAGCAAAGTAAAGCAAAGCAAAGCATAATTTTCAGATATCTCTGGTAGACATGAAAGAATTGATGATGATGGAGGAGATGCAACAACATCGAATCGAATCCCTCCACCACCAAATATGGGAAAAGGAGGAGGAAATGATGATGAAGATTGGGATTGAGAAAACAAAAACAAGACGCTTGCTTTTTTTGGGAAAGATTTCCACGATACAAGTTATGTAGGAATGTGTCAAGAAGATACCATAATATCTGTAATAGTAGCGCCCCCCTCTCCTCCATAATGACGTACAGTCGCGTAGTCGCTAAAGTAAATCATTTTTTTGAACGCGCGCAGATTTTTCTAAAATAAACTGTTAGTACCAAAAAATTCTTCGCTTCAAGCGCTATCTTTTGATTAAGCGCACATCGCACATCACATGACATCTAAGCGCACGCGTCGAAGCGGCGCGGAGAACTAAGCGTTACAAAATTGTGTGTTAGACTACGCGACTGTACGTGGGGACTATTATTACAGGTATTTCGGTATCTGTTTTCTAAAATACATCCTCTTAAAAATCATCATAATCACGATAGTGACCGTTTTCTTAAATCTTTACCGGTAATTTTCCCGGCTGTGATCACAGAGGGTTGTTATAGTATTTTAATTTTTTTTGTGATTTTCCAAGAGAGTTTTTGGTAATTTTAGCTGTTTGCCTCATACCCTTAACTATAGGATTTTTTTTGCTTTATTTCTTGTGAAAATCAACACAAACTCGTCATGACCTAAATACAAACGGAAAAATTGAATCCAAACTAACTTTCGAATGTAAAATAGGCTCTTTCGGCGCTTTAATATTTCCTATGGTTGGGGACAGCAAAAGTAAAGAGTTTTTTTTAAAAATTTTGGTCTACACTTTTTTAATAATTTATTTTTGGTGTCTAATTTTAGTCATTTCATCGATCAACACATTGCCTTATTCCCAATTTGCTCAAAAGTTAATAAAATTTGCTGCAAAATCGTTTAAATCTACGCAAAGTTTCTGCAAACTATATTGATCTTTGTTTTTCTAATTATTTTCAATGAACTAGATCTTTTAAATTTTGCATCTTTTCAGGTATTCTCACTTTTCATGAGCACCTCATCAATTCCATTGCCAAGCGAGGAAATCCACACACCCAATCCACATCCAGCAAGAGGTTTCTTCTTTTTAGAGTTCTTAATAAGTTTTCTAAGCATATAGCGCTAGCGGAAAGATAATTCTTTAAAATCTCTAGCTTTTTGAATGGATAAATTTGAGGCTAATTGTAATATTTCTGTGTTTAAAGTTAGCTAAATTGTGCAAGTTCATTTAAATTTCGTCGTAATCAGATTTAAAATACTTTCATCGCTTTTAGGTATCTACGGCTTTGCACTTTATATTTTTGGTTGGATCGGGCTCATCGTCTATCTCATTTGGGCAATTGTGCCAACACCGATTCTCGAAAGTTTTGGTGAGGATTTTAGCTACATGTTAGCTTAACTTTTGGAAGTTTAATTAAATAATATTTTGATCTTTAGGAATTACGTACGTTCCGGCTAAAGCTTGGGTTGTTGTGGTGCCACTTGGAATATTTCTTCTGACGATTCTCTTCCCACTCACCATCTTGTTCATCAACATTTTTCGTTTTCAGGGAGTATTCGACGATATTCAGGTTAGCTTTAGCAGTTCATTTTATCACTAAACATCTCAAAGTTTAGCATATCGAGAAAGACTTCGGAGACGATCTTTTTGCGAGTATCAACTTACTTCCTCAACAGCAACAAAAGGCGACCAATAATAAGAAGAACAACAAAAAGAGAAATTGAAAAGAAATGTTGGCGAGGATTTGTCGTTTTTCTCGAAGATATCCATCAACATCAACATCAATACCGACATCTGGGCAACATAAATGGAAAAGAGTTGAAGGATCGAGATCAAGCAAGGTAAAAATATAAAAATAAGAAATAAAAGCTGTTAGAAGAAGAAATAGTTTTATTGTTTTTAGGTTTTTGAGATCCAAAAACGATTGGCTGAATACGAAAGAAATGTTCGCTTGGTTGAGAAAAATACAAGTGACTATTCAGTGGAATCGATTATGGCTGAACAACATATACAGTAACAATTAATTAGACCCATCTTTACTTTAATGTTTAGGTCAAACACGCAAGAATTTGCAAAGCTGTTGACAAGACGAGAACAAGAAACCCTAAAAATTGAGGACAAAGGAGAAAACACGGATTGCTATACGCGAGAAATAAGGAAATACACGTTCCCATTGGCTCAAAATGAACAGGTGATTTGAAAATGATTGCGTTTGACAGATATAAAACATTTTCTTTATTTTATCTAACAAGGGAAAGGCACCGAATCAAGCTGGTCTTTTGACTCGAGACCAAGTCCATCTTATAAAGTCGGCCATCGGGATCTCAAATCCGTTTTTGGTTTTTGCAGAACGCTTCGCAAACGCGAGATATTTGACGTAGAAAATCACTCGGAATTTTGAGCTTTGAGGCGCGTTTTTTTTGCAGGCCAATACTGTGTCTAGCCATCCAAAAGAGAAGAGAATATGGTGGGTGGTCCTCGGCCCTCGGCGTTCCCACCCATCTCCGAGAGTATAAAATTTTTAAAAAAATTGCTTAATTTTATATTTCTTTTATCTTTTTTGATTTATATTAGGTTGGAAAGTTCTCGGAAAAAGTTTACTGAAATTTCTTAAAAACGAATCCACCAATTCAAGAAAAAAGTCGACTCCAAGAAATTACTCGTAAAAAAATGAGTGCAGCTTTCCCTTAAAATTTAGAGATTAAATTCAGCTCACTTTTTGCACGAGAAAAACGATTCCTCATGAGGTAAAGCTAGCATAAATGAACAATACGCTCTATAACCTTTATTTTTGGCCAAAAAATTTTTATAGAGAAGCTGTATTTCAAAAAAGAATTTTTTGATGCCATCTTCTTGGCACTGAGTGTTTGCTAAAATAGGTGATTTTGAAAAATTAAAGCATTAGGTAAAATTTGCCTTAATCGCAAATTTTCCCTATTTTAAGTACTTGATTTTAGGTTTTGAATGGGACCCATTGCCTATTCATTAATCCATCTAAAACTTGTCTAAAGGCTGGTCACTCAAAAAGTGACCAAGTCACTTCAGCTGAAGAAATCTCTTATTTTTTACCTGAAGCCCACTCTAATTTTTTGATCAAAAACTTTTTGAAATATAGTCAAGTTTATCAAAAAATCTGGGAAGAATTCATGGCTTGATTTTTGAGAAATCACCGTGCAAACTTTTTCCGAGAACTTTTGAACCTAATAACTTAAATCTATACAAAGATCATCGTCGATAGAATCGAAGAGATAAGCTACAAGCTACCATCTCTTGCCCCATAAAGTCCTGACTTAAGCCCTTCAAATTATCACATTGATTGAGACGCCAATAGTTCAGTGATAGAATGTCTGCCCGGTAAGCAGCAGGTCGAGGGTTCAATTCCCCTCGGTTCCAAATTCTTTCCCATTCTTTCTCATTTACTTTATTATTCCTATCTACCAAATAATTCGTTGCCGAAGAGCACTTCGATAAATGCTCAGAAGTTGAAATTGCGCTCGCCCGCTATTTTTGTCTCGAAGACTCGGTTCTTTGATACTGGCTTCAAGGTTTTGAGCATAAAATGGCAAATGTTTCTCGATAATAATCGATGATATATCTTACAAAGGAAAGGCACCGAGTCAAGCTGGTCTTTTGACTCGAGACCAAGTCCATCTTATAAAGTCGGCCATCGGGATCTCAAATCCGTTTTTGGTTTTTGCAGAACGCTTCGCAAACGCGAGATATTTGACGTAGAAAATCATTCGGAATTTTGAGCTCCTTATGAGGCCGCCACACGTTTGCTTAACAACGCTTCGGTGGCCTAGTGGATATTGTTCTAGACTACCGAACCTATTACGTTCTTTGCCCTCAAGTTTGAGTCCCACTTTCCTCAAATTTTTTTTGCTTTTTTAAGAAACTGTTTCCTTACGTATTTGCATTGAAATTTTGACTCGAGTTTTATACACCGCTTTTTGTAACTTCAACAAATAATTTACAAAAGTTCAAAATCAGTATAGAAAATTCAACACTTGTTGCCACATTTCTGAAAGCTACAGGAAACGGCGCATAAAACTCAACTCGATTATTCATTGCAAATAGTAGGGAGATGGTTACAAAAAGCGGTGTATAAAACTCGAGTCAAAATTTCAATGCAAATGCAATAAGGAAACAGTTTCTTAAAAAAAGTTTGAGGAAATTGGGACTCGAACCTGGGGCAAAAAGTGTAATAGGTTCGATAGCCTATCCACTAGATATAATCTCAAACTAGATCAAAAACATCAGATTTCTCCTTAAAATCACAACTTTCAGCTTGCAACCGTGGTGCATCTCAATACACACCGGACAGAACAGCTGCTATTCAACAGGTTTTTGGTCATTTTGTATAAATTTAAGTTATAAATAAAAAAGATAAACAAAACTTCAAATTAAGCGATTTTTAAAAAAATTTATACTCTTGGGGATGGGTGTTTGTTGGGTAAGAGCGCCGAGAGGCGAAAAGCACCCACGTTGTTCTGCGGTGTGCGGCTTTCTAAAAGAGAAGAGAACAAGATGGGTGGTCTTCGCCTCTCGGCGCTCTTACCCAACAAACGCCCATACCCGAGCGCATAAAATTTTTAAAAAAATTGCTGACTTTGATATTTTGTTTATCTTTTTTGACTTATAACTTAAATCTATACAAAATAATTTTAAAAAACCTGTTGATAGGCAGCTGTTGTATCCGATATGTATTGGGGTGCACCACGGTTGCAATGCTGAAAGTTGTAATTTTAAGGGGAAATCGAATGTTTTAAATCTAGTTTGAAATTAGTTCTAGTGGATAGTCTGCTAGAATACCGAACCTATTACACTTTTTGCCCCAGGTTCGAGTCTCGTCAAACTTTTTAAAAAACCATCTCCCTACTATTTGCAATGAATAATCGAGTTGAGTTTTATGCAGCTGTAGCTTTCAGAAATGTGGCAACAAATATTAAATTTTCAATACTGATTGACTGATTCTGATAATTTAAAGGTTCCAGATTTTGTAAATTATTTGTTGAAGTTACAAACGGTGCATAAACTCGTCTAAAAAGCAAAATTATCCAATAATTTATTATTTTAGATCGATTATACTTCATCGTTGAAAGATGGCTCTTCTGGTGGAGAAACATCTCTTTCAGCCATCGATCGAGGATTCTACATTGAAGGAGACATTTATTTTGATGAATATCGGGCTGGTACAATTCTTGATTTGCCTGAAGATGAAATGACAAGGCGAGAAAAGATTTCTCTACAATTTATCTTGGATTTTAGGGCAACCGCCGATCTTTATGGTCCAGAGGATGCTGTTGAACACATCGAATTTCAGTTACCAGGGCAAAGCAATGAAATTGTAAGTACATGAAGAAATATAGCATCTAGATATGATTATGTTTTGTATTCTTTTGTAGGTATCAGCGGAAGAAGAAGATGTAAATAAGACGTGGATTGAACAATTCGGGACTCTCGACCCATCGCGGCCGGAAAGTCGTCGATCTTGTTGTGGGTGTGGAGCTCATTTTCATTGTAAGGTCTGTATTGCATAGTTTTTATTGAAGTTGTCATTTTAATCAAATCATAGCCTTTTTGCAAGTCCTTTATTTTCAGGACCCTTCTTTGCCTGGTTTTGTCCCAGTGGAACTCTTTGAGAAAGTCGAACGTCCAAGGAAAACAACTGAACAACACTTATGCAAAAGATGTCATCTATTGAAACACCATAATTTCTTGGTTTGTTTGTGATCAAGTTCTTTACTATTCTTATTTAGCTGAATGTGAATGTTTGTCCGGTTGATTACATGAAAATGATGGAACATTTGAAGATGAAAGAGGAGGCTCTCGTAAGTGGAAATATTTATATTGTAATCTTTACGTGCGTTTAGATTCTTTTGATTGTTGATATGACGGATTTGCCTGGATCAATTCATCGTCAATTACCCCATATCATTGGAGAAAGAAAACCGATGATTGTTATTGGTTAGTAAGAATTTTATTACAAAAACAACAACTTTAAGATATTCAACCAAATATTCTCATTTAGGTAATAAAGTCGATCTTCTTCCTCCCGATGCTCGTTGTGGATATTTGAAAAGATTTCGACAAGTTGTTGAATCAACCATTGAAGAAGCTGGATTTAAACATAAGTAAGTATACCCTACAATTTTTATCTTTTTACTAAATTAGCCCTTTGTTAAAATTTTAATATTCTGTTTTAGATTCAATCTTTTGCACACAGCATTGGTCAGCGCCAAAACGGGTTATGGAGTCGAGGATTTAATTACGGTAAAGGACTTTATTCAACTAAACTTTGAAAACAGTTGTAACCTTTTATTCTTGGAAAAACGTAATTAATCGGTTTTAGCAAATTCACATGAATTGGATCAATCCGAGAATGGGCGCGAGAGCGGACATGTATCTTGTCGGATGTACAAATGCTGGCAAATCGTAAGTGTTATAACTGAGCAATATCACTTTAATATTTGTTTTTAGAACCTTGTTTAACTCGTTTCTTCAGTCGGATTTGTGCAAAGTGAGGGCTGTTGATTTGGTGGAAAGAGCAACAACTTCGATTTGGCCTGGAACAACGGCTAGTTGATTATTCTCCGCATAATCTTTTTGCTAGGTTTAGATATCTTTGCTGAAGTTTCCTGTGATGAAAGTATCCCCACATCGACTTGAGTTGAGGAGAAGAAGATTACTCGCTAATAAGTATGTTATATTTTGACTATAAGTTTCGGTTTGATCTTTTTATAGAGCTTGGCAACAAAAGGAAAACTACATGCGCAAATTAGCGCTTCAAGAAACTGGAGAGAGCAAATATGCTGTGTTGACGGGACTTCTACAAAATACTTACAAGGTTATAAATGCTATTTGTATTGCGATAATAAAGATTATTCGGGTCCTATTAAAAATTTTATTTTAGTTAATTTTAGGAGAGAGAGGATGAATTGCAACCGGTGAGCATGAATGAGCTGCAAGGAATAGCTGAACCGAAAAAAGATGAGAAAAAGTTGGTGTTTGGCGTTGACAATTAAGAAAAATTTTTCTATAACAAGCACATTTAATTATTCAGATGGTCATTAGATGATCACATCTTCGCAAAGGGTAATTGGTGTTATGATACGCCCGGTACTGTGAATCAAGACCAAGTAAAGATTATCTGATTTTAGCAAGAGTTACTTTCAAATTTTAGGTTCTTGGTTTGTTCACTTTGTCTGAGTTAGTAAAAGTGCTTCCTCGGCAACTATTGACTCCAAGAACGGCAATTGTAAAACCAGGTAAGATTTAGACAAATAATTGTTAACCTCAAGTGTGTCATGCAGGAAATTCTCTGATAATTGGCGGTGTTGCTGTTGTAGATCTTCTTTCAACAACAACTGGAGATTCGGCGTTGGTGAGTAGTTTAACCTAAGTTTAAACCAATTGTGGTAAAAATTTACTTTAGATTCTATGTTACTGGCATTGATTATTTTAGTTGACAGTGTTTGCAAGTGGCAATCTTCCATTGAATGTGGTTGCAACAAGGGATGTCGACAAATTTCTCGAGGTTAACCTACCAAAAGGTTTGGTTAACCTACGCTTAATTGGATTCATTTTGTCGTTTGAGGTACGCTCGTTGTGCCGCTGCCAGACCCGAAACGATTGGAGAAATGGCCGAAAATGGAGGGTGAAGCTTTTGAGATTGTCGGTTGTACTGATGAAATTGCGGCAACAGATTTGGTGAGTGATTTGGTGCCTGGGTAAACGTTTTAGTGATGTAATTTCAATAAGATTTATCTATTCCTTTTATTTAGGTTTTATCAAGCATCGGTTGGGTATCCATCACATCACCAAATGGAGTGATCATCCGTGGAAGAATTCCAACAGGAAAAGGTGTCACTACACGGGAATCACTGCTACCATATGCAGCTGAATTGAGAGGAAAAAGAATCCCGGGGACACCATTTTATTCGGTTAGTTTTTTGAAAGCCATTGAACAAAAATATTTCTTTTTATCATCTACTTTTTAGGTAAAGCCTGTCGAGTTTCCAATCAATGTGAGGCGTCAACAAGCGATTCTCAATCGACGGAGATTTAAAGGGATCTAAAAAAATTTCTGTTATAGTTTTGTATATTGAATCTCGTTGTTATGTTACTTGTTGAAATATAGTTTTCAATGTTGTGAAAGTAGCATTATTTCGATAATTTATTGAGATCGGATTAAAGAACAAAAAAATTATCTTGGCCCCATTGCGAGATTTGAGGGTGGTGGAAGACCGAATTCGGAGCTGAATTTCATGAGATCTTGAAATGGTTTTATATCACAAAAAATGCAAATATGCCGATATTTATTTCACGACACAGTGGCCTTGCCACCTCAAAAACTTACAAATAAGATGGTGGTGGCTCGTCAAGTTGTCTTTGAGGAATTGATGTTGATTGAACAAGCGGATATGGTGGATTGGAATGAGTTGATTGAACGGGTTGAGTGGGATTCTGAATGATATCCATCAAAAATGGATTTGTTGATGCCATTTGAAGCGATTGAGGAACATTGTGGGGATATTGATTGGTTGAATAGGACTGATATGGCTGTTGAGGAAATTGCTCTTGAATTGGCGACTGTTGAATGGGCGAACGTGGAGGGATTTGCGTGGAATGGCTCGGATCGTACAGAGTGGCCAGATAATTTTGTTGTAACAGTTGTGGAGTGTGAATATTTTGTGGTGGAGCTGGCCATTGATCGTCATCGTTTCGTTGATCGATTGAGGAGAGACGGGGATTCGCGAGACCGGGCAGGGGAACACCCTGAAAATGGAAAAACAATAAAGAAGTAGCACGAAATTGGTGAAATCTATGAAAATTTGTTATTACTCTACCTGAACTCGACGAGCTGTTGTAGTTGCTTGAAATTGTGATTGTTGTTGTGATTGTGTTTGATAAGAAGGAGAAGTTGAAGAGAAATTAGACATTTGTTGATTGTTGAATGATGGGGAGATTTGTCCTCCACTATCTACTCCTCCTCGTTGAGCATCCAACTGACCTGAATTTTTTTCGCTCTGTTAAGGCCAATGGGAAATACCGTAAAAAAAGTCTAATAGAAAGTCCCCTATAAGAGCGTCGCGTAGTCTAAGTTTACTCTCAAAGGAACGCTCAGATCTTGACACTAGTACGTTTATTTCTGCGCACTTGGGTATCAAATGAAAGTAGAGAGGATGGGTGATTTTTTGAGATATAATACAGATTTTTAGCATTAACAAGCGCTTAGAAAAAAATGATTGAAAATCGGCTCTTTTTTTGAGAGTAAACTTAGACTACGCGACGCTCCTATAGGGCGGCCGTTCTATTAGAGTTTTGATGGTATTATATTGGAATGCTGTTAAGTGACATAGATGCAGGCTAAACATGTTAGTGATAACAAAACAAGCAGATTTGCGGTATAATTTTTGCCTCTGAAAAACGAACACCCTCTGGCACAATAGACTTCTTGTTTTCAAAATTGAAATTGAATGTGCCAGAATGTGCGCGTTTCTGTGAGCACAAAGTAAAATTGGATTTTCAGGTGCTTGACTATAAATCATAAATTTTCTCCTCAAAAAAAACACACTCGTTGATGCACTCAAATTCACTCCAAATGTCGTTGTGTGGCGGGGGAATTCAGTTGTTGAAATCATTGAATCCAATGGAACATAACTTGGATCGGCCATTCGATTCTGGAAAAAGAAAAAAAAACAAAAATAACAGAAGCATGCAATTCACTCATTCACTTTTCTCAACAAACCAATTCATTTTGTGTCCTTTCATCGAGATTCAATTCATCACCCGTCAAAAGATCACGAATTGGCCGATTCTCAACGCGAAGTTCTATACAAAAGCGATATATGAGAATATGTAAACTATTAGATTTTTATTATCCAAGCCTTTTGAATAAACCTGAGCCTTGATTTGTGGTCATTTGGAGTGGAAGTGGTTGAGAGATCGGAACTCGAGGAGCGATCACATTTTGGGGTTGCTGAGATTGGGTTGATTAACTTCCATCAAAGGCTAATATTTACAAGTATTTACTCACTACTTACCGTAAAAACTTTAATAGAAGACCCCCCCCCCCCTCCTTCGACTCCTCGAAATCATGAGCTCTTTAAATATTTTTTAGCTAAAGTTGTAGATATGGGCCCAGATAGAAGTATTTTTGCGTTGGCAGTAAAATTGGTAACGTGGTTTTTAAAAAAAATTGTAAGGGTTCATTTTTTTTGGGAGATCGTCCAAGGGTTTTGGGTAAGAAAATATTATTTTTACTTTTAAGCATGTTTCTTGCATATTTTAGACCAATCTTAGATATTTTAGAGCTATCGCGTTCAATGGTTTTTAAGAATAAATAAATTTTTGATTCATGTGGGAGACCACTACCTACAGGGTCCGAGAAAAGTATTGTCGCGTCTCTTTGAATTAACTTTTATGTGATTTAAAAGTATCCTTTTACGTTGTGTAAAACATGAATTTTGTCCAGTTTTTTTTCCTCTTTCGAATGGTGCATAGCATTCAATGTGTATTTTTAGAAATGCAAGCTTGCCCTCATCGAGAAGCGATCGCTATGCTTTTGAAAGCCGGAGAGTCGAAGGCGGCCATCTCGCGAAAGCTCAAAAACAACATCAGAACTGTTCAACGACTTGCCAAACAGTTGCAAGAGAAAGGACACGTCAAGGAGAAGCCGAAAAAAGGAAGACCTCGATCGGTGAACCCGCCAAACATTTTGTATTTCTTTGGCTGGCCGATTTTGGGGGGATTGAAAAAAATAGAAGACCCGGGTCTTCTATTCGAGTTTTTACGGTATATTAGGTATATTTTCAAAAGTTGTGTATTCTACGGCATTCTATTTGCTACGGCACAATCTGTTATCCTCTTACCGTACTCATCGATGGCCCTGTTCCCCTTTGTTCTTCATCGGCCAATCTCTTTGCCAATTCCTCGTCGTGTCTCAATTGCATTTGTCTGAAGAGTTAGAATTTGAAAAAATGAAAAATCAATAGAATCCTGAATGCTTAAGTGCTTAAATGAGTGCTATTTGTTTAGGTAAAAATGATTTTGAATCATTTTTAATTAGAGCAAAATGTACAACGTTAGAAATTCAAATAAATGAACCATAATCTAAACTGTGTGTACTTTGTGCTTTCACAAATGCACAATGCATGGGATACTAGACTAAAATCCCTGTTTCCTTTCTTTTTCTTTTACTCACTTCATCATTTGTGCTTCTTTTTCGATTTCCATTTGCAGTTGTCTGGCCACATTTTCATCGTGAGCCGTGCTGAATAAAAATGATTTCTAGATTGGAAAAGTCAAGTCTTTTTACAAAAGCAAGCCTTTTTACAATCACTTACATGCTATTTATATCATTTAAATGCCTTTGTCTTGCATCATCTCTTTCTCGATTTTGTTCAACTCGGCTCCTTCGCGTATCATGGCCTATTAGTTGTCTGAAATTTTACGAATAATATTATTTTGTTTTTTAGATTCTATAATTTTCAGATTTCTCACCTTTCTGCTCGATTTCTTCCATAATGTGAATCATATTCCTGTTGCTGTAATTGATACGCCAAATTGTGATCCTCAGCCATTCGCATTCGGGCACGAACTGAGGATTTATTTACGTACAGAATTTACTTATTTAATTGGGGGTGGGACAAATGCGACCTTTTTTTTGCGCACCTGGACATTTGCGCACCTTTTTTTTGCTGGAAAAGGCCTTAGGAAAGGTCGTAGAGCTTCAAAAATGTTTTCATAGAGGGGAATCGTATGCGTAGATTCCGAATTTCGACAAATCAGACCTCGCTGACACGTCAAATTTGCGCTAAAAGGCAAAAACTACGCAACTTAACTCTTTTCCGCAGTTTTTGCCTTTTAGCCCAAATTTGACGTGTCAGCGAGGTCTGATTTGTCGAAATTCGGAATCTACGCATACGATTCCCCTATATGGAAATATTTTCGAAGCTCTACGACCTTTCCTAAGGCCTTTTCCAGCAAAAAAAAAGGTGCGCAAATGTCCAGGTGCGCAAAAAAAAGGTCGCATTTGTCCCACCCCCATTTAATTAACTAATTAATTTATATTTAATTTAATTATTTGATAATTTAAAGTTATTAAATACGATAAAAAGAATAATCTTAAATAAGAAACGAATTCTAGATCTAGAATCCTAGAATTCTCCAAAAATTCTCGATTTCCCAACCTTCAGCTGCATCGATATTGCTTTCATCTCGTTGCTGGGAGGTCATTGAGAAGAAATTATCTGAAAACCGAAATTGTTGCGAAAAATAAGTTTACCTTCATCTTAATAAGTTGAAGTTTCTTGAAACTTTTTTTTGTAGTAAAAAAAATCGATGAGTAAAAATGGTGATGAAAGCTAAAAAAGAAGTGATTCACTTTATGACTCGAAAAAAGGGAGAAGGTTCGGGAAATTTGATAAGACTTGCCCACAAATTGAACTAAAAAAAGCCCCATATTATTGGTTGTAAAGTTTATAAAAAAATTCTAAGTATTTTGTAAGTTTTCCCTTCAAACAGGAAATGCAATTCGAATTAGGTAAAACATGGGATTTCAGAGAGAGAAAAGAATTGAAATTGCTCGCGAATTTTATACCATAGAAATCTCTTCAACAAAACAACCCAATAAAGTAATAGATTCATCCAAAAAAAAATGAGTCCAAAACTTGTGATAAGCTGAGAAAAGAAAGGGATTGATTGATTTGGAAGGAAAAAAAGGAAAAAAGGAAAAAGGAGGAGAAGAGGGACACTTGAAATAAGAAGGGGAAATGGAATGGAGCGTGCTTTTGTTGACTTTTTGGACAAAAGTAGTGTGAAAAGGTGCCGGATCAATCAATGCACAGAGAATTTCATGCAATAAACGGTTTTGTTTATTATTTTTATCATTGATCAAGACATTTTCTGAAATGATAACCCACAATGAATTGATTGTTGAGACTTTTCGAGTGACCCAAGTAAGTTGTCAGTGTGTAACCAAGTAAAAACCTTTTACTTTTGGCAAGATGCCTGTGAAAAGTATGTTAGTGAAAGCTTTCTTGAAGGTAAATGTGGTGTGAATATGTTGGCAATGGAAATGGAAGGACTGGTTTCCCCTTTCGCCTTCTCAATGGCCATTTCACGACAAAACACATCAACCGAGCGGCGACGAGGAAATTGAGGATAAAATTTCACAGCGAATAACAAGGGGATTTTTCTTTTATACAGTGTAGTGCAAAAATCTTATCCCACTCACCTTTCTGAAACATTTTATCAAAATTCTACAAATTTTCGAGAGAAACTTTTTAGGTAAACGAGCTTTTTAGTAGCTTATTCCTTCTAGTTTTACTATGTAAATGCCCATAGTCCAATATTTTGTTGTTTTCTCAAAAATTCTTTTCTTCGTGAAAATTAAGAAAAAAGATCGTGCAAAAGTTTCTTCCCACTAAGAAAGTTTTTGTTTTTCTCTGCTTCTCTTTGTTTGTTCTCATTAAATTTTTATTTTTAGATGTTATCTCGCAAATATCTGTCAACTCCTGATAAGCAGAAGATTGTGTAAGCCAAGAAAGATGGATATTCATCGCCGTCTATCGCGACGCTCTTCAAATGCGATAAAAGGACCGTGAATCGACTAGCAGCAAAATCGGAAGCAGGTGAAAGTCTTCAGGGCTTCGAAAAGTGGTCGTCCGGCGATTATAACAAGAAACGAAGATCGAAGATCAAGGACCATAGAATCAACCCAAATCTGAGTTCGAGCCATGGAATCAAGAAGTGGAAGGCCATTTCTAATGGAAACATTTCTCGATGGAGCATCAATAGGCGCTTGATTCGAGCAGGATTGTATGCAAGAATACTGGCAACGAGACCATTAATGATTTCCAAGCACCGGAAGATGCGATTGGCGTTTGCAAAGAACTACGAGTTTTGGACGATGATTAGGTCTGAGTCATTTTCACCGATGAGACTAAAATCAATATGTCCTATCCGGACGGCCATCATTTGACGGCCATCCGAAGACCAATTGGGCAACGATGCAAGCTAAAATATGTAAAGCCGTCGGTGGAAGCATAGGGTAAGTGTTTTCGCTTATATGCTTTATGATGTGCGTGTTTTTAGGCTCGACGATCAGAAGTTTCCCTAGTCTCCTGGTGCTCATCAACGGGGATGCTCAGGAATACAAATCGATCATGGAAAACAGTTTGTTTCCGTTTTCCAATGTCAATATGCCCCGGGGATCGGCTTTATATTAAGACAACGCTCCATGCCACAAAAGTCAGCTTCTGATGAGCCTTGTTGTTCGACTTGCAAATAGAAGTAGAGCTCGATTACCCGGGTTTTTTTTGCTGCTTACCGTGTTGAATTGATCAAAGCTTCTTCATATTCTCCGGATTTGAATGTCATAGAACACCTTTGGGCTCATTTAAAGAATCAACTCAAGGGAAAGAGATTCAACACAAAGGTCAAGCTTTGGTCAAGCTCATCAGGAACGTTTGGCGACAAATTTCTTTGGGAGTTCGATGTGATTTCGTCGCTTCGTTGCCTCGACCTATCAAAGCATTGTTTTTGGCTAAAGGAGGACCGACAAAATATTAATCTAAGCTTCTTTTTTAGTGGTGGGACAAGACTTCTGCACCAGATATTTTTCGATGTTAAACTTTATTTGTTATTTTCTTTTCTGTGTTGAATTTCTTAACTCAGAAACCTTTTTTATATTGAAGCTTAGGGTACAAAAAATCCCCTTTACTTAAAAAGTTTCTTTCGAAAATTTTTAGAATTTTAATAAAATGTTTCAGAAAGTTGAGTGGGACAAGACTTTTGCATCACACGGTATAATAAATCTGAGGACGAACCCGCCTACGCAGTGAACCCGTGTGCCGAACATCTCACCTTCATTCTTTCTCGTTCAATGAAACAATTCTTGCAAATGTCAGTCAATCCAGCAATTGTTGCTAAAATCGAAGAAGGCTATGCCAAACTTCAAGGAGCCAAGGATTGCCATTCTTTGCTCAAGAAGTACCTCACCAAAGAGGTACCCATTTCATTTCAAGTAATCAACTCAAAATTTTTTCAGGCTATCGACAACTGCAAGAACAAGAAGACCAAGCTCGAAGCTTCCCTCCTTGATGTGATCCAATCCGGAGTTGCCAACTTGGATTCGGGAGTTGGCAATGAGTGACAAAGATTTCACATGAAATTTCGAAACTAGGTGTCGATGCTCCGGATGCGGAGGTGTACACTCTCTTCAAGCCTCTTTTTGATCCACCCATTCAAGTTTACCCCAACCAGAAACGGCCAGCCACTGATTTGGAAGAGGGAATCGGGAAGACCCATCTTCTTCTCGATCTTGACCCTGAGGGAAAATACATTCTTCAGCAATTTTCTTGTAACCACGATTTCCAACATTTATTGTAATCACATTTTGCGTAATTTCTCCGAATATCGACTTTTTGACCCAAATAAGATTTCCTTAATTTGATCTAGTAATTGTTTTGCCCTTTGACAACCTTTTTTTTTCTTGGTGATCTTTAGAAAAAATAGGCAAGGAAATGAGCAGAAAACAGTACATTTTGATGGAAGAACTTTTCATGATTTTCTCCACGTTTTATTGTGTATTTATTGTGTATTGCTGTTTGATATTCACTATTAGAAAGAAAAACAAACTGATTCCTTTTTTTGATCAAAAAATGGAAGCGTCATGGGAGAAGAAAAATCAAGCTGGAGCTACAAAAGTTTTTGGGCTTGTCTTGATTTCCGGTCATTCTAATTATTTTTTTGTTATTTTTCATTTGATAGCCTTGTCCTCTACTGTTTAGAAAAAAATAGACAAGGAAATGAGAAGGTTTCAACTTATTTTAAACCAGAAGCTACACACTGATCTTAGCCAGAGACCAGAAGCTACACATTGATCTGAGCCAGAGACCAGAACCTACATATTGATCTTAGCCAGAGATCAAGAATTCAGATCGATGTGAGCAATCCTTGCACATTTATGTGTTACTTCAGTGTTAAAATGACAATAGTTTTATTAATTATTATTTTTCGACGGTCGCGGTGGGTTTGACCACGAAAAAGAGAAGAAAATGATAATGGTGATGAAAAGTGAAGCCTGCAAAAAGCAGAAAGTCGTTGTATACAGTCTAAAACGAAAAATAAAATATTAAGCGTAGATTTTTCGACAAACCCAGTGATAATTTTTCGTTTATCGTACACACGTGTACTGTCATCGTTTATTGAAGATTGTCTGGAGGTTTTAATTTCAGTGAAAAATGAATGTATTGGGTTGATGGAAAAGTCCTTTCCGATTTTTTGGGAGAGTACCTTAAATTTGTCCAATTTTGACGTTTTATAGCTCATCCTAAAGCTGAATTCAAGCCGGATCGATTGGTAAAAACCGTTTTGAGATGTCTTTTTTCTAAAAGTTTTTACAGCTATTTTAGTAAAGAGCGGCAGAGCCAAAAAATTTTCACGCATTTTCAGAATCTTAGCAATAGACACCAGCGACATTCAATGCCGCACAGGCTCATCCATTTTCCAGCCATTTTTTGGCTCTGCCGCTCTTTACTAAAATAGCTGTAAAAACTTTTAGAAAAAAGACATCTCAAAACGGTTTTTACCAATCGATCCGTCTTGAATTGAGCTTTAGGATGAGCTATAAAACGTCAAAATTGGACAAATTTAAGGTACTCTCCCAAAAAATCGGAAAGGACTTTTCCATCAACCCAATAAAATGACTTGCCTTGAATCCCTATTTCCCTTTTTGTCTTTATCACTTTCAGTACACAATCGACGAGTAAAAACTTTTGGAATTAAATAATTTGAATTCTAAAGTTTTAAAAATGAAAGCTATTAAAGATTGAGCTTTAATTTACTTTGAAATGTGTGAGTAAAAGACCAAAAATGACAGCCAATGAGCAAATGATCAAACAAGCAAGAATATAGGCACCTGGAATTGGGGAAACATTCGAGAATTGAGATTTGATAGAGAACAAACCGATTAGAGGAATATTTGATGTTCTTGGAAGTGTTTCTGCCACAATGGAAAGTGTTATTGATAGCGCTAACATACTTGCCAATCCGACCGTAATCTAGATTTCGTTTGTTTTTTTGTTTTGCTTTGTCTATGAAAAGAAACTCACCGCATCACCGCCAACTCCTTGATGGACTGGCAGAAGGATGCCGGTAATGGTCATCGTTGAGATAAGAAACGATGGAATCACAATGACGATAATGAAATAATTTGGACGACGGATGAGTTCTGTCTCGAAATATATCTTAAAAATGATTGCGTTTGATGAAGAGCATTCATTTTCACCTCATGCATTTCATCCTCATCCATTTCATAATCATATTCAGACACGGAAACATTGCTCAAATGAAATTCACTATTTCCCTAAATACTTTTCTTTTTTATTTCTATTGTTTTACTTATTAGACTTGTAAAATCTGTCGACCCTTTTTTGCCGTTGGCAATTTACGGTGTTTTACGTATTTTTCTCAACACCAACCCTTCGATTTTGACTATTTTGACTATTAGTCGATGCAGAATAAAATTGCGCATCGAATGATACCAAAATTAACTTAAAATTTAATATCCACGCAAAGTTGTTGGCTAAAAGCCTAAACCCCCGTTCATTATGAGCGAGACTTAACCTTTTGCCCCATAACTTTGCATGGATATTGAATTTTGAGTTAATTTTGGTATCATTCGATGCGCAATTTTATTCTGCATCGAATGATAGTCAAAATAGTCAAATTTGAAAGGTTGATGCTGAGAAAAATACAAAAAACACCTTAAATTGCCAACGGCAAAAAAGGATCGACAGATATCTTCGTTACAAATCAATTACTGACCCTAAACATAGCCGTTTGTTTTTCGAGATGTCCTTGTAAAAACGTATATTTTTGAGATTGAAGAGGAGAAACGATTCGAAAAGAACAAAATTGAGTGTCGAATGGCATTCTGAATAAATAAATACCGTAAATACTGTAATAGTACCCCACCCCCTTCGTACAGTCGCGTAGTCGCAAAAGTTTTTCAGTATTTCATTTTTTGCAAAGCACCCGTACTTTCAAAAAATGCGTCTTTGGTATCAAAAAATAGTTGAAATTCAGGGCTATTTTTTGTTACCTAAGCGCACATTGTAGCATAAACAAGTGTCGAGAAAAACTCGTTCAAAGCTAGACTACGCAAGACTCCGCACCGTCATTATGGGGGTGGGGTACTATTACAGTATTTACGGTAGGGATTGCTTTCTGGATAGAGCTCACCTTTCCACTTGAATATCACAAATAATATTGATGAATTGAGTGATTTGGAGTTTAACCTGACCGACCGGAGAAATCTGTCATTTGGAGAATCATACAGAACACAGAATTATCGTTTTTACTCTAAGAGAGGCGAATGCGCTTCTATTTCTCAATCATTCCGCAAAATTTGCTTCTATTAGAGTGGCAATTTGAAAGTTGGTACACTTATTTATTGGACTTTTTAGAAATAACTAGAAACACCAATTAATTTACAGTTTTCACCAATAAAAAGGTCTATTTATTCTCTAAAATAGGCTTTTAACATTTAGATTTAGAAAAGCTTTGGTTTTGTGGGTTTCCAAGGGGCAAAAGTTGAGGAACCAAAAATGATGAAAACTCGATGAAACGATTTGAGCACTTTCTTCACACATAAACCCATTTTGATGTTAATAGAAAAGAGATAGAGCATGAAAAGTTAGATATACAGCCAAATTATCAGCTCGATTTGTCTAATTACTTTAATTATATGTCTCTTTGAAGAATTTTCAGAAAAATTTGAATTTCTGCTCAAATTCGTTTCAAAAGTTGCCCAAATTTGTTAAAAAAAAATATTAAAAAAATAAAAAAAAAAAAAAAAAAAAAAAAAAAAAAAAAAAATTTTTTTTTAAAAAAAAAAAAAAAAAAAAATTAAAAAATAAAAATTTTTTTTTTTTTTATATATTAAATTTAATTTTTTTTTTTTTTTAAAATTTAAAAAAAAGATGCTTCAGAAAAAAAAAAAAAAAAAAAAAAAAAAAAAAAAAAAAAAAAAAAAAAAAAAAAAAAAAAAAAATATTTCTGAGAGAATAAATAGAGCTTTTTATTGGTGAAAACTGTAAATTAATTGGTGTTCTAGTTATTTCTAAAAAGTGCAATGAATAAGTGTACCAACTTTCAAGTTGCCAATCTAATATTAGAAAATAATACGGTATCTATTACAGGTTTTGTTGTTGTTTAAATAGAATGGTACCGATCACGAGATCAACGTACCGAAACATCATTTTTCTCATCTTCGATCAATTTCCGGTGTTCAATGCTTGAAACAGTTTCACTGATCCTCTGCCTTTTTTTGTTTATTTTTTTTACCTGTTGTAGACAATGAATCTCGGCGTCCACACTTCTGTATTCGGCACAAACATTTTTGTCTCACCCCCATTTTGAGCGGGATTATATTTTAAACGATCATCTCTCCATGTAATTGTAAAAGTGACAAGCCAGGAAACGAGTTGAGCATCTTCAACAACATCAATCAATAATAAATAAGGGATCGAAAGTGACACATTCACCGCATTCCGATTTCTGTAAATAAAAGGAAAGTTGCTTAATTAGAGAAAAGTTCGGCTCAAATTTTGAGCTCTACTGACAAATAGTATGGACTGAGTCGTTTATCGTAGTTGACATCGAGCTTTTGCGAGAGATATGAAGTATTCACTGAAAATTCGTCAAAGAAATCGATCATTTAAAGTCTCTTTTATTACCAAGATTTAAAAGAGTGAAAAAAAGTTTCGTTTTCAGCATCGTTGAAGAAATTTCAGGAAATAAATCGGATAAGATGCTGGAAATTCGCTGTGTTCATTGTGCTTGAAAATTTGAAAATTTGAAAAAAAGAAAAAAAGGTTAGACCAAAAAAAATATGGAAAAACGAGGGAAAAAAAAGAGAGGCACTTCAAATTTATGCACGATTGAGGAGAAAAATGAAGAAAGGGATGGATGAGGGGAAGGGGAAGGGGAAGAGAAGGCAGATCGAGGATGAACACAAATGAACTCCTCTTGCATTCCCGTCCTCCTTTTACCCCATCCTCCTAACACCCCAGAAGGCTTCCCCCTTCACCCATTTCAACCCTTCATCCTTCATTTTTTTTCACTTCACTTTTAAAGAAAGGGGTCTAGCTTAAAACAGCTAAAATGCTAAATACACTACTGGACAATGAAATATGATATTTGAAAAACGATCGTCACTTTCGCGCGTCTATAACTCCCTTGTCTTTACCGTATTTCTAAATATTAATATTACCATTGTGTAGCCCTTGAAAAGAGCTTTCAGAAAATGCATAACACTAATAGTTTAAACTCAAAGACAAGGGAGTTACAGACGCACGAAAGTGACGATCGTTTTTCAAATATCATATTTCATTGTCCAGTACTGTAGCTAAAATGGCCATAATGAACATGAGAGTTTTCTTTTGATACAATGCTTTAAAAAAACATAAATACGATGCGGATATCTGTGCTTTCTTTAACGTAAAAACTATTGAAAGTTAGTGTAATCATGTCTCAAAAAAGTTGCTACGATTCCAGATTTGAAACATATAAAATAGGCAGAGAACCGGAGAAGACGTTTATCTTGTGGTCACGGGAAAATCTATGATTAAAAATTGTTCAGAGTTTTGTTTCCAGTTTGTTTTTAGTTTTTTGAATTACTACACATATTATCTTAAAATTTGATATTACCATTATGGAAAACCCGCCATAGAAATGATCTTTTCAAATAAAAATAGAAATGATCGCGATAGAAATGATCTTTTCTTTGAATGTTCAAAAGTGACAAAATGGCTATGATATGATATGATATGATTCTTGTGAAAATAATCCAAATTTGTGAAGAAGTTCTAGGACTCGAATTTAGATATACAAATTCGTTGAACACTCTTGTCCCCCCATCTGTGGGGAGGGGGACAAGAGTATCATTTTCTTTGTGTCATTTTCTTCGACAAATGATCTCCCTAGAGACCAATTTTCCCTCCAATCTTCACAAAAATAAAAGATTTATCGTTTTTTTAGACTCGAGTTTTTTTTTTCGAGATTTTTCTCAGTGAAACATTCAAACTCTTGATCACTCTCACCATCAGCTAATTGGAAAACAAAAATTCTGACGAAACATTGGATTGCGACGTCGATTTCACCTGTGATTCCAAGAGAATGTAAATGCTGATCACTATTTTCTGGGATTTTGAATTCATGAAGAAGAAAAAAGTGTGTTATAACCGAGAAAAATGTTTAGAAAAATGAGAAATCTATTAACTTGGTACGAAATAACAGGTGAAATTCGATAAATTATCGGTGGAAAAGAGTGTATTTGATGGGGAAAATGCTTAGAGAAAATCAGATTTGAAAGTCACTTTCAACTTTGAAACAACAACAACAACAAAACAAAAACACGGTACCTTAGTGAGATACTTATGCGGAAAAGAATGAAGAAAGGCAAAATGGAGTTAGAGCAATGCGCAAACGTTCGAGTTTTTACCTAAAAGAAACGGCCACTGTGAGCCAGCTTCTAGCTTTTGTCCGATTTAATTAAGCGCTTGAGCGCTGTTTAATTGAGTGCTTGAGCGCTGTTTAATTGAGCGCTGTATGACGCCAAATACACTTTACTGGAATAAAGCAATCACATAGAAAGTGACAGTACTTTTTCCAATTCATCAACAAGAACAAGGCTCCCTCTCTGTCGTGATTCAAACTATCACCTATCTGTATTGTTCAAGTCTTGTTCAGAAACTCTTCACAAAAGCATCTCAAACACTGAATCTCTTTTCAACAATCAAGTCTAGCCGCACGTGTTTTATCAAATAAAAGAGAATATTCAAAGAATTCCTTTCTTTTTACTCTTTTTACGTATTTTTGATTCCCATTCACAGTTTTTCGGTGTTATTCTTTTTTTGAATGAGATAAATGTCCACTCATTCTTTTCATTCTTTTTTTTATCGTTTTTATTTTCAATCCCATTTTGTGGACGTAATCTGGATGAGATAAGGGAAATTTTCCGTCTTTCATCTCAAATTTGGGTGTACATTTGAATGAATTGAATTGGGTAAAGACGTCTTAAGTTTTTGGAAGTTTTGCAAACATATGTTTTTTTTTCCTTTAAAATTACAATCCTATGCAAATGAGTTAATGATTTTGAGATTAGACGATCGAAAAAATGGGTGGATTGTTTTTCTTTTTTCTGAAATCGATGCTAGAGTTGAGTGATGAGGTGATGGCTACTGTCTCGTGTACTGTACAGTAGCTTAGTCCAATGCCTGAATGTTTCATTTCGAGTCGAATGCCTGAATGTTTCATTTTGTTTCATTCCGAGTCGAATGCCTGAATGCCAGAGTGTTTAACTTGAGAGCGCGAAAACTCGAGAGTTCAATTGAGTTGCAACACTTCTTTCAACCCTTTTCCCATAAAACAAATCCTTTTTGTCCCAAATCCCCAAATCACTTTATTTTTCTGTGTTTTGTTTCCAAAATATTGTAGTAAGCATAAGAAACGGGACTAGACTTTTTTGTTCTTTTGGAAAGCGAGACTATAATTTTCTTTTTGAAAGAAAATACTTCTCAATCAACACGAATCAACTAGACGGAATGTCCACTCACTTTTTCACAATATTTATATTTGATCTCTAATTTTTGATTATTAGTAGAAATCATAATATCTTTTCTCGGATTTTCAATCGGAAAACACAAAGTTTCAAAACAAAACTTTGACTTTTTAAAGATTAGACACTTGAGAGGAGATTTTATATTTGTAGAGGTACAATATTTTGGTCTCATAATCCCATTCAAAAAATAAACAACTTTTTTCTCGTACCGATTTAGTTTTTAGATCAAGATTTTTTCTTGATTCTCCAAAAAAAAACCTTTGAAGAAAACATGCAATTTTGAAGATTTCAGAATAATCAAGAAGCTCTTTTTCGGGAAAAGAGAAATCTTAATGAGAGATTTTTGAACGGACCCACCCTCGCTTTTTGAGGAAAAACAAAAGTGGAAACAAAAAAAAAAGATAAAATTTATGCGTTTAGATATTTCTACTGATTTACAATCCCTACGAGAACACGCTTCTTTTTAAAAGAACGTCAGCTTGGAGTTTCTGAAAATTCTCTCGGAAAGCTTGTGCTTTGCATAATGAAAGTTGGTTTTTTTGGAGGAATTCTTCGAGAATGCAAGAGTTGAGAAAAGAATTAAGTCCACCCTCGCTTTTCTAACCCATCCTGGCTTCTTCAGAAGCACTTTTTTTAAAAAAAACAGAAATTAGATTCACTTCAAGCGAGGATTTCATGCGAAAGGAAAAATGAAAAACTGAAAAAAGGGCAAATATTTGAATGGACTAATCATTTTCAGAGTTTTCTTTCCGAGCTCATTCGTCTAGCCAATATTCAAATGATTTTCGATCAGTTTAAAGGAGAAAAAGAGGATTTTGAAAAAAAATTACGTATTTTCTCTAATAGTAGCGCACCCTAAGCGTCGCCTGCTCGAAATTCCTCGAAATCTCAAAAAGCGCTTATCAGAACCTATCGATGTGGGGTCGGAAAATGTAGCTGACGATGAGATCTTGTGGGGGATTTGAGTGTTGAGCTTCTGCGAAAGCTTGGAAATCGTAAAATAGTCATCAAATCGGCTCAACGGGAAGCACTACTATTAGAGAAAATACGGTATTTAGTTTGTTTGATTGATTTGATGAAGTCGATTTTTGGAAAGAGATTTAGATTTGTGATGAGCGAGCATAGAAATAGGATAAGCGTTTGAGAGATTTTCATAGAAATACTTGTTTTCGATTTACCCACTGATTCAAAAGTACAGAAGACCTCTTAGCCAAAAGACTAGAGCAGAGAAAATTCATTTTGACACCACAAATCTCTCTGTCTGTACAAAAATCAACTCTAATCCAGAGATTCTTTCTAGAAATCTAAATAAATTTGATATCACTCGATAAAACGAAAACAAAAGTTGTTTTCTCAGCTTATCTTCCGATCAACGCTTTTCTCGAGTGAAATATTTGACTTTTCCCCGATAGACAGAGATTATATTTGGTAATATCGTGAGATGTATTTTCATTCAATTCATTTTCATTCAATTCCCATCCTTCGATGTCATCCGTACATTTCAATGTCTCTGAGATTTTTTTTTTGATGTCTTTAACAGTTTATAATATTTGATTTCAAAAAAGGAAAGCGATAAGACAAAAATAGTCAGCGAATATATGAAAATCATCACGTAGATGAAGATTAAAAAATAAAAAATCAGCGTATTAGCTTTTTCTGAATTTTAGATTACTGTGCTTTGGAATCTAAAAAAGAAATCCCCAAAAAAAGAAATGTCTGAGTCAGAAATAACAGTCGGATTTACTGGAAAAGGAGTCTTAAACTGATACCGGAAATTAAAATTGAATTAAAAATGGATTGTAGCATCAAGCAGGTCAATCAAGAGCATCGACCACACTTCTCCAACAAGGCGGAATACTTTTGCAATCAAACAGGCAATGAAAAGCTTCGAGAATGACAACTCATCACGGATTTAATATTAGCTTGGTAAATATGAAAGGTTATTTTTTTGATCATTTTTAACATAACAGAAAAATTTATTTAAGCACTTTCAAAATCAAATGTATTCACCACAAGCATTAATAACTTCTTTCCAACGTTGCCCCAAATCACGAATACCGTCCTCGTAAAATTAAAGATTTTTAGAGGCAAAATAGTTGGCAACCCAATTTTCTATGTCCTGCTTTTGTTTGAACTGCTGTCCAGAAACTGCTTG